CCGCCAAACGGATCACTGAAATGGATCACCCGCCGTATTCGCCCGATTTAGCCCCCAGTGACTTTTGGCTATTTCCCAAACTCAAAAATTTTTTGAAAGGCCATCGATTTCAAAGCATTGAAGACATTCAAACAAATGTGATGCAGGCTCTGAAAGACATCCCGAAAGAAGCCTTCCACCGCTGTTTCCAGCAATTGCAGCATCGTTGGGATAAGTGTATACGTTCTGGAGGGGAGTACTTTGAAGGCGATAAATGTGATTAATTTGTAAGTTTAAAAGTAAAAAATACAAAAATAAAGTCTGGAAACTTAATAGCCACACCTCGTATATATATATATTAATTTGCAGCTGCGGCATATCATTGCGGGATTTTCATCACGTCTTAGCAGAAGAGAATAGACTTATAAAAGTTAAAATGTTTATCAGGTAAAAACAAATAAAATATTCCAAAGCATTATGGCAAAATGAAGGTCAGAAAAAGAGTCGAAATCTTCACAATGCATTGATGACGTCATGAATCCCTTCCGATAGACCAGATGCCGAAACCATGCGCCATGTGATGTCCTGACAACCTGCACAGGCCATCGTTACAGAATGAAATCAGTTCCCACGCCTAATGAAGAATCCCCGTAAAATCAGAGTGCATGTCACACACATGAAACGCTGTTTGGTCCAGAAGAAATTCATGTCGACATGCGGCAGCGAACCAGAGTTACACGTCTTACTTTTGGTTTTGAGGGAAGCATTAATAAATTTGTCTGCTAAATCAGTAAGGTTATTGTTGTGCCCTGCAAAGGCAAACACAAAACACAATTAGGCATAACCACGCACTTGCAAGCACGAATGTGTCCAGCTATAGAAAGAAAGAAAAGTTAATCACATGTGGAATTACTGTAGGCGTACAATCATCCCATAAATCATCAAGTCTCTCACCCTGGTTGAATCCATCTCCCAGCAGATCTTTGAGAGTCTTCATATTGGCCTTTTGCTAAAATATTTATGAAATTTGATCACTCCTCGTCTCAATTTTCTACATATTATTTCAGAAGACTCCTCAATAGCACAATTAATAAATTTCACAAAAACTGCAAGTCATCACAAAATCTGATTTTTTTTTTAAGTCAACTTTCGAGGCATTCGTCACCCCGTGGATAAAGTAGGAACGGTGTATTACAACTGGATTTGCCTTGGGACGGAAACTTTTTGAAAGCCAAAATCCGGTGTCAACATGCCAAGAAAAATTCTTTGTCCGTATGATCGATGTGAAGCGTTTTGGCGCGACGAGAAAAGTTCGAGAGACAAATACCGAAAGTTTCACATAGCCTTTCGGACACCTGGAAGAAAAAAAAAAAAAAAAAACCATTGACAAGGCGCCGCACCGATTCTTCCACATATTCGGCTAGGAATAATCTTGCCATGACACGACGTAGTAATCACCGCTATGAAATCTCCCGGATGTTTCTGCACTCAAAATAGCTTCAGGAGCGGTATGACAGAGGACCGGGAAATGAGTGAGAAAAATGCCTTATGTTTTCACCCAAGCAAAATTGAAGAAAAAGGAAAAGGCTGTTATGACGAGGTTTCTCCGCGACGGGTTGCGCAGCTGCACCCTCGCATTCCACGCATGCATGCAAGCAATTTAGCAGCCAAAACAAACTGAGTTGTGCCTCCTCGTATCTCCATCAAACACACGACCCTCCTTTTTTTCCCCTTCTTAGGTTTGGTTTCAAAATAGGAGAGCGAAATTCCGTCGTAACGAGAGGAGTCTGCTGGCGCAACGGAGCCTCAACGCCATGAGCCAGCAAAATCAGCATCACCGACTGTCGCACCCAAAGGGTTGCGAGTCGCCGAGGTCGCCGTCAGTGGAGCAGCCCGTCCTCGCACGAACGAGCCAAAACGCAGGGAATCCATGTCTGTTTCTGCACTGCATCCTCTCCCGTCGCGAGTCCATCGTGTTTCCACGTTTGATCTAAGGGCAATCCTGATTGGTTCCCGCAGTGCCTCTGGAGGCCTACAGCAGTTTTGCGGCATCGCCGTGGAAGACCCTTGCGTCGCAGTGCTTCCTCCCACCCGCACCCGTATCTTGTAATGTCGCCACAGGTAAATTTCCCATCCTGCATACTTCCATTAAACTCGATAATGACGTTGTGGCAGCACATGTAGAGGATGTTTCAGGCAATGGAATTCACCATTACTTTCCGTCAAGAGTTCCTGACGAAATTTTATTTTCCTAAGTTAGAATACAAAATTTCGCCGACATCGCATTAGTAACAATTCAAGTCTTGCCATTGATTTGCCAAATAGAAAAATGTTCGTTTCGTGCAATGGCCTAGATTTGCGACAAACTAGATATCCGTAACCCTTCGGTTGAAAAAAAAAGAGCCGCGTAGAATCGATTGAGATCGCACTTCCAATAGCAAGAAAAGATTACTTGGAGGGTGCAAGAGTCACACTTGCAAAAAACAAAACGCATTGAAAAGCATGCTGCGCCATCCCTAAGCAGCGAATCTTGTGAATTTTTTCATATTTTCCTCTCTCCACGTGCTTTTCAGCATCCGAAGGGCTTTCTTATCTCCTAAGAATAACAAACTTAAACACCAATAACTTCGAATATGAAAGATAAAATACACTGCTTGGAAACAAAAGTTAGTACATTATGACATTAGAGTTTAGCATCTATGAGAAATTGAGAATGGAGACTCAATTCAGCCAAAAATCCCATGATAAGCCAGATTTATTCATCATAGATTCCTGCTAAAACCTATAGAATTTTGCAATGAACCAGCTTTGTTTATTATGAACGAGTATGTGACTACTGAACCTCCTAAAATTAAATTTCAGGTAATTTCTTCACTTCCAAACATGCCATCATTCTTGCGCCTCAAACGCAAGGGTGAAGAACATCGCTAAATTCAAGACTGACCTGGGGAAAACGCGAAATAACGCTTAGTTTCACTATGGAGATGTCAGGGAAACATACCTCGAGTCTTCTGGGGTCGATATTCATGCGTTCATGTTCACTTTTGCAACTAAATTATTCGTATCGATGCAAGGTTCTTTCTACTGCATTAAGAAATGCATGTTTGACAAGAGTAATGTTCATGAATATGGGTTATTACTTCCATTTTGTTTAGAGGGCTCCGCCCGGGCAGGTTTGAAGGTCAATCGAAATCAGCTCATTTTCTTCATTGCGTGCATGAGGAAACAGCTTTTTAACAAGAATTGCATCTTAGGGATGGCATGCTGTGTAAGGTCGTTTGAATTTGCGGGTGATTCTTACAATTAGAAGCTTTATTTAAATTTGCCTATTGGGTTTGGTCTCACACGAGCTTTTTGTCATAAGTCTGAAAGGCGGAGAAAATGTACGAATGAATAATGAATAATTATTCAAATTTTACAATTAAAATGATAAAACCCGTGTGGTTTGAGCAGCAGTAGGGGGATAAGCGAAAGAACTTCTGAGAAGCCCCCCTCCCTTGGAGGTGATTAGCTCAAGCGCAAAACAACGGAGATCTAAAAAAAAAATATTAGGGAAAAGTGGAAGCACGGGAAGAGTTCAAATTGAGGGTTCACTTAGGTGTTGAATTTCAGCGAGACAAACTCAACCTCGGGTTAAGGTGCCATTTCGCAGGCCAATACAACTGCTTACTTTTCAATTGAATCGTAACACGCATGAAAGAGGTGTTCATAGGTTCACACAAAACATTACCGGAATTCGCTTACGATCAGTATTTCCTGAGATAACTGTACGTAACCGTTAATTGCATGACTGGGAATACTCGCACTGCTACAAGCGCGCCATATTAGATAGGAGCAGAGCGCACTCTGTCCTTGTCTTCATTCTAACCTCATCCTGTGCGACCTCTGTCCCTTCCACCCATAAGATTTCGTAATTTAATAAATTCCGTAATCACTTCGGAGCTAGAGACTCAGACTAACGTTTCATCAGCTTTTTTGGGTTTTCATCAAACCTAAGCGCACCGCATAGAACGAACTACTAACACATTATGGGTCAGTTAGGTTAGAAAAGGGTCGCGGCCTAAAACTGGCCGCGATTCACCTAAAAACATGACCATAGCAATAATATAAAGCAAAAACTTATTTGAATATATATTCATTCATTGGCCTGGGAAATGGCCCCGTATCCCTACCTCGTAACTACGTAGACTCAACACCTTACTCAATCCTTGACGTCAGTATTAATTCATCTTTGCGGGTCTTTATGGTCTTGCACTTATTTAGCTCATCCCTAAGACTTAAATGAACTCTCTGCTGCCGCGGCAAGTTGTGACTTCAAGCTTTAATCCAAGGGGGTTGGATGGATTTTCTTCGTAGGTCTGAGCCATTATGGGAATGGGAGTGCAACAGGACCAGCGCCTCCTCCATTGATGGGAAGCTACGCTTATGGATCAGGGTTGACGGGGATCAGATGGAGACCGGGAGCTGGCCACGATCTTGCCTTCTCGTCTACCTCACCTAACGTCCCGTTATAGCCAGTGCCTTCCATCTCTTTCTCATGACGAGCTTCTCCCCCTCCCCCACATATATTAACCAAGACCTTCGAATGAGCTGAATGTCGAGTAATTTTTCTCAAAACTTGTCTCTTTACAGAAATACATAAGCATTGTGATGCTAGTTGAATTCAGCTACATGCAAAACGCTTCAAAGGATTATAATGAGAGGACTGAAAGACAGCTTGAATGAATCTCATGCATTTGGTATCGGGTATTTCATTGAAGAATCCTGAATACACGAAGTCATCACATTTATTTATATCAATAGGTCCATCACATGCATCTTGGTACATGAATGAGATTGACAAGTGCGTATGCAAGCAGATGAAACACATTCAACTCTCCAGCTGACACAGACTGGAGGACACCACATAATGGTAATTTCATAATGGAACCATGACAACAGCAAGACTCTCACCAGTGTGTGCACACTCTGTACATTTTTTGTTCACAGTATAGGATTGGAGGTTTTCATGGCTAGCTGTAGCACCAAAGAGAATAGAAGAAAGACATAAAGGAGTAGAAAAGTATTTGCCAAAATATCCTGTGAAATTGCTAAAGAAACCTTTGAACAAGATAAAACAAAAGGCCAAAAAAATAAAATAAGACCTACACTGCCCAATCATTGACGAAATGCCCAAGAATGACACAACTCTGACAAATACTCAAGGACTTTATATGAAATAACCAGTAAAGTGGAATGTGAATGACTAATTCATGTACAAGCTTCAACGCCATGACTGAAGTTAATGTTATCCCCATTGTGCACATTTACAATGAAGCATAAGAGAAGCAGAGGAACCTCCAACAATGACAGCCAATCTGAGGTGCAATCTGAAGTCCAAGCTAACTCCCAAATTAGCTATAGAAATCAACAAACAGTGAACGATGCAGTAGTCTTAAGAATTTGTGATGGTGATCATGAGGATGATACAGTCCCAAGGGCAAACTCTTGCAAGGCAAATTCATTCATTCCTTTGGCATGAGGAAAGGCCTTTCCATGCAATAAAATCATTGAGTCAGCCTTATAAAGACTTCCCATTGGGATATGTAATTAAATAAGGTAGTGGATCACGAGGATGAAAGAAGGACTCGGCTATTACTGAAATCACTACACTGACAAAAAAAAAGGAAGATGATATTTCCTTTGCCTGCTTTAATGTACAAGAGAGCAATCACAGGAAAGGAAGTAACATAGAAATTCAAGAGATCAACACCAATTTGAGAGCAATGCTTATCACATGGAATATTCATTGGAGATTCCAGACTTTGACTTGAAAAACTCTTTGAGACATGTTTCCTCCCTGTTTCATGATTGGATGAATAAAAAAAGAAAAAAAGAAAAGGAAAGGCACAAGATAAGAAAACAACCACAAGCACAATGCAATGAAAAAAACAATGGTTCAAAAAGAATTCATTCAACTCAAAAGACTCATCTTAAGAATCAATTCACTTTCAAGGACATAAAAAGCAAGAGCACAAACATACTGAAAAATATGAAAATAGTGCAATATGGGGCAGACAACTCTGAGACAAACAGATCTAAATCAAGTGATCAGATCTACATCTAGTGCAAGCAAGGAAAATGGGTGGAGAGGTTAGATTCACAGTCATGGTGACTACAACGGATTTGACGAGTGATGTTTTTTCCCCAGATATTTCTAAGAACACATCATACATACAGCCATCAATCACTGACATTCAATATCCACAGTAGAGGCAGATGATTTCTTTTTTCTGTTCATGTTGTGGCAACCAAGTTGGATACAGGTAAAAGATTCACCTGTGTGACTGGAAAACAAAAAAAGTAAACCCATTTATAATAGGCATGCCAATTAATCTGAGAAAAGGAGATAATATTTTTAGGTAAGAGTAATTTTTATTGGATGACACAGTATTATGCAAAGTCAAGCTAGAACAAATACTGCAGCAGCAGTACAAAAATGCAGCTAGAGTGGAGAATAACATGAAAACAGAGCAAATATTTAAAATTTCATATGAAAAAGGTCTGCATGAAGAAAGGTAAGAAGAGGAACAGAACCCAATGGTCTCTCATCATAAGACATGTTATGATTATTGTGCCACTTAAAAAAAAAAAGCATACATGCATACTTGCATGGTTTGTATGTGGGGCGATTAAAAAGTTCTAATCCTGAGGCACTCCCAGTTGCAATATGCCTTTTTTTACTTTAATCATAAGAAGACAGATGTCTTTGATGGTGACTGGCAACATTTCATCGTATTTGCCAATTAGAGATAGCTTATATGAAATTTTTTTCAATGTGCTACCATAGGGTCTGCTGAAGGAGTATAAAAAGGGACATCAATTTTTAATATTTGTGAAGAATTTTCTATCTTCTACAGAGTTGATCTCCCAGCAGACCTTTTATAGACTCATCAGTAGGACTCTATGCTCTTAACTGCTGAAAGACCTGCTGGGAGATTGACTCCTTAGAAGCTAAAAAATTCATCACACTATGTCATATCACTTTTTCTACCCCTTCCACAGACCCTTTAGTAGCACATTGAAAAAAAATTCAAAGAAGCTATCTTTAATTGACAAATATGCTGAAATTTTACCAATCACCATCAAAGACATCTGTATTCTAATGATAAACATAAAAAAGATGTCTGGAAACTGGAAATGCCTCAGACTTAGAACTTTTTGTTCACCCAACATACAAACCATGCCAGTATGCACATGAGCTTTTTGAGGGCACTTGTGCTCAAAACAAAATAGAAATCAGAGTATGGGCATGGACAATCTATCATATCCTTCTGGCTTCTGATAGAATTACATGGGGATGGTGGGAGGAATTCAGACTGAGGCAGCAGATGACATAATTGCATGACTGATAAGGTTCAAAATCCAATATGCTCTTCAGGAGTCCATATCCTTTACCTGTTGTTTCTATAGACTCAATCTATTTGTACAGGAATAACCAAACTGATGAATGGCTGAAACTCTGGTCACAAAAAGCAGGAGGTGCCAGTTCTAACTGAATGTACATATTTGGCATTCATATCATTTATTGGAAGAAGTACAGTCTTCTGACATGGATCCAGCATTGAAAGAGCAGTCATTTTTGGAAGAAGGATGAATGTTCAGCAGTATGAGAGAACCATTCTTAACAAAATGGCAGGACATCCCCTTCATGTGGACATGAATGTGCTTTGCAATAACTTGTATCTCCTTCCATGCCCAGAAGAATCCATAATAAAAGAGGAAGTCAAAACAAATGAATCTGCCTGGAAACTATGAGACAACCTTTTCATTTGCTTTTTCCCCCCTTGTCAATGGCTAGCTAGGCTCTTTTTGATATGCAGCATGCAGTTACAGACTCCACACTCACCATGTGAATCCATATACTTATGTTTTATTCAGCTTTAGCTTCTTCAGACTTCTCACTTTCTTTAGTTTCTTCTTCCTTGGAGTCTTCTTTCTTATTTTCCTCTTCCTTCTTCTCTTCCTTAACTTCTTCCTCCTCCTTCTTCACACTGTGTTCATCAGCTTCCTTTTTTATGAACCAGATTTCATTCCTTCTTCCAAATGGTTTGAAAGGAGGATCATAGCCAACAGTATAGTAATGTGTCAGGTCCACTTTCTGCTCTCCCTTATCTTGAAGTACTTTTTTGAATTCTTCAGCTTCTTTCAGCCATTCTTCATCCTTGACATAGCCTCCAAATGTCCTGCAATGGAAGAACATCCATGTTTACTTCAAACTTCAGTCTGCTGTTTGTTAATGCAAGCATTTAGCAAGCAAATTGAAAGGACCTGGAAACAATGCGCATCTCAGGGTTCTCCAGGATAGAAACATTCTCAGCTGATGGTTTGGGGGGGCTTTCTTGGAAGTTGGGAGGGATATAAAAGCCCATTGTGAATTCCCACTGTTTTGCTTTTTCATCTTTCCCTTCCTTGTCTTTTTTGCCATGCTCTTCATTTTCTCCTTTCTTGTTGCCTTCTTCATTGCCTGTCTCTTCCTTTTTCTCATCTTCCTCACTCTTTCCCTCTTCTTCAGGACAGAGTCTATACAGCATTGTCACAGGAGTTGTCATATCCATTTTTTTCCCTGTAAACATTGAATGCCACAAAAATAAGCAAAGTATAGCTAAATCATGATAAGACTGTCATGCAGTATATAGCCAAAGATCACTCTTGAATAAAAGATTGGCAAAAGAGTGGTTCAACTAGGTTTAAAAAGCAAATTTGAAGTAATTTACATTTGAAGTAGCAGTTGAAAAAACCCATAAACTACAGACTTTTTTGGGGGGAGGGATTATGGTAATTAAAGAGGGTGCAGAGAGGGGTCTGGGAGCTATCATTCGAGGGTCCCTCAAATTCATGAAAATGTATCTATTACTACCTCCAAAATAATACCAGGGATTCCTGCAATCCCATGCAGTTTAGTTTGCAAACATATTGCAGAATTTGGACCCTATTGAGGAATGCATTCTTCTTTTCTACAGGGTGTCCCATTTATATCTGACACATTTATTTTTGTAATAAATCAGGACTGAACAAAGTAATGCAAGCTGTTATTATATCAAAGTACAAACATGGGAGATTGTCACACTAACTATCCCAGGTCTATGTCTTAAAAATTAAATTCTTTAAATGCTGTCTTTTACAATTGATGCACCCCCTGCATTGAACAACTACATTGTTCATTACTGTAATGAAAGTGTCTTCACCAATAGCATCAATGGCTTCATTAATTATGATTTTAAGATCATCACCACTTCTGGGACGTGTCTGGTTGACTTTGCGCTTCAATAATCCCCAAAGAAAATATCCAGTGCAGACAGGTCTGAGTCTTATAAGACTCAGACCTGTCTGAATGATCTGTCTGATGGCCATGAAACAGTGTTGAACCCAGAAATTATCCTTTCCCCAAACTGCTGCCTAAAAAAATTCAAAATCCCATACCAGATTTTTTTCTCTGGGGATTATTGAAGAGCTAAGTTTACAAGACACATCCCAGAAATAGAAATGAACTTTAAATCATGATTAATGAACCCATCGCTACTATTGGTGAAGACACACTGATTGGAGTAATGAACAATGTAGTGGTTTGATGCAAGGAATGCATCGTGAAAGATAGCATTTAAAGAATTTAATTTTTACGATGTAGAACTTGGGTAGTTAGTGTGACAATCTCCCATGTTTGTATTTTACTTTGATATAATAACAGCTTGCATTACTTTGTTCAGTCCTGATTTATAAAAAAAATTAATGTGTCAGATATAAATGGGACACCATGAAGTTAGACCTGTGATGGCAAGATGAGATAGTAAGATCCTATGAAACCTTGGGGGACTTTTGGAGGAGGGCCTGTGTACCATAGTTGCACATAACTGGAGCACAATGGAGACCTTGGAGCCATCTGCACACAGGATAAATATGAAGAAATTAGCACTGAAAATAAAATAAAATGACTAACCAGTTTCATTCTTTCCATTGATGAAATCGAAGAGAGTATGGAACATGGTCTTCTGGATGGCTGACCTTGATGTTCCCTTTAGCTGTGTGGTGACCCACTTCATTGGGGGATACAAGCGTTCTTCATAGTTCTCCTGTTGAGAAGTGCAAGAAGGCCCATAAAGAAAGAAAATGAGTAATAAGCTACATCCACAAACTTTGTACTGTTAAATACCTTGTGCTTGTTGACCACTTCATAGGGGGCAGTGTCTGTGCCAACTAATGCACTTTTCAGAGCTCCTAACACAAATGCCATGCTGAGGCTACAGGAGTGAAACCTAGTCTAAAAAACTAAGTGCCACTATCTACCTGAAAGATATAAGACTTAGCCTCCATCTCTTGGTCATGAAACAGTGATTTATGCAACATGAATCAGAAAAACCCAACAGTGAAAGATGTTGACCCTACCGAGACAGGTAGGACCTGTGGTTCATATACCACAAGCACATTGGTCTGCTGTGAGGAAGGTATCCAAGAAAAGAAATGGTTTCAATTTCATTTTTGAGACAAACATATATTTTGTCAAGCCACAATTCATAGGAAGCACAACATTCCACAAGTCATTGTCCCATAAAAAATAAAAAAAAGGATAAAACCAACTGGAATGTTTATAATATTATATAAATAATCTTTGGCTGCAACATCATGAAAGCATTCATTTAAAGGATCCTCCTGAATGACAGCATGCCTCATATGTAAAAAAAAAAAAAAAAAAAAAGGATTAAAAAGAGGGGGGGGAAAANGGGTGCATCAATTGTAAAAGACAGCATTTAAAGAATTTAATTTTTAAGACATAGACCTGGGATAGTTAGTGTGACAATCTCCCATGTTTGTACTTTGATATAATAACAGCTTGCATTACTTTGTTCAGTCCTGATTTATTACAAAAATAAATGTGTCAGATATAAATGGGACACCCTGTAGAAAAGAAGAATGCATTCCTCAATAGGGTCCAAATTCTGCAATATGTTTGCAAACTAAACTGCATGGGATTGCAGGATGTACAACCAAACTGATACTAATTAAAATGGATGGTACAGAGAAATAAAGAAGGAACTTCAGGTGAAAGAATATATAATTCCAGGCTAGGCAAAAAATCTTGCTTCAAGGTACACATATAGCTATAGAGGTGCCTAGAATGTCAAGAATCTGGAAGACTCCTAGAATGGTGAAAAAAAAAAAGAAGTAGTCAGAGTCTGGAGATTTTCATCAAGATGTGCAAAAGAGGTTTTCTTCTTATCTTGTGAAAGGCACTGTTCACACTGCAGAGAGTGAAAAATGAACTTCTTTACTCACTACCAGAGAGAGCAACTACTGGTTTTGGGGATCATTAAGCCCTTCATCAGCTATCACTGCTTCCAACTTTGGAACCATGCACTTGCTCATGTTGCAAGTCATGCCCAGGCTATATTCAGCATATCATCCAAATTCAGCAATGAAAATTTTGATGCAAGAAGGAATGATTTAGAGATACCAATGGGTTGTGATTGGGGAGAACTAATCCTAATTCCTCACTATTAATTACACATCTGATTCAATAACATCTCATGGGGCAACCTGTCTGCCAAACATGATTCTTATCAATAATTACTTGGTTCTTGGGAGAGTTTTGGAACTGTATGTCCCCAGCTTTGGGTCATCACATCTAAAGGGTTAAGTAGCATTTTATAGTTGGACGGATTCAAGTCAATCATGACAGTATGAGGCTGTCTTGCTCACAGATATATCACTATTGACAAGAGTGGATGGAACAGGAACATAAAATATAACCTCTTTCTCAAATATCATACAGAATACAAGTTACAATGTATAACCTGGGCAGCTTATCATGTGCTAGTAAAAGCTTCCAAGAAGCATATTTGAATGCCATGTTGCACGTTGCCAATGTTACGCTGCAAATGGCTGTACACAATCATGCACACACATGCACCCATCAAGCCTTACATAGAAAATGCCCATTTAACCATTAAAGACATTCAGAAGTGTCATGGAAATTCATGACCATACATGAAACAGCAAAGTAAGAAGAGTTAAGCAGTTTCCACAATTGAAAAATCCAGGTGGTTCATGAGAACATACACTGAATTGGGCAACATAAAAACCAACTGGAATGGCTAAATGTTCAATCACAGGCTGTGCACAATCATACTTGTCATACAAGTGATCACAATGAGGTCTGGGAAAAGACACTTCACTGCACACTGGCAAGGGGAGGAATGGCACGGGCAGGCTTCAGCACATACAAGACAGCATACACTAGACAAGAAGTGAATTGAGAAAAAATGGCATGAAAAATATAAGGTTTCCTTCACAAGAGGGAAGACAGTCTGCCCAAGCACTGCAGGGCATAACATGGTCAGGCACTTCAAAATGTAAGGACAGAACTTTCCCAGTACCAAATTTATCAATATAAAATGAGATCTTCTGGGAAGCCTAAACAACATTAAAACAAGGTGGTGAAGTTCAAGAGTGAGCGATGGCCTACAGACGAGCTACTTCTTGCTCCTACAGAATAACTTGTTCGACTCCTGTGGTGCAAAGGCATGAGATCAAGAAGTAAGAACAAGTAGGCAAGAGGTAATTGAAAAGGGAGTAGGCCTAAGCAAGTTCATGACAAGGCTATAGGAGCAGATGTTTCTTGAGGTACTTAGAGACCAGCTGGGAGGGGGAAAAAAATGAATAGAAGTAGAGGGAGACAAAAGGTAAAAGCACAATTCACACAGCAGAGTATTAAGTGTGTAAATGACGCTACTACTCTCATTGAGATATAAGTACCAAGAAAACAAGTAACAGGACAGAAGGTTGAAAATGCTATGAAAAATAATGAAAAATGCTGAATGAAAAAAAGACAGCTTATACATGTCATGTGTTACAGTTTAGATGAGCCTCTCCTCAGGTGGGGGTTTCATGACATTTCCCATCTCCACTCTAGACCCAAAAATTTCTTGACGAGATGGTGAATATGTACCACGTGTAGCTCGCTTCTTCTTGGCCATTACCAGGAATGCAATGAAAGCACCTGCTGCTATTAGCAGGATCCCAGCCAAAATTGGAGCAACTATCAGTGCTATTTGCCCAGGATCAGCAGATGAGAGCTAGAAGACATTCAATCATGTTTCTGTTCAGTACAAGTGTTCTGGGCATTAATTTGAAAGCCATTAACAAGGAGGTAAAATAACTTACTTCAGTGGTGCAGTTTTTGCCAACAAATCCAGCAACACACTCACACTCATAATTGGATTTGCCATCACTTTCATTACATTCTGGGATGCAAACTCCACCATTTTGACATGTGTCATTCTAAACAGTGAAAAAGAAACAAAGTATTAGAGATATTTGAGTAATCAATGACATTACAGCTCCTAGCATACACCAGGTGGCAAAAGCAGAGTCCGGTGAGCTCATTGACATGAGAGTAATAACTAAGGAAACCAATTAGAAGACACCATCCTGTAAATCACAGGAAGCATACACAGAGCCTCACAAATAGCATGAAAAAATTGGAGCTAAAGGTTGATCTCACTCACCTTACAAGGATTTTCTAGCTCACATGTAGCCCCACAGAATCCCTCAAGGCAAAGGCAAACATAGGAACCAGGTAGGTTCTCACAGGTGGCACCATTTACACACACTGCTCTCCTTTCCAAACATTCATCAATGTCATCCTGACATTTGTTCCCTGACCATCCCTCTATAGAAGAAAGAAGAAGAGAGTTCCAATTTTGAAAGAATAATTTGAATGAATGATAACCATATAAAATTAGCTGAAGCAGAGGCTTACCAGTGCACCTGCAGCTGAAGAAATTCGTTTGATCTTCACAAGTTCCTCCATTGAAGCAAGGGTTACTTTCACATTCATTTCTATTAATTTCACAATTTTTGCCAGTGAAACCAGGATCACAAGTGCAAGTGTAGCTCTGGAATTAAAATACCATTTGAAATCAGTCTCACTCATGCACATTCTATTGTATATGATCAAACCAGACCTCTTTGTCTGAGACCCCTGCAAATTGGGAAAAACTCAGAAAAATATTTAGTAATATGGAGAATTCCCACAGAAACCACCACTTTCTTTTCATACTATCAGCTGAATTGATGGGAATCAACATTTTTTTATTTAAAAATGAGCAAGAATCTGCTATAGTCTTTGCTTTCTGAAAGCACCAATTTGGGTTATCCCATACATATAAACAAGGTATTTTCATAAATACCATATGAGGGTCACTCTGAAAGCTTGTAGCTACTCTTTAATATATAAGCTTGGAGTCTCGATAATTGGATCACCTATCATGGTCCATGTAGGCCAGCAGCCCTTTGCCATGGCTGTACCTTAAGAAGTTGAAGAGTTGTGCTAGTTTTCCTGTTGTGGCTTTTATGTTCTTAAATTTTGAAGATTGAGTCCATTTGTGAAAGGTTCAAGTTAGTGCCTTTGTGCCAAGTAGGACTGGATTCAAAAAATTTCAGGAGCACCTGGTGGAGGCATGGAGTGATGAAGTTCCAAAAATGTCCACAATTTCTAAGTGATTCTGTGAATTCAAATGGGGCTTAGGCTTCACAAGGTTGTTCCTCATCGAGTACCCCACACAGTCAGGCTTCCAAAAAGAGATCAGAGTGAAATGGCACATTGACACTACAAAAATTCAACTAGGATGCTCAAAACTTGTGTTTGATCAAGTAACTGGAGATGAAACTTGGATTTACGAATTTGATCCAGAAATGATATGCTAGAGCACAATTCTGATCTTTCTGAGTGAGGAACCACCCACCAAAATCTGTTGGCCTTGCCATGTTGGGTAGTAAATGGTGGCCACTTTCTTCTCTTCTACTGGTCATATTACTCCAATTCCCCTTCAAGAGCCTGCCACCATATATGCTGAAAGGTACATAGCCATCTGCTTGCCTGCTTTATTTGCAGCTGTCCATCATCAATGTCTCAAGTGGGGGCTTTGGGGCTTGTTGCACCATAACTATGCTCCAACACACACAGCAAAGGAAACTGTGGACTTCTCTTCCAGTCAACATGTCCAAACATGGTAACATCCCCGTTATTCACCTGATTTGGTCCCTTTTGACTTCTTATTCCCCAATTGTGAAGAAAGACTCTGTGGTCCCCAATTTCAAAGCTCTGATGATGCTGTGGTTGTTTACTGAAACACTTTGGTTGACCCTGTTGAAGAGGATTGGCAGGACTGCTTCGACTCTTGGTTTTGACGAATGCAACTGTGCATATATGCTAGGGGATTTTTTTTGAGAAGCATGGAAAATATCAAACTGACATTTTCTATAGTATGGAAGCAGCTACAAATCTCAGAGTGACCCTCATTTACTGCCATAATATTAATTTTTGCAGCTCTATTTGCAGGAACTACCTACATCAAGGAAATTAAAGGGGAGCTTTCAACTATGACCTAAGTCAATGAAAATTTGACACAAGCTTTCACTTGCTGCATCAATCATGTTGGGTTAGGTCATCGGTAATACATTAAAAAAAAAACAAACCTGGAAGATGTTGTATCATAGGACTTGGAAAAACTAAAACCTGAGTTTTGACATGAATTTAAACTTTTTAGGTCTCTCAAACCTAAAAGGGAGGGAGTTGAGAACACAAAATGAACATAACATTTATTTTCAAGTACAATGAATTTTTTTAAAAACAAAATCATGGTCCTCTCTATATTTTCAAAAATGAAAATTCTTCCAGGTTTCTCCACTTAAATATGTGAGCATGAATGTTTTCTTCTGCAGCAGAAATAATGAAGACGAGTGAAACAACATACTCCAATAGAAGGTGTGCAGCTTCCTTGATTGCAGGGGCTTGTTGGTGAGCAAAAATCAATAATAGTTTCACAGTTGATGCCAGTGATACCATACAGACACCTGCAGGTGTAATTAACAGCAATGCCTTTCTCTGCAAATAAAAAAATCTCACTATTCAAAAACCTGACTGTTCAACTGAAAATGGCTATGAAGCAAGACAAATGGCAGGATCAGACAATATTCAATACTCACCAAACTTATCAATGCATGTTGCTCCATTTTTGCAAGGCTCATGACTACAAGTTATGATGCGGAGTTTAGTGCAGTCTTTACCAGTATAATCATCTGAGCATGAGCAATTGTAATCATTGAGAAGGTCCATGCAAGTGCCACCATTTTGACATGGATGTGATTCACACTCATCAATTTCCACATTGCACCTGAAAGATAAACATGAAAAATTTATTTATGTATGTAAAATATGTCCCTTTTTGAAGTGAAAGTGATGACAAATGAATACTCACAGCCATCCAGTATATCCAGGGTCACAGGTGCAGGTATAGTTAGCAATCTCATCCAAGCAGTGACCATGGGCACATTTATTCTCCAAGCACTCATCTATGTTGATTTCACAGAGTTTCCCTTGAAATCCTGGTGGGCACAGGCAATTATAGCTTGCCAACTTATCTTCACACACAGCCCCATGTTGACATTCTGCATCATAGCACAGCTGACAGATTCCAGTGTCAACAAAATGAACAGGTTCAACAATGGAAAACTTCAGATGAACTGGATTGAAGCCCATGTCTGACTCAGGCACAAAAGACAGTAAAACACCTCCAACTCGGACTACACCAATGCATCCTCGGAAATGTGGATCCATATGAGTATCAGGAGCATGAAGATTCACAGTTTCTGAGGATAAGCTGTTGTCTATATCATACAAATTTCGAGTATCTGAATCATTCAGCCCTGATCCATGGGCAGCTCCAAGTGTGACCAATCCAGTTGATGCCATATGCCAGATCCCAACGTCAAAGACTGTACCAGACACAAGTTGCTGGTCACCATCATCCACAGAGGCAGTGAGATGAAGATTGTCATCAACAGACAACACGACCTTATGCCAAGAGCCGTCCATCACTCCCGATCCAGACTGGAAGTCAGCCTTATGAAGGCTACTGATGCTCCCACCCAAGACAGTTCCCCAGACAAGGTTCAACATGTTCCTGGAAACCCCTAGAGCAAGAAAATGGTCCTTGTTCTCTATGTGGATGATGGGCCCTCCAGTTTGTGTTCGGAAGTGGCATTCAATAACATCTCCTCTCCTGGCATCTGATGGCCCTGTCAACTTGTATGATGTGGAACTGTTGTATCCATTGAAGGTGGCATTGGTTAAGCATTCAAATCCATCCTCCAAGTCTTGGCAGTCAGAGCCTTCAGGACATGTAGTAGTATTTTTCAAGCTGCAGTACTTCAGATCAGAACAGGTCTTCCCTTTAAACTCAGGAGGACAAGCACACCTGCAAAAAAAATAGCACAAAATGACCAATGCCCCTATGAAATTGGGAATGTACTACCAACTTTTTCACAATATTTTTAACTCTTTAAATACTAGGACCGTACACAAATGGTTTAAAACTTTGCAAGTTAATTTTCTACATCTTCAAGGCAGATATTGCATGTTGTATTTTGCGGGTTGTTTGCACTTGACCGAATAACCTTTGTCCGTGCACCTGTCTACGATCACAAGTTATGAATTACCCTCTTTGGAGAAAGCTGTAATGTACCCCATATTTTTGTCAAAGAGGCAGTCCTTAAATGGTTAAAAGGCAACAGGGGAGTGGGTACCTAAAAATGGTTTAAGATTTGCCATAATGCAAGAAAGTATGCTCATTATCAATTGAAGCCAATAAATCAATGGATGCAAATGGAAATCTGTTATCCTACACACCAAAAATATAATCCCAAAACCTGGCAGGATTTTTAATTTTAAGAAATCCTGCCAGATTTTTGGTATCCATTTTTAAGTGTGCTGCATAGGTGGCATTTCAAAATTCGGCCCCCCAGGGTAACTTAGTGCCAGTTTTTAATAAGACAAAGAATTGAATGGCTTTTCCACTTACACAAAATCATTGAAAGTCACTTGACATGTTCCACCATTGAAGCAAGGATCTATCTTGCATGTGTTATCACTGACAATTCCTTGAAGGATGCCAGTTACATTAGTGACATTTATCCTGGGAGGAAGGATCAAGTCTGCTTCTATTTCTTGCAGAGGAAATATTTCAATGATTCTTGTATCTCTGCCATTGCTGATCTATAGGAGATAAGAACATTCAATTTAGCTTTGTACCTCCTTGAGGAATCATCCAGCTTGCACATGACTCACCTCAATGTCCTGGATGACACCCTTGAAATATGGCACTCCAGCAGGAATACCGGTCTGCCTTCGAGTTCGTCTAGGCATGTTGCCTATGTAAATGACATCAGTGTAAAGTTCCCTAGCGACACTGATCCTTTGGGTGAGGAATCTTGTACCATTGATCCATACTTGCACTGTGGTGTTCTGCCTCAAAGCCTATCAAATCACATTGAACAATCATGTGACATTTCCATACCCAAGTCCAGGAAAGAATGCTTCCACCTTTTTTGCCTGATTTTTCTTCACTTCTAAAACATGCAAAGGTTTTAAATCTCACATATTACCAGTTGAGATCACCTAACATGCAACCTGGAAATTCCAGCACAAGAGTGAGCAGCTAAACATTTGCCTTCGATATATTTAGCCTTTTTTTCATGTGGAGAAGAGAGGAGAAAACTCCATAGTGGGAAGAAGAATCTAATAGAATATTATATTTCAAAAGACACTTTTCCTACCCAGTTCAAAAATTGAACAAAAGTTGGTAGAATTCCTCTAAACATGGGCGGGAAAAGGGCTGAACTCTTCTATAAAATTTATATGCAGAGAAGAGCAGTTCAGCTGCACACTTTCATGCTATGGTTCTCCAATGTCAGGAAAGAGCCTTGATAAGCCACCCCTGCATTTTGCATCAGAAATCAAGAAAAAATAGTAAAAAAGCATTATGTTCCTGACTTTAGTCTTGTCAACTAGATTGGATTATTGTAACTATAGGGTGAATGATTTATGCCGCTCTATTTTTAATCTGTTATAATTTTTCAATTTACAATCAGAATTACATTAAACTTTTCACATATTGTAAATAAATTAATGAATTTAATGTCCTTTTACTCAAACTTCCACATATGTTTCAGTGTTTGCTGCACACTTTGCAACAAGATCTTGATGCTGTTTACTGCTGCATGCATAAAGTGTAGCGGGACATGGCTCAGTACCTTACAAATTCGCTCTTCCAACTCTTCAATATTATGTGGTTTTGTTATAAACTTCATCCATAGCCCAGCTCCCAAGAAAGACATCACAGGGAGTGAGATCTGGGCTATATGCCGGCCATTCATGTGAACCACATCCCCTATCCATCTGCCAAGGAATGTGGCATGCAGCCAAGCCCAAAATGAGGCAATGCTCCACCTTGCATAAAGTGCAAATAGTTAATGCTGCTCCATTGAGAAATTATGGGCCCACTCATAATCCAGCAACTTATTGAGATATCTTTTCCCATTCAACAAAACCCCAGACCAGCATCTGGATGCTATGTGAGCTCATTCTTGATCTGTCAGTCTGTGCACCATGGTTAACCTGCATTCAAGGTACTATTAACCCAAAAAAAGAAAAAACCTCTGATCAGATGTAATTCTGATCATAAATGACAAAGTCACAGCAGATTAAAAATAGAGATATAAATCATACACACTATAGTTAAAATAATCCAATCTAATTGACAAGACTAAAGTCAGGAACATAATGCTTTTCCTAATTTTTCTTGATTTCTGCATTTTGCATCAGAAATCAAGAATTGGTGTTGCACTATTGGTGCCATTGGTCAATGGCACTAATAGTGCAACACCAGTGGCTGATACTGGTATTAGCTGATACATCAGTACAGTCCTTAAAAAAAATTTTCCAATTTAGTTCTTTTTTTTATTTAAATATCACATGTAGGAGCATTTCTTACACAGGAAAATAAATTTTGATTACCAGTATATTTTCAATGCAGGACTGCAAAGTGTCAAAGAAAGTCATCTAATATGCCTTGCAGTACAGCTCAACACACCTACAGTAACAATTATTTCTATGCCATTAGATATCATCCTCAGATTGCCACAGTCATCATTTAGCTTACTGAGGGTGGCTTTGAGGGCATGATTAAGGGTTGTCACAGTATCTTGGTAATCAACAAATAACTCAAAGGAGTTTTGATTGAATCACAGCACTTACTATCACCAAGAAACAAGCTTTCAAACAGCATACATAATGATGATGCCCTGACCTGAATGAGTCGAACTTCACCATCGTCCAGCTTGAGACCTTCTACTTTGAATCGGGTTTCATTTGGATTAAGCTGAACACGGACATAGAGGAATCCATCCTCCATCTCCAACACCACATGAGAAATGTCACTTGTGAGGGCCAGGTCAGGGTTGGTTCCAATGTAGAAGAGAAGACCATTTGGTGAACGAGTACGTATGAAGAATGATATATCCACATATTTTGAATATGTCTGCTTTAGAGCATTTGAAACAAGGGCCTCCACAATGGAGTCAGTGACATTCTCATGTCCAAAAGTTGCAGGTGCATAACCTGAATAAAAGAAAACATTTGATATGCACACCAATCCAATGAAATTATGAGCAGTGCATGCAGTTTTTATGAAGGAAAAACTCACTGATGTTGCATGTTCTTCCAAGATGAGGTCTTTTACATTGACACTCAAAATTATTCCACAAATCAAGGCATTTCCCATCATGAAAGCATGGACTCGGGCTGCACTGTGGGACACGAGAGCAGCCAACTTTTGTATTCACCATCCAATCATTATTTAGTGAGTCTGGCAAGATCCTCTCTTCATTGAGTACAATATCTTGGATGCATCCAGTGAATGATAAGTTCTTGGCAAGACTGCGAAGCCCAGGACTAGATCCACCAATTAGAGTCATGTTGAAGCGAGACTCTGTTGATGGATCTGAGGATTCAATAGGTGGATTTGAAGGATGGATGTTCTCTGACGTCCCATTCTCATTGAAGCTTCTCAGCACAATCCGAGACTCATTGAATTTCAGCCCCACTCCCTGCCATTTCCCATTGTTGAGTTTTTCTCCCACAAAGACTCCTTCAAGTTTGTTTAGCAGGCTGGAATGAAGATTCAGTCGACCTTCATGCAGGACAAGGCGAAAATAGGTCTCTCCTTGCCCCATTGCTAGCAAGCAATTTGGTAAAGTTGTCCGAAAACGCATCCTCAGGTCATATCCAGCAGCTCTATCTGAGTATAGAGTGAGATATGAAGCCTCTCCATCAAAGGATAATGTTGTTGAGATATCACAGAATTTCCCATAGAAGCCAGCAGCACAGGAACAGTTGAACTTATGTATCATTTCTCCCTCAACATATGGGATACAAGTCCCACCATTCTGACAAACAACTTCTTGACATCCTAGCAATTCAACAGAGCAATTCTTGCCACCATAGCCTTGAGGACAGATACAGGTATAGTCAGCCACAGCATCAACACATTCTCCCCTGACACATGGACTGTATTCTTCACATTCATCAATTTCAGTTTCACAGTATACTCCTTCATATCCAGGAAAGCAAGAACATTGGTAGCTGTTGATCCCATCTATGCAAGTCCCATGAGTACATGGATTTGATGCACACTCATCAATGTTCACTTCACAATTGTTCCCAGTGAAGCCTGGAGGACACAAACAGATGTATCCTCCAGCTGAAGCATAACTGAAGTTTGGGAATTCCCCACGAAAATTATTTTCATAGAGTGACATATTGGAGCGCTCAAGACACATTCCTTCATGCATGCAGGGATGGGATTGGCATTCGTTGATGTCAACTTCACAATTCTTCCCTGTCATGGGAAAAAATAAAAGACGGAATATGAAGCAGATGTACCCAAAAATCAAGGCACTAGCTTTAATTTAAGTCATTTATACAATTCTGGTAGCACCACCAATTTAAATCCTGAATTGTAAGAGAAGAAAGCAAAAGAATATGAAACTAGGATGGAAATATGCTCAAATGGGATAGATAATTCTCCAACTCATCCAACAAAATCTCAATATTTAATACCAATTATGCCTTCTGGCATTAAATTAGAAAAATAATTAATGCAGCAAGCATTGCAGAAGGCAACACAAGTTCAGTAGCCTTGCCAATCACTTCCTCCTAACTCACAAGAACTGGCTGCCAGTGCATTCATGACATAAAATCTGCAAACAGTTGAGTAACATGAACAAGATAGTAACTGGGAGTACTTACCACCATAACCAGAGAAGCACTGACAAGAATAATCCTTGATGCCATCAACACAAGTGCCACCATTGACACATGTGGCATTGATGCAATCATCTATGTTCTGCTCACAATGGACACCAACAAAGCCAGTCTCAGTGCAGTCACAGTTGTACCAGTTGATGCCATCCACACAGGAGCCACCATTCATGCAAGGGGATGACTAGAAGAGCAAATCACCCAAAAACTGTTATGATTGCTCCAAGCAATTACTAGAGCAGTCTCCAATAACAGCATATGCAAATGAGCCAGGTAACAGTACTTGCAATATATTTAAAAGTATAATTAGATAGAGAACAGTAGCAGCCACCAACCTGGCATTCATCTATGTTGACTTCACATAGGCTACTTGTGAAACCAGGCTGACAAGCACATGAGAATTTTGCTATCTCATCAATGCATGTCCCATTGTTCTTACATGGATTAGATTCACACTCATTTATGTTCACATCACAATCTTTCCCTAGAAAATAACAAAAACACACACATAAAACCAACACCAAGGGAAATTTTCACTTTTCTTGATACCTTCTAGGGCCTACTGAAACTATTGAAATAAGGACCTCCATGAGGAACCAAAGTGTTTGTGAGACAGTCTCTTAGGTTCTGCTAGACCAAATCAAACATGGAGTCCCCATAAGACCACATCCTAGAACCACAGTAATGAGCATAGATGTATCTTCTTGTTGACGTGAGAAATTATCTCCAATCAGTTGCAATTTAGAATGGCTACAAAAACACTGAGAAGAGTTACACTTGATTTGCACTCACATACAGGTTGGACAGATGGGGTGGAGGGGAAATAAAATAAAATAATAAATAAAAGGGAAAATGACAATTTCCTCTCAATGTAGCCAACAGATGGAAAATAAAAAATCTTTAGCTGAAGACTTATGAAAGAGATCTACAGTACATTAAAAATATTAGGCAGCAGTGAGAGTTCAACAGACCAGTAAAGCCTGGAGCACAAGCACACTCATATCCATTTATGAGGTTCTTGCATGTCCCATTATTCTGGCAAGGATGGGAGAGACATTCATCAAACTCCAGGTTGCAGTTATCCCCAGAAAAGCCAGGACGACAGAAGCACATAAATGAGCCTGCATGAATGAGAAAGTCGGGGGAAAAAAGTAGTTGAGTATCAAATACCATATTGCAAACTAAATAATAACCTCTTCCCAATAAATGCAGTCCAAGCCTCATATTGCTTTTACATTGCAGAAATGATTGCAACACATCCAGAGTCCATTTGGTGACTGCCCTACATAAGTTGGTTTGTCCATAGACTTGCCCTGCATGATATTTCCAGTCAAGGAAACATCAGTTAAAGCTCAAAAGGGAAGCTCTGGTCTTAAAATGGAAACAATGGGAAATTCTCATGTCAAAAGCAAAAGATCATCCATTTATAGAGGAAGAAGGAATGAAATTGAAAAAGGAAAATTTAGAACTATCACACACAAGAAACAATCTGGCAGGCCATATGTTGGGTCTCCCTGATACAAGAGTTTCTAGTAACATTGCAACAAAAGGACAAAAATTCATATGGTAAATGGTGAGAGCACCCAAAGTAATTTATACCCAAGTAATACATAAATAAAAATCATAAAAGTAATTTTGTGCTTTTGCCTCTTTGTCCCTTAACCACCTAATTCAATAAATATGTATTTTCATCTTACATAAGGACTAATCAAGAAGTAGCTAGCACTTACCCATAGTATTTTCGCAGATACCATGAACACAGGGAGATACGTCACACTCATTCACATCTGATTCACACCCCTTGCCTGAAACCAGAATAGACACCAATAAAAGTGATTACATTTCCATTTCATGCTATTTCTACCATGAATCAAAGCTGATTCCATATCTTGTACCTTCCCATGGGCCATAAATCCCCATGGATAACACTAGAGATGCACTAAAAGTAAAGCAGAAGGAAAATAACAGTACAAATTTTTTGCAAGACTTCATCACTGCAGAATAAGAATGCATACCAGTATAGCCAGGTTGACAGAGGCAGTTGTAACCAGCAACATCATCCATGCAAGTGCCATTATTTTGACATGGACTACTTATGCATTCATCTATGTTGATATCACACTGTTCTCCAGTAAATCCAGCAGGACAACGGCACTCATAATTCCCAATGAGGTCAAAGCACACTTTTCCATGAGGGCACACAACATTGAAGCAATCATCAATGTTGTTTTCACAGGCCAGTCCTTCAAACCCTATAAAACCAATCCAAGAACAAAAAATAACCTGACATCATCAGCAGCCCATAGACATAGCCATGCAAGAAAAATGCCACATAACATTTAAATTCAGTAGACCTTACCATTTACACATTCACAGTAGTACCCAGGAATAACTTCTGGAGTAGTGATGCAAGAGCCACCATTCTGGCATGGTGAGTCTGCACAAGCATTGTATGTATCAGTGCAATTTTTCCCCATATATTCTGGAGTACAACTACAGCGATATCCATTCACCAGGTCAACACAAGTCCCTCCATTAGCACAGGGATTCCCAACACAGTCATCTATTTCAATTTCACAAAGATTACCTGAAAAAAAGTGAGCACACGTATATCAACCACTGAAGGTATATGCCAAATTACTCATTGCATGGAAATTGCCCCTGCTTACCTCTGAAGCCTGGCTTACAAGTGCATGAAAATCCATGTACTTCATCATGGCAAGTCCCATTATTCAAGCAAGGGAGTGACCTACAATCATCAATGTTACTGTCACAGTTCCTCCCAGTCCAGCCAGGCTGACAATTGCACCGGTAACTTCCAGGCTGTAAAGTTAAAAATATACATTATCCTATAACTGTGTTTATTGGAATGCACATGTCATATACAAGACATGCACTCTTGAACACATGGAGCATTAAAAATAAATAAAAAACTGTGAACAAAAAGTTGAGCATATACTGATATGTTCTACAGCAGTAAAAAAATTATATGTCAGAGCATTTCCAGTTGCAATACTACTACTACTTTGAGAAGTCTTTGATGGTGCCTGGTAAAATTTCATCATATTTGTCAATTGAAGATAGCTTCTATAAATTTTTTCCAATATGCTACGAAAAAGTCTGCAGAAGGGAAAAGTGACAGGAATGCTGTGTTGAATTTTCTTGCTTCTAAGGAGTCAATCTCCCAGCAGATCTTTTAGTAGCTAAGAGGATAGGGTCCTATTGACATCACTATAAAAGATCTCCAAGGAGATAGACCCCTTAGAAGCTAGAAATTCATCACAGCATTCATGTTATTTTATACAGACCATTTAGTAACATGTTGAACAAATTTCATAGAAGCTATCTTCAAATGACAAATATGATAAAATGTTGCCAGTCACCATCAAAGACAAGTCTTTTCATGATACAAGTAAAAAGGGTGTATTGCAACTGGAAGTGCCTCAGGCTTAGAACTTTTTGACCAGCCCACATATCTAACATAATAACTATCCCAATATCAAAATGATTCAGCATGAGTTGTTATTGTTAGGCAAAAGTAAAAAAAACAGCAATTATGAGTACTTTTATATGAACTACTTAGAAGCCAGAACACTAGTTTAATTCTGCATAGGGTTCAAAGAGCCAAGAAATACAAAATTCCAATGAACTAACTACTAGGCTGTACCACTCCTCCATTTTCTGACTTTCTCCACAATTAAGGAAGAATGAATTGAATTTTGAACAAGAAAAAATGAAGGAGATAAGAATTTGGAGAGATATTTGACCATGTGATTTATATAAAGAAAGTTGGAAGTAGAGCATGTCAAAGGTCCTTACCAAGTCAATACAGCCTTCAGCATATATACAAGGGTGAGAAGCACACTCATTGATGTCCACTTCACAGTGGCGACCTTCAAACCCACGGAGACATTGGCATGTGTAATTTCCTATTCCATCAATGCAGGCTGCCCCATTTTCACACTGGGAAGATTCACAGTCATCAATGTTTCTCTCACAATACTGTCCTGCAAGAAATAAAAATAAATTTTTTTTTAAGTACATATAAATTACAGCTCATGTGACACTCACAAAATGATGGTTCCAATGAGATTTAAAAAAACAAACAAACAAACCAGTAAATCCAGGGACACAGATACATGCAAATCCATTGATGAGGTCACTACAAGTAGCTCCATTTTGACATGGTTGTGTTGTGCATTCATTCAGTTCCCTGCACAAAGGTGGGGCACCTGGGTGACAAGACAGACACATGCACTCATGGTAGCAGGATCCCTCATTAAAAATAAGTGGGTCAGTCCTTATAAGTTTATAAAATAAATAAATATGTATGTATGCATATATGAGTGTGGGGGTTGGTCACTCCAAAGAGCACTGAAAACAGCATTCAATATTCAAATACAAATTCTGCTTAAAGTTAAAATCACCAAATTCATTCTGGAAGCATTTGACTCTATACTGAGATATTAGAGATATTAAAACATTTGATAGACATGGAGATACACTACCATATTACAGAAATATAATTTACCATGAGCATATAAAGTTACAAAAGCATGCAATAAATCATAATGCTGAAGGGTATAACATCCTGTTAAAATTTCCCTGCTTAATATTCAACAGTTGAGGTGCCAGAACACTACAATATTTGAAATAGTATCCATATCCCAGTACTGTACTTCATGGCATAAAAAGTCAGTACAAGTAGGTAACTACAATTGAACAAAAGTTTTCACATATTAAAAAACCAAAATGTTGTATTAACCCCTCAAGCCATTGAAGCACAGGGCAATTATACTCTGTATTGAGATCAGGGCTCTGTATGTTCTTTCTGTTGATATAAAAGGTTTTCCTACATCTCTTGTTGAATAAGAGATAACCCTGGTGTGTTAATTTTGCCACATACTGTAGGTATAGTAGGGAGAGCTTTGTGACATGAAAAGAATAAATAACTAGATGCAAAGGAGTACATTTCAAAATTTCACAGCCCAATACTCAGTAGTTCAGCTGCTAGAGCACTACCACACACACAGACAGACAAACAAATACAATAAGAGCAACTTTCTGCAATAGTCTATGCAACACATGCACTTCATATTTTACCTCCATTCAGTAAGCCTTCAGTCTCACTGCAGTCTGACTAAAGTCAGAGGCATTTAGACCAAGGCACTTGAAGATAATTGAGAGTAAGCATTCAAGAGCTCACATTGTGATTACATGCTTCCCATCAGGACATGATTCATCTACAAGAGCAGCTATGCAGTCCAAGCACAAGACTCAACACTTTTGTTCTCAATTTGTAAATATTCATAGCATGCCCTTAAAGGGAACAGGAAATAGTTTTGAAAAACTGAAGCAGCAAAACAAATGTGCTTACTTTTTACAATGTTTGCATAAATATTACTTACAGTCCAATGTAATGCCAGCCTATTATTAATATACTCAACACAGCTGGACAAATACGCATTAAAAAACTGAATTTTTCCTATCAGAAGAGAGTATATAAAAGTAGCAGGTTATTACACACAGAGAAAAGTACCAAGTATGAAGCTTGACAATCTTGGAAAATCTGAAGGAACATTGGGAAGGATCTTTTCTCTTTAAAGCCAGTGATGCAGCCATGACCAAAAAAATTAATTTTTTTAAAGGGGTGGACAGGTGGGAGGCTTGTAGAGCAAAAGGATAATGACTATGCACATCTGCAAATACACTGAAGCTTTTAAGAATGCTTGCAAATTAGAGATCTCATGAGAGTAGAGAAGAGTTGTTAGCCACTAAACCCCTCTAAAAGTATTCCTGCATGAGACAAATTATATGGATAAAAAAACTCAGGTACCAATTTGGATTTCTTAAGCTTAATACTCATAAGCAAACTGACAATTTGACAAAACAAGGGCCTAAAAATATCAAGAAAATAAGAATCCTTCCATTGGCATACAATTCATGTCCCCTGGAGGTGATTGCTGGAGAATAATATCTGGAAAGCATTTGTATTCATTTAGATCTAAGAAAATTTATAGAGCTACACCTTATGGAATTTACTTGGTATTTATTGGTATTACTTGTAAATAGTAAATACCTAGCTGATCATTTGATTTCTGAATGATTACATAACCTCAATAGCACTGTGAAGTCTGATTCATGGTTTGTACAATCTAATTTGTTCATTCAAATTAGCTGATTTCTGAAGAAATCAGATTTTATGAAAGAAGCATGCAAATGATGAACAGAATTAGGCATTCTATTGGACACTTTCATGTATGAAACTATATTTTTTGGATTTCAACTACTTTGTGTTTAATGCAATTTTAGAGCATGCTAGGTGGCATTAAACCTATAGGTGCTGTGTCCTGGTCTTGAGGAATGCAGGAAATGTAAATACAGGGTGTTCATATTTAAACGCAACATAGAGATAATTTTGCAGCCTGTTTGTGGAGTTCAGTGAGTGCCTTATAGCCCACTGGGTTGCATATCTGTAAGGATAAAAACAATTGTTGGTGTGTTCCCTTGCAGGAATGCAACCCGTTCGACCTTGTAGCATTAGTCAAACTCCACATGCAGGCAGCAAAATATTTCCTATGTTGCATTTAAATAGGAACACCCTGTATATGTGGATAATTAATTTTTTCAAGGAATCTAATAATATATTAGCACTTATGGAAAAGACATGGGAAAGCATTATTCCTTTTTCAAACTAAAGTTCATAATTGTAGATGAAGACCAAAACCTCAGGAAGTTCTCCTCAGAATGCCTTATAAGGAACATGAGGTTGTGCCCAATTTCTTCATGAAAGAAAATAAACAATAAAATTGTGGTACTCTGTAAACATGCAAATTCAAGAATTCATGAGAGATCTCACAGCCCTACTGTTTTGTGCACATTGCATGCTTTTTCACATTCTGTTTCTTATAATCATCACCAGTTATGCATGCAAAAATATATACTTGCCTCAGCAAAGTGAAGGTACTTCCCTAGATGGAGAAAAGAATAAGTGAGATAAGAGAGGTATCAGTCAAGAAATTTAAGAATAAACTTCACTGTATCAAGACCTACACATAATATTATATGATCATTTGCACTTTGTTTTGTGTGTACCATTCAGATCCAATCATTCTAGTATGAGATTTGAGATATAAATGCCAAATACAGCTTTGTGATCTACAGGGTCTTCCAAAAGTTACTCTTGCTACTCAAGCACCCATGGAGAGCACAGGGTATAGGATGGGGAAAATTCAGTTGAACCAATTTGACTTTGTAGAAGCTGATCCACATGCATTACCACATCATACAGGATAACCGGAAAGTTTGGAGACACCCAAAAATACCAATATCTTGAGGCAATGAAGAGCAAGAAAACTTTTCTTTATTTCATTAGAAAGAGCATTAAAAAATCTTCAAAATGAGTTAAACATCTTTGAAATAGCTCCCATTGGCAGCAATAACTTTCTGAGGTGTTTTGGAAAATTGTCCATGGATTCTCACAGCTATTTTACAGGGATTTCGTCCCACCTCTTCAACAAAGCCGCCTTGAGACTGTCCCAATTCTTATACTGGGTAGCACTGACCTGTGTCTCCAGAAAGAACCAGATACTGTAGTCCTTTGAATTTGAATCAGGGACCAGAAGAGGCCAATCTTCTGGACCAATGAAACCTGGCATTTCAAGTTAATGTTTCATTGGTCCAAAAGATTGACCCCTTCTGGTCCCTGATTCAAAATCAAAGAACTACAGTATCTGGTTCTTTCTGGAGACACAGGTCAGTGCTACCCAGTATAAGAATTTGGACAGTCTCAAGGCAGCTTAGTTGAAGGCATAGGACAGCAAAAGGCATTTTGAAGTTTTTTTTTAATGGTCTTTCTAATGAAAAGAATAAAAGTTTTCTTGCTCTTCATTGCATCAAGATATTGGTATTTTTGGGTGTCTCCAAACTTTCTGATCACCCTGTACATCCTGCAACTGCAACACACAACCCATATGATCATGGTGATGGTTCAATCTAGGTTCCATTGGGGGTTAGAATATGTACACGGTACATGATGACATGGTAATATGTTCTACCTCATTTTTAAATATATTTCTTAACCCTTTGACTGCTGTGAGTCGATTCAGCTGATCAGACAAGGCTTTTTTTTAGCACATAACTAATGTTTTTTCTAACTGATGGCAGAATCATTCAGTCTGCCTGATGTCTCATACTTTCTTCTTCATTTTCATCACAGATGTCTCTGCTAAAAACGTTTTCAATTTGTTACTGATGTATTTTTAGGCATTTCTAACATGGTATGCAGCTCCAGGCCTGGCAGTAAGAGGGTTAAGGAAAGTGAATCTCCTGGCCTATGGTATCTTAAATGTTGTTTATGGACTACATCTATGTCCACATTGCTTAATTTGTCCAGCACCTGGATTACATGTCTTGCATCACTGTATGTGCTCCATATCCACCTGATCAAAGTGATTTTTGGAAGATCCAATTTATCAATTACCATCTGTATATCAAATACTATGCAATCAGATGTCAGAAGCAATGGTTAATAAAACACTCTCTAGGTATTCTAAATTGCAAATTGGCATAAAGTATTCTTTCTTCACAAACAGCTCCTGTGACTATTCATAACTTAATTGGAAATATTTATTTCACAGTCCCACTTCACATGTTAAAGAAACAAAGAATATGGAACTCATTAAAATTGCAAACTGACCACTTCAAAACACCAATACTTTACTTAATGCCAATTATCAAGTAATTATCCCAAAACACAAATGCAACATTTAAAAAAAACTGGAACCCAATCTTTATTAAGGATGTGGGAGCTGGCCCAGCTACAGATTTCACAATTGCACCATGATTCCCAGGGTCAATAGGTGCCATGAGACTGATGCCATAATCTGCATCCACTTCATATACCTCACAGACTGACTGAAATTCAGATCAATTAAACCCATCCATTATCACACACACAGTTGACCTTCCAGCAGTAATTCTTCCAATTTTTGCTCCATGGGAATGAAGCATCCCCTAGATGCCCAAGAGTTCCAATACAAAACTCAGATCAACTCAACCAAGTAGGCCTAATGCCATCTCTGCTTACCCTTTTTTTGCTACAGAGAGCAGGCAGAAGCCAATCCACTCCAGTGCCAGCCAATGGTGACTCACTCACATAAATGGTTTCCAAGTATATAAGAAACCCTCATACACATGATGCAGGTATGGTATGGTACTATTAACAGCCTTTTAACTCTCCAGAAACCTGTTACAACTTTGAACTGGTGACATTCTATCCTAACCATGATCACTCCCTAATATGCCTTAAAAATAAATTCCAAGCCATGTCGAAATTTCTGTGAAAGAGAACCATAACTAAAAAACAATTGGCTCAGAAAGAGCAAAAGCCCAAAGACTGTCAATAATGGCACAAGCAAAAACATACCTGTGTAGCCAGGACGACAGATACAAGTGTGGCTGTTCATCCCATCCTGACATATGCTATTTGGTGGGCAAGAAACATTGAAGCAATCATCTCGATTGGTCTCACAATTCACTCCTTCAAAGCCAGATGGGCACAAGCACTGATAGAGATTGAGGAGGTCTCTGCAAGTTCCTCCATTGTGACAGGGGTTAGAGATGCATTCATCCAGCTCCTGAAAAAATAGTATTCTGGGAGACTCTTGGCTATGATAATAGTTATCCACAGCAGCAACTAGAGCTGTACTTACAACTTCGCAATTTTTCCCCACATAGCCTGGACTGCAATGGCACAGGTAGCTTCCATGTGTGTCGTAGCAAGTTCCTCCATTTTCACATGGAGCTGATTCTGCACATTCATCTATGTTTTCTTCACAAGTAATTCCTCGGTAGCCAGTGTTTTGACAAGTGCATGAGAAGCTCCCTGAACCATCAATACAAATGCCATTATTTTGGCATGGATTGGAAGCACAGTCATTGATGTTCACTTCACAGAATTCTCCAGTAAAACCTGAAGAAGTAAAATGCATAAGAACTAATGTAACTCACAACTTTGTTTTTTCCAGTCCATTCATTAGGACATGCAATGCACATCCAGGTCCATTTACTTACTTTATTTTTTTTTCATTGTATGCACTTTCACATCCAAATAACCACTCTTCTGTTGAAGCTAGTAGATCTGTTACATTTTTTGGAAAATGAAATCCAGGATAGCTTGCTTTTTTATTTTAATGCTTTCAGCTATGGATGTCATACTATGCCTGGCAAAGGACCAGAAAAGATTAATAAAATCAGAGATAAAACTCATGCTACACTCATACACTGACTCCAGTCATTCAAATTGCTTTCAAATATTGATTCCAGAAACTCTAATACACTGGTATTTCCATTGCCTCACCTGCTACACAGTAGCATTCCCTTCCATTATCTGAAACACTGTGGCAGGTTCCACCATTCTCACAAGGATTGCTGGTACATGATGAAGCACCAATGGATTGCTCGCAGAATTCACCATAAAATCCAGACAGACAGGTGCAGTGTGTAGAATTTCCACTAGCAACTTCATGACAGATTCCACCATTCTCACATCGATATTCTGGTCTGTCACACAAGGGGCCTTAAAAAAAAAAAATACATACTCACACACATTATTAAAGAAGCAGAATGGACCATTGACAACATACACATCTTGCTTAAGGTTCAATATAAGTGAAACAAAGTTTGGGAAGCACTGTTCTAAGTTTCTCAACCTAGATAATCAGTAGAAATTACAAAAGGATAACAGCCTCACATGTGGATTGCATGGTTATGGCTCTCATATACTCATAGACACATTATAAAACAATCTCTCATAACCTTTCAATGTAATTTTGGGTCTTGATAAGCCCAAAAATGCTATTCGATTTTCAAGAGTGTATGAATGTGGGGTAAAGGTGACATCCATGCTGTTACATCATCAGTGCTAGGATATCCACATAGATGACTAACCCTCTCCCCTGCCAATACATTTTAAGTGTGATATTATTTGAACTTTACACCAACAGGGCAACTTTCAGCCAGTTATCCTCCAGGACTTGAGCTTCACATCAGGCTAGGTTTTGATTGTTTTGGAAGAAGAGTCTATATAGCTTGGCTTATCTTCTACCTTGGAAAGTGATTATCCAGGGTTTCCTGAAGAAAATCCCTGAAACAGGCAATAGGCAATCAGTTCAACAAACAAAAATAAACATGTGTAGAGCCCCAGGAGGAAGGAGGTGAGGGTGAGGGTGCTGGGCAAAGAGGCAAACCATTATCTCTGGTTTTCAGAGTGAACCATGTTTGGGCAAGCTAGGAAAACCCTTGCAAACGAGGTTCGTGGGAACGGAGATGTGCGGGCGGGTGGCCCGTTTAGTCCGCTTGCATATCCTTCCCGGGAAGTTCTAATTTGTTGTCTCAGGTTTGCAGGAAAAATATATTTTTCCTACACTGTGTTTGGGTACCTGAGTTTGGAGGAAAGGTGTAAGATAGCAATTTGGATGGAAGCTGCCTCCCCAGTGGGGGTGTTGTTGTCACTGTCCCATTTTCTACAAACTTTATGAGAAGGCACGTGATGGTTTTGTGTTTTGCCTCTGACAAAGAGAATACCATTGGTGTTCTCTCTGTACAATTGTCATGCTTTCATATACTTCTATCCACCCTGTTATGCCTTTCCTCTAAACTCAGGTACCCTGACATGGTTCACTCCAAAAAAAAAAAAGTATCATCAATGATGGTGTACAAGTTGTATGTCAGATAAAACTTCAAATGCCACCCTTCCTATCCCATATAAGTTTCAACTAAAAGCTTGGGCATGTTTGGTGTATTCAAGAAATTTTCCTCTTGCGACACACTGTACTTGCAGATTTATATTATTTACATGAAATGATCAGTCATTTTCACCTTTTCCTTGAAATCATTCAATTAACTCAGGCATAAGTCAGCATAACTCAATGGGAAAGCAAAAGAAATACAAGCATCACAGGCAATTACTCAAGGAAACAGTGCATCGAATGAGTCAAGAGTCCTGGTGAGAGTTGATGACTAATCAGGAGCCATTCTCAAATCATCTGATATAGAAGAACCTCATCAACCAAATTAGCTAATTTATTATTTACTTCTTTGTTCCTGAAGCAATGACCGATTGTATCCATTCATTAATGTTTTCTATGAACAATGCTCACCTGTATCAACTTCACAATTACGTCCTGTGAACCTCTGTGAGCAAATGCAAGCATATTCTCCATCTCCAGTTTTCAAACATTTTCCATCTTTTTGACAAGGTTGGTGAAAGCATGGATCTATAGAATATCCATCTGCAACAAAAGATTATTCATTGACATGAACAAAACATAATATGATAGGCATAAATAAAATACAGGAGTGAAAAAAATCAACAAACCACATCGTCTCATATTTGGAAGGGGACACCTTCCCCATTGCACATTCCTATAATGTGCCTGAGTGGAACTCAAGACCAGGTTTGCACCCTCTTGCATGCATCCCACAAATCCATTCCCAATCAGCACACTGCGTATTTGACCCAAAGAATTGCTTGAACGTTCTTCCAGTATTTCATGATTCGCAGTTGAATTTGCAATCACTGCTGTGAGATTATCAACACTCAAGATCAGGTCACCCAAGAGATACTGCAGCACAACAGTATGCCATCTATTGTCCAAGTATGATCTCACTCCAATATCATAAGAAAGTTCTTCCGAGTTCCTCTTCACCTTGAGACGAACTTTCCCTTCTGATGTCAGGAGGAATGTCAAGAAATCATTGCGTTCTGCTGACTGGTGCACAAGCTGCCCTGCCTTACAAGTCCGGAAGCTGAAGGATATCTGATCACGTAATGATAGCATATGATGTCCAAGAGACACAAATGAGGATCCATTAAAAAAGGCTTGTGAATGGTCCTCTTCTTGAAGTTGACAAGAAGATGGCTGGATCACAAACACAGAGATCACAAAAAATGCTTTGTGAAGGTGCATAGCTGCATACATTGCTGCATGCATGGAGCTCTTGCATAGCTACCTATAGCAAAACAAGCAAGAAAATAAAAGCCTTTAGATGTTGATCAGGATCAGACTTACAGGGTGGCCCAAAAATATGCACAATTTTGAAAATTCACATTTTTGGTGGACAACTTCCCAAAGTGACTCAAGCTCTGCATCGATGTGGGAGGTGGTCATTTTGAGCAAAAATTATGCTCATTTTGATGATGTAGGTTGTATAGATGTTTATTTAACCAATTGTTTATAAGAATGTTTGATATTTTGAATAAAGGATTTGATGTTTTGGAATCGTACATATTTTTGGGCCACCCTGTAGACTCATCAAGGAAATAAAAAAAAATGTTTGGTATATACATCAATAGGCATGCCAAAGAAAAAAAAAACTTTCACTGAGCATTGGTCAATATATTACCAAAAAACCTTGTGAAACTTTATTCAAATTCAGTTTTCTGCACCAAGACTATGAAGAATTATTCACAAGAAGTTTGATACTGAAACTGGATAAGAACCTGTGTCAAATGGAGGAAATGTCTTCATGATGGTCATTTACTGCAGATGGTTTAGATAGAACTTTTACCAGCTAATAACTGGTACATCAAGAGATTGATACAAAGAATTAACAAAGTTCATTCAAATTTTGTCCTGGTTTCTGTTTGAGGAGGCATGTCAAGCAAATATTTCTGAAAGGATTGAAGTTCCCTGTTTATATTCAAGGACCAATTTTTTTAAGTGGTTCAAGTCTTGTTTTGGCTGAATGAGTTTGGATTAAAGTTCAAATATTGGTTGTAAACTTATCAATCTATGCAAAGTGCAGATTTCATGGGAAAAACCCCCAAGAGACCAGAGATATATAGACTAAAAGACAAGAGTCCTCTTTATTCCATTTCCTATATATAGATTAACATGAAAATTAAATAATCAAAAAGTCAAGGTTGACTCTTGGTAGGACTGCTTCAAAATCATTGTAACACTTGAGACCAGAAATATGGAAGAACAAACAATATCAACAACACTGTCATGTCAGAGATGCATAGGATGTACTGGGCATATTCAGTTAGTGCTCAGATCCTCTGCAGGCACTGCTGAATAGTACCAATTCCACCACTCCTGCACCCCAGCTCTAAAGCTGATGGTGTGCTTCTGTATCCATAATGAAAAACCACACACATCCTACAACTCAATCATGGAGACACCAGGGCCTGCAGAGGTTAGCTCTTTAGCAAAGTTTCATCATTACACAAGGATGATCTGGAAAATTATGAATTTCCCAAAACATGGTAGTGAGATGAATGAAAGGGTTGAAACTAGCTTCATTAAATGGATTTCTTAAAAAGACATGGACAGAAATTGGTCACATTCTGATGCCATCTGATAGTATGATGTACAAAATGAGAACAATTGGCATTTCCCAGGCATCATAAGGACCTTGTTAGGGTGGGTTTGCAAGAGTACACTCAAGTTAAAGTTACTCAGCCATGCTATCTATTGAAATAGTGATGCCTCAACTAAATAGTACTTCCTTTCCCTTTCATGTAAGTCTGCAAAAAAGTGGGCAGCACATTCCAGTAACTTTAAAAGATGTCTGATTGCTGTGTAAATCTGTTTTATTCATAAGGATTCATGGAAAAAAATAGAGTTAGAAGAACCACAAGGAATGCAGATATGATATCATGAACCAAGGTAGACAAACTCTATTATTGGAGAGTTTGCAGGAAAGAAACCAGAAAACAAAAAGGACTGGGCTTTGCATCTTCTCTCACTCATACTACTAATGCAACCAATGGTGTCATCCTGTTTCCATCTTCATTTCCAGCCTGCTCAGATTCATCAATTTCTCCTGTTGTTCCTATGGTTATGACATTACATTTCTGGTTTGTGGAAAAGATTCCAAAACTCTCTAAAACCCACCAACATGGTAGATTCCAGGGGGCAAGCAAAGTTTTTTGTCTGATTGAAATTTGTAGAAATGGCATGTCATTAACTCCAGTCTCCTCATATGATATAGAATGAGTGAAAATGAGTGAGAAAGAATGACAGTAAAAGATGACAAAGGTGGTGGATTTTTGTAAATATATGAATCCCTCAAGTATTACAGAACTTGATATTTGTACATCATAAAAGATGGTCCAGTAGTTAGGCAAGATACTTTCATGCAAACTATCTCAGACACATGGTATACACACCACGGGTGGGGTGTGCAGATAATATAGGGCACAAATACATTTGCATATAATGTTAAAATACCTTTAAAATTGGTATTAGGAGTGAAACAATTGAATGCTCTGTCAAAGGAAAATGATTCCATAAGGCTTTTGTGCCCATAGGTCTATGCTTGAAACTTTGATTAGAGGAGAATATTGATGTCATTCTTCAATGGTCTTGTTGAGTGTCATCTGTTTTTAGCTCCTTTTCTCAACTTTGACTGGTCCCCTTCCCTTCTTGTTCAGCAGTGTAGGGTTTAGGGGGTTAGAACCAACCCCCCCCCCCCCTCCCCTTGGGCTTCCCAGTCAGTGACACTGGACACTGACAGGCATATTTCAACCTTCCTTGGGAATTCCAATTTCAGCTATGCCCCTTCAAGGAAAGTCTGATGTCCATCCACAGACCCAAGATGCCAGACCATGATTTCATTTAAAATGTAAATTCTGGGTAGTGGAGCTAGGCATAGGGTTGGGGGTGTCTACCTGGCCTCAAGCACCTCCTTGCCAATTTCCTGTCTACACAACAGTATGTCATTGTTTGATTCATGCATGAAGACACGAAGGAAAGGTAGTTCTTCGTACTAAAAGGGTTAAGTCTGTTACCTTTCTCAATTTGAGGGAATACCAAAGAATCTAATATCTCCAACTCTTGTAGTCTGAACAAACCTATTAAGGCCACTTGACCACAACTTTGGTTAATGCAAAAAATCGTCTAACTTATTTATATGAATCAATATTTTTAATAAATTAGAATAAATAATTAAATCACCTTATGGACAGTTCTGTCATATTATTGTATGATTAGAACTCACAAGTCATGAAGTCTATTTCATGTCAACAATAAAGAAAGCATAACATAACTACCTTGCTGAAAGTTCTCCTCAAATGAATGAGAACCTATCATCAAAATTTGTGTTAAGGTTCTTTATAAATTATTGTCTGGCTGGAAATATATGGGAAAATTACATATTTTGTAAAAATTGCTAGATGGATAATATGCAAAAATAAGAGTATAGGGCATTTTCCTCATTTTCTGCAAAATAATCCTTAGAAATAGCAAATACCAGTTTGATATTTTTGCCACAGCAGCCATGGACACAGGGTAAGCACCCCAGCTTCTGGCCAGTCTCCAGTTGCTAGCCAGTGAGACTTAAATCCAACATAATTAATCTGGCCGTTTTCAAGCATTTTATCAACATCTTCCCATTTGAGGACCTATTACTAGTGTTTCCCAGTGTGCACACAGGGTGTCCACTTCCTATGTGAGTTGTATCAGTGTGGCCCAAAACTGGGGTGTTTATTCAACTCCATATAGGTGATGGCCTTTGGTAAGTGCTCCATAGGCCTATTGAATGAAGAGGGTATATTTGACCTCAGCTAACTTTTTTTAACATTTGAATACTAGGAGTAATTTTCTTAACACCAGAACTACCGGAGCGGTCAATTTGACCGTTGTATTAAAAGTTGCATAAAAATATTATTCAGTAACATTTTCTTCTTTTTTTCCCAGTTGTTATTCTGTACGTTCAAATGTTCAAAATTTCTATATCAGACAGGAAAAATAAAAATTGCGGAGGCCCTTAGTTGCTAAACGAGCAAAGTTCATTTAAAAACAACGAGCAGTTAAAATGACTGCCCCGGTAGTTCTAAGTTAGCGTTAACCCGGTCAACATAACTAGGTCTACTCCTTGTAACGATCTACATACGCTTTCAGAGGTTCTACGCCCAACTAAGCTTAGGGCCTAAGAATGAGCCAACGACAGTATCCTAGGATAGGTTGCTACGACTTAAGACCTGTGATGGGCCATAAAGCAGAAAGGCCATTTGATGCAACGTTAGGCCTAAGTTAGCCTTCAAAACGATAAAAACCGCCACTGTAGAACTTCCCAGCGTTCCTGATCCGTAGTATGCAAAAATTTTTTCGGAATAACCATTCCAATAGTCAGAGATCGTTTACCAGCTGCCAAACAAGCGACCGGATGACACAGAGCAAAGCCTAGGCCAAGGCCTGCCGCCATGCATGCACGGGTACAAAAATGCATGACGTCATCGTGATAGTACGACGGATTCCATAATGTCGTCTGCTCCTCTCGCTATGTCGAACAAGAAGAAATGATACATGGTTCAGAAACGTGTGTTTTCATTCCCAAACAGGTGACGCATGCCTTGATACGAACGTCATATAGTCTGCTGCTACATGGTTTCACGTCCGTCTGCGTTTGTGTGTTTCTGAGAAAGCACAAATAAAAAGTCAAACTGATTCCTCTCCGGTATAGCACCGACACAAATGTCTCTACTTTATTTACGAGTAGCAGTTTTCTGGATAATCTGCTGCGTGAGGCAAAAGTCTTCATGCTGGAAGTTTTCTACTATGTCGAAGTGATCCAGCTGGGGCAAAAGACTGAAGTCTGTTTCAACAGCTTCAGTCTTCTTCAAGGCGTGATAGAATTCAAGGCTCTGTTCTCGGAAGCTCGGGGAATCGTTCTCAGCTACAATGACGTGGTGAATCGTCGACGGGTTGTGCTTCACCATGCCCTGCACGTGAAGCAGCGGACTATTCCTTTCCGCACAGGACCTGTCTCAAAACGAATTACATTCCCCTCGTCAAGTCGGGGGGATTTTCACAACAAGTGAAAATTGTTCGAGGCTGACAGCCGCAGCGGCTGTCTGAACTCACATGTCCATGTTCAGGGGTGAATTCACGGTGGTTCGAAGGAGAGGCCGAAGGTCAAAAACTCCACTCAGATGCCATGCATGGCATGGGATCTGGAAACATTCCGAAGCCAAGAGCATTGCAAGCAGATGAGCTCCAGCCGAATGTCCAAGAAGATGAAGATGCCTACCAAATGAAAAATATTTCCTTTCGGGAAAAAATTGCGGCAGTACTTTCTATAGCATATATATATGAATGATTGCCCCCGATTAATGTGATCTATTCTCTAAGAAACATCACTCGATACTAATAATGGAGTTCATTGTTATTTCTTGCTAAAAGTTTCAAGGCTTCCTACATCGATAAATGTATCCTATCGATGGATGTAAATGTTTGTCTGGGAGATTTTCCATTGCATATAAATCGCGCGTTATTGAATTCCCCTAGCACTAAAATAGACAACAATTACATTTAGAATCACGCTAGATGGTGAGTGTTTTCCTGTAATATGCCAATATCCTTTGTCTGAAACTTACGTGGATCCTCTCAAAGTCATCCAGTTCTTGATGAACCTCCCAGCCGCGCGGATTTCTTCCACTATCTCATCCATGGTGGCTATCAAAATAACTTGATAATCATTGTTGTCATGAGAGCGGGAGAGCACGTGATGAAAGACGTCACAGGCATACCTTTAGGGGCCAGCGTGTAATCCGGTACTATCGTTACGATCCCGTGGCGAAAGAAGGAGCGAACCCCCAATGCCCATTCGTCCTTCCCCAGCATTTGCCAGTACCCTCCGTGAATGAGAACCAGCACAGGGGCATCTTATCGAGTGAAGAGGAAAATGAAAGCCTATTCTATTTACCCAGTCGTCCAAACGTGCGGGAAGAATATTAGTCGTTTAGGAAACCACACAGGCTCGGCGAGCCAGGAGAACGTAATTCTCCACGGGGCTTCGTATACGGTGTTTACAGAAAAACAAACCTGGCGGGAGACGATAGGCTCCGTAAATATCCACCTTCTGCCTCGGCTTTAATCCATACGCGACATTCAGCTCGCATAGAACTTCGGTCCGGGATGACTCACTCTCTGCATTCCGTTTCATGCAAGATAAACCAAACTCATTCACAATGTTTGCAATAGAGGCGTTCTAATCCATATCTATTCTACGCGTCTATGCAATCGCAAAGCATGACCTCATAGGATCTGAATGCTGCATACCTTCACGGATTATTTTCATATGATTATCCAGCACTTCCTCCGACGTGGGGAATCTCAGGGACCATTTGCTCGGTTGGTAGAGCCTTTCGGCTTCCTGAAAGATTAAAACCAGTATATCCTACACAGTGTAATTCGGTTCAGGTGCATCGCTAATATATTGAAGAAAAAAAAACTAAATAATACTTTACATTAACCAACCGGTAGAATGGGTTGAAAAACAGGTGAAATATGGTTTTTAAGTCCTAAGAGTTGGAGATATATGAGTAATGATTGCATGTATCTGTTCCAAAAATACGAGGGGGATTACCCCATGGAGGAGGGATAATCCCTCTCCTCCTTTTTTGTGCTAACGCTTCCTCTAGTTATTCTCGACATAACCGTCGCTTCCGTCATCAGCCAGAATCTAAAAAATAAAGAGAATAAATATATTGATGATTACATGAGCAATTTTCTGAAGGTGCAACCGATCAAAGTGTCACTTGTACGAACAAAATCTTGAGAACTGCTGTTTTCTCGGTGCTATAAATATCAAAGAATTTATTGGCGAATTTATTATTCTTTATTATTCTTCATATTTCTTTCGAAATATAGAATATCAAAATCTCTTGAAATATCGAAATTGATCAAAGTTTCATGTCGTATAAAATCCGCCGAACGCTTCAGTAAGCAAGCTCCAGTAGTAGTGGGCGGAGTGGCTCATCGCCTTTTTCGTCGCCTCTCGTGCCAGTTGACTTTTGCAGCATTATTGAGCGTCCACTAAAAGATAATGTTCCTGTTCCTGCTAAGCCTGTTCCATTCAAGTCGGTTAGCTCTCTGCAGACGAATCGTTATCTCCCACTGATCACGCCCCCTTCTACCCATTCGGCCTCCCCCACTTTCCTCGCATTTATATGCTACTGAGCGGGTCGACGGCTTCTCTCTGCAGAATTTCATGCCCTGCATGGATTTCATGGGGTGATAAGAAGTCACGATTGCACTCGCATAGAAATTGCGAATCCCAGGACGGCCAATGAGGAGCTTTAATTCAGCAGGAAGCTGCATTACTCCTCCCTTGTTCTGTGAATAATTTATTCTGTAATCTCATGCGAAGATCACTAATATTGTCTCCAGCTGACACGGCAACGATCTCGAGTTCACAAACCTTCCAACATGTGTAGCATGGAAGAAGCGGCTGTTGATAACCGTCTAATAGCACTGGAGATTTCTAAGAGACCCAGGGCAAAATGCTCTTTCGCGTATGCAGTTCGTCCCGAGAAAAATTGTCATGCAACTGTCTTCGTGCAATTCGCCATCGACGAGCATTCCCTGATTTTGATTACAGCATTAATATTAATCTCGTCAGCGAATTGAATTGAGAACACTGAGCCCTTAGAGAAATTCCCGGTCCGAGACCTGCTTTTCCCTATTTTAGTTTGTAATGTCCAATTCTGGAAAGCACCAGCGAATTTCCCCTGGGACGAGCGACATCATTTCCTTCTCATCAACCTGCGTCGCGCAGAACACAATCTGCCTCTTCTATCTTTCTTGAGTACTCGTGAAAGGGATTGTTTGATGGTCACAACGCGGGACTCGACCTCAAATCCTCAGGCGTCATCGATGAAAGAAGTTTAAAACGATGGCAAAAGAAGGTTCATAATCCTAGATTTCCAAGAGTGATGCCTCTACCATTGTGTCCCTTCCTAAACCGGCGCTTGACCTGGGTCAACGTGGTTGTAAATCGATGGACTACAGAATGGTTTCGTTGACCCTCGGTTTATCGAAGCTGAAATCAGGGACAACGAGCAACAACCTGGTCTAAATTGGAGTTGTGAAGATATGGACCCTTGCCATCTGAGCCTTTGGTACTCTGAGACAAGTGACAGCTGATACCTTGACGGCTTACCTCATCGATGAGTTTGTCGGTCATTCGCACTAGCAGATGCTGCGAGAGAGAGACAGAGAGAGCGAGAACGCACTGGGCAGAGTAAAGAGGGGACCGAGTGGAAATTCCAAGGACGACTGGATGTAGCAGCAGAAAGGGAAGTTTGTCATTATCTGACAGCCTAGCCCATTCCCTGGGACCTTGGTAACCGAAGATCTCAGTTCTTGGTCGACAGATACTTGTTTACCTCTTAAGTCTCTCCCCTTCTCTCCGTAGATCAGACACGCGAGAAAGGTTAAGGAGACTCGAATTTCTAGGAAGAGGACGACATACGATGCTTTTCTGCTCCTGTCGTGACGGGTTCGAATTGATTTTCATGGCATATATTGCATTTCATCATCTTCTGGTACTGACATCAAAAGAGATGCACCACGCAGAGCTAGCAGTAATTGATGTGGAGCGCAGTTCTCATTGATCCCAACATGCTTTGAATATCAAACTGACAATATTACTTTTTCTTGGAATTTATTATTTAACCTAATTCATTCGCCTTGTGCGCAGTACCAATTTGCTGGATTTCAATAAGTCTGCGCCAGATTTGGTGTACTCACGCAGGTACATGAGTCATCACTGTTCAGCCTTCGGTTGCAGGCAATATTGCAAGCATGCATAAACCACTTCCTGTCAAATGATCAGGAACTTTTCCCCATTAGCTGCGTCTCGCTGAGCTCTTCCGAAAGATTTCCCCATATTCATGGAATGGAAATCTAAGATTTGAAATTTACTACATCCGACAGGAACTCTGTAAAGTTATGTGAGAGTATCCACTGCAGGAGAATGGAATGCTTCAGCATGCGGCTATACCGGAGTTTTCGACGTAGAAGGATTTTCTGGCGAGATTCCTCCTCACTACTTATTTTCCACTTTACTTTTCCTATTAAAACAACGGAGCTGGAGAAAAATCTTGTGAGAAATACACCAAGGGGGTGAAAGTCTTCAGCAATTAATGCGTTCTAATAAGTCTACCCAAAACTCGCTTTTCCCGTTTGCCCCAACAAAATGAGGGAGCTTCATATGATCCTTTGCGACTCCCTTGCCTTCTAACCTGTCAGCAGGACAATGCAGGATGGGAATGCAGGGACATGGCACCTTGGATTTTGTAGGTATTGTCGAAAATGACGTTGGGAAGCACGTCACAGGATAGAATTTTCACCTTGTGGTGATTTTCGCACGTTGTTATGCATCATGATGCAACTCTTCACGACGGATAAATTGTAAAAGTGCATGTGAAGTGACATTTGCAACACTCGATAATCTCAGATTCCGATGGAAACAGACAATTTTCTTTCACTTCTCTGGTCAGAAAACGGCCATCACAGCTCAGCATCCTCAGTCAAACCCAAGATAAACGAATTATGGGAATCCCTTCAACGTATATCCTCCTTTGTGCTCATCACAGTTCTCGCCTCCTCCATCCTCCATCTCCAGTTATTGAATTTCATTGGGAATGAAATTGGCTTACTTCATTCTCGAACGCCTACCTGCTTCAATTTTCTGCTTCTTCCCCCCGTCGTTCCGTTTCCATAGCAACAAGAGCGGAAAGCCCGCGGAGTGTATGGCAGAGTGCAACCAGCTGTGTCACAAGTGAATCCCCCTCGCAAAAACATTTTCGTAAGGCTGACAAGAATGTCAGCATAACGAACACCTCGCATAACGAACGCACCGCTGGAACGAATTGCGTTCGTTATGCGAGGTACCACTGTACTTCCGAGTCTTGGACACACTCTCGCTCCATCTCTTTACCTCACCCAAAGTGGTCTCATTTCAGAGACGGGAGCTCGAAATCGAACTCTTTTTGATGCTAAGATATAAACAGCATTTTCGTTCGCTTCCTCATTCCAACAGAACATTAACCGAATGAACATTCTTTTTCACCAACCCATTTTCCATAAAATATATCTAGCGAAATGCCACTACAATTGAACGATTCTTTATTGGTTTGCTAAAGAAAATTCATAATACATTGGCAAGGAATTTAGATTCTTAGGCAAGATTCGCAGGATACCTTCAGTTTTCTGTCGTATCGAGTCTTGAAAACCTTTTACACGATCATCACTCAAGTCTGGAATGAATTTGGGGCTCTCAATATAGAGACGAGATTCGGGGTTCATGGCTGACGCCAAGACGTCCCAGGGAACTTTGTGCACCCAAGGGCTGGAGACCCAAATTCCGTCGAACTTGTCGACGAGCGTAGTTTTTCGGAGTTGGCTACCCCACGCAAGCGGAGATAAAAATTTCACCCGAACGTGCGAGTTCGCAACAGAGCCGCATCGCTGAAATAAGGCGCTGAGATTGTCCCGAGAAGTCACTTGGCTGGTAAACCCGTGCATGGTTTTGGACGTGGCGACGGAATCGAGGAGTTCGAGGCCGTGTGACACGTACGGGCTGACGACGAGGTCACCCCAATACCCAAGAAGGCCGTTTCTAGCTGGGCTTACGATCGACGAGTTGGCGCAGGAATAGGCGTCATCGGTGCCCACCAGACGAAAGGCGATCCCGGTTTCCCTCCAGACCTGATACTCTTGGAAGTCCAGGCGCCCGCACCCTCGAGGTTTCAGTCTCATGCTGTAATCCCAGTCGAAAGCACCGAGGCGGTGGTCGTACCTCGAACCCAGATGACTTCTGAGGCGGCTGTCCCAGAACTCCCTCATCTTCGATGCATCCTGCGCTTGGCTCCAAGAGCGTAACACTTCCTCCAGATCGTCCCGATCGCGGTGTCTCAATAGGGACGTGTCGAGGTACGGGTACTTCTCTGTCTCTTTCCATAAGAGGGTTCTCAGTTCCCCAACCCTTTCACGAAAGAACTCGTCCGTGCGAGGTCGCAGGAACGAATTGCCGAATATTTCCAGGTAGAAATGCACCTTGGCTTGTCCTCCCGAACAGTTCGTTGCTTCAAATGCCATGGACGAGAGCAGCAGATGACGGGCCAGCAGGTCCTTTCTCTCTTCCACGATGAAAAAGTTGAGGGGAAATTTCAGTCCGTGCGGAGTCACGTGCCAGACGGTATGAAGAACGTGCCGGATGTCCCCAGCGCCGAACACGAGGAATTGCAGCTGCCGTTCCGGGACGACGTCCACTGCTTCTTGAAATAAATTCATTGATGGGCTCAATCCCCACCAAGTTATTGCTCCAAGGGATTCGGGATTCGACATTCTTGTCAGCCTTACGAAAATGTTTTTGCGAGGGGGATTCACTTGTGACACAGCTGGTTGCACTCTGCCATACACTCCGCGGGCTTTCCGCTCTTGTTGCTATGGAAACGGAACGACGGGGGTTCCCATCCCTCTCTTTCTTTGTCTTCCCTCATTCTGTTCCAGGTTGAATTTCGTGCACTAGAGACTCCTCGAAACTATGCCTGCATGCAGGGTTCGGTGGGGAAATCTGAGTCAAGTAACAGTTTCCTGTTACGAAACTTTTTATCTCAATATAGGGTTACACCGAGGGCTAAAAAATGGCATTGCGGCTGGGGCTCCTTCACGACTGCTTTATTATGGCCTCCCTCCCTTTGTGATTCCCAATAAACCACTCAGAGGGTAGAGGGAGGGAACCGAGTTTGGGCGGGCGCATGCTGCTTTGCTGAGTTGCGTCTCCGGATGAGAAAGACTGATTTGGCTTTTCCTGAAAAGTGGAAAAACTCTTACCAAGGTCTGGATGCCGGACAGCAATATCAGAAAAGAAATATACGAGAAAGAAACTAAGAAACTCACTCTTTGAAGAGTCACAACAGAAATTTTTCCTATAAAGACTCTCAGGTAAATAGGAAACCCATATTCAAAGTTACTTATTCGCAAAAAAAAAGCGACATTTCTTCTTCCATATATTGATTTTGATTGTACATTAGGTGGAAATATGGCAATTTCGTTGGCTAAAATCGTATTCCATCCTCTTCCCAAATTTGGTTTCCACATTATCATTAATGTTCACTGTGAGTTTCTAAGATTTTGTCATATTCTTGTTCCTCCCTTTCATTCATGTCATTTAGAGAAAGTGAGCACTCATAGTGTTGCTCCCCCTTTGCCTGTAAATGCAGCCACATGTATCACTTCCCGTCCAAATAGTAAAACTATTCGATAATCCCAAGACTATTTCAGGAATCAGGCTATTTCGGCGCCCAGTGCAAAGAGACTCTCAACGCCGCCCTCCACCCCCGAAGGGAGAAGGGTCAATCCCTAAAGTTTGAAGTTCTCTTGACCTGTCTTTCAAATGTCTCCGAATGCAAGAAGGCGTTTTCAAATCATCAGGAGAGATATACTCAACAAAAACGCGAAACGGCGCGAACACGTGAACAAAGAAAATGAAACGAATAAGAATGTTATGAAATGGTGGAAACGGAATTTAAACTCTAAATGGAAGAAGCACATTCGATACCTGAAAAAAAAACTTAAAAAACTAAATTATTTTCGGGATCACTGCGCAGATACGCAACCGGAAATTCGTTAACCTGTACGTGATTCACGCCTTTTATTCGCCCTTCCGTTTTCAGAAAAAAAAAATTCAGTAGCGTCACATGTGCCGTACGTTTCCTTGACAGGTTCATTTTACAAGCTATAATATAGCTTCAATGTGACTGGCGTGACGTTCACCTTTCACCTCCTATCTTTGTGTTTTTTCCAGCCTCGCTCTCAGGTCGTTTGCTCATAATATCTTTCTGCGTCCCCCACCCTTAGGGGAGGGGGGGGGGGGATGGAGAAGTAGAGAGATACCATCGTGAGCAGGGGTTGGGGGGGGGGGGGGTCAAACCCCCCCGACCCCCCCCCCCCCCCAGATCCCTTGGTGGGCGGGGGGGGGGGGGGGGGGGGGTTCAAACCCCCTGACCCCCCCCCCCCCTCCCTTGGTTCAAACCCCCTGAACCCCGCCCCTGCCGAAACAGAAGGCATTTCCACTTTCTAAAGTAAAACTGAAGGTGGCTCTCATCATTTTTCTATATATATGTTCTATATATTCAGTCATGTTTTGCAGCCCTTGGTGAATTTGCGCCCTCTGCGGGGGTATAATACACGTGGCACATGCCTAAGGCCGGCCTTGATCAGAGTTGCATAGACTGCTTCGTAAGGCAACGGGCAGGTAATGGCGTGTTTCCTTTTTGGTAAGTAAGCACGTCGACATTAGAGTTGACAGGTGAATAATGGCTACAATAGAAATTATAGATGCGTGCTGACAGGTGTCACACCAGAGGAATTTCAAGGTTGTCTCGAACCATAGGGTTGTCATTGTCCTCCGAAGCCACTAAAAATCCTTGGTCTTCAGTGACGCCTAGTCTGAACCACGAGACTTAATAGTTCGCCCTGAACATGAAAGATGTCGCTAGCTGCTCTGTGCGAGATAAGAGTAGTCTGGGTGAGCGACTCCTTTGATGCAGACTCGTCGAGCCCCAGAGCGGTGCCAGTCGGATCGGCTTTTCCGCCGTGTTTACGCCGTGGAACGCTGCCGGCCTCCCACGTTCTCTTCCCCTTTCCTTTCATTAGTTTCGTTGCCCTTTCCCCATAGCTTGGGCTGGAAAGCTCAGCTTTCGCATGCATATCCCTACTCCCCTTTTAGTACCTCCTTAGCCTGCCGTTCTACTTCAGGGAAAAGTGGTGTATGGAATTATGCCCTCCGGCGTTATTTCATCGTGCTGTGCTAGTATCCCGAGGCGCAGGAAGAAGTGGAGTGTGACTCGCAGTGATAGTGAAGCCGCCATTTCCATTTCTATCATGTTGCCTTATTCTTCCCAGGGATCATGGCAGTTGATGTGAAAGCAAATTCCAAATCAAAGAAGAAGTCAACTGAGCACGGGAACGCAGTGAACAAACCAGACGCTTACAATGGTATCGCCGGTACCGATATTTCCAGTTGCTTAGACCCCAAGTTGAAGGAGCACATCCAACGCCTGTCTCACATGAGGAGAGACAAGGTGAGAAGCAGACTGTTTACAACCGGCGGAATTAGGGAGGGAAGTCAAGGGATTTATCGCGCATTTTTGCTGTGGCGAGTATCGGTTGTTGACCCAGGGAGAAGAGGGCGAGGATGCGTGATGTGAATGCGTGAGGCATCTCTTTTCTCCCTTGCCCGAGACTTGGTTGACTGGCCGGAGGGCCTCGACTTACACGTCATTCAGCCGTGACCTTGCGCTTCGAACCCGTTATGCGTATGAATTTGTGCTTCGACCAAGCATTCCAGTCTTTCATTAGTAAAATACCTCAGAGCTGATTACATTTCTTTTGTCGCTGAAATATTCGAATGTCGAGTCTACTGAAAGCGAGATAATCACTAACAATGGAATTTCCTATCATCCTCGGTATCATAAATCGATAAGCCGATAAATGCAGAAGGCGAAAAGAAGACTCATTAGCAAGCTCCTATTGACAATCCCACATGAGGCTTCTATTTGGTTTCGCAGGGGGACGGTGAGTCGGTGCCGGACACCCCTCCTAACGAGACTTCAGCGCATCTCCAGCCCTTCCAGCCCAAATGGAGGCAGAAGCGAAACCCATTTCGTTTTTCTCTGGAAATAGATTGCATGGCCCTCATTCTTCTGCTTTTAGGGATTGCCACTCGCTTGTATAGACTAGATCAACCAAAACACATTGTGTGAGTTTTCCAATTGTCTTGAACTGCTTCTTCATGGTTAACTTTCTCTAAAATGTCTTATCCTTCCAAAATCAAATGCTCACATGTGTTAAAGCTCTGCCTCAGGAAATTGATATTAGTGCTGGGTACCTTCATATCTAATTGCAGTGCAGCACCACTGCTTCGATAGATATAATCTGCAACCCATCAAGCACAGGAGAGCTCTTTTGATGTTTCTTTGCATTGGGGCAGTTTTGTGCTTATTCTTCTGGATGCCTGAAAGTTGCAAACACTTTTACAGTTGCAGTCACCCCTATTTTTCATTTTGGCATTGTTGTAGTAGCTTTTATTTTTTCTCAAATTTGAGCCGTTTTGTGGGATGAGATTTTCAGGTTTTTAGTTTGATCAGTCAGCTTTCAACTACAAATGAAACAAATCATAATTTTATAAACGAGAGAAGTTTACAATCTTGCTGATCTTTTTAAGGTAAGTTTAAATGTTCAATGTGCAAGGCAAGAGCCTGCTTTCTATTTTCCTTTACAATCAACAGTAGTTTCCTTAATAATTGAGAATGATTTTTTTTTATATTTTAATTTGGGCAGAATTTTAAAAGTGGAAAATTCAGTCATTTGAAGCAAATTTTCATCATTAATTTTCTTTAAAGTTTCCAAAATTTTCAGTAGGTTGATTTTAATACTAAATAAAAAATTTTCTTGCAGCTTTTCTTCTTCTATTCCAATCGCATGGCAAATTGTACATATATATTAAAGTATGAAATTATCTTCATTTTGCTACCATAATATTATAGCCTAGGGCCTCCAGAATAATTGTTATACCAAAACTAGTGTTGAGCTATATTATTGTAGCAACACTTGCATTGCTCCTGTGTTTTAGACAATGTGAGATCAAAGGTAAATGTTTGCAGAAATGTCATGGAATTTTTTTGGCTAATGCATATAGGAAATATTGCCACTACAGCAATAATGGAATTTTAATAATGCATTGTTAATATTAGTAGAATGTTCAATGCTGCTGTGCTTGGTGGGTAGATTCCTTCATGACAGATAAATTGAGAAATTCTTGCAGTTATCCCCACAGAAAACAATTTGAACTTATGCAGTTGTAAATGTCTAGAGAATTTAAGTTCAAAGTCATTCCTGTTAGTGTTCATTTTATTCTAACTGTGTTGTCTTCTCCCAGATTTGATGAGCTTCATTATGGCAAATATGCCCAACTGTATCAGAAGGGCACCTTCTTCTTTGATTCTCAACCTCCTCTTGGGAAACAATTGATTGCTCTGGCAGCACATCTAGCTGGATTTGATGGTGAGAGACATTTCACTCATTGAAGTAGAAATAAGCTCCTTTTTCTCTTGGCTATCTTGTTGACAGTTACTGTGGGAGAAACAGAACAGTTTGGAGTGAATAACAATAAGGGGTTGGTTTTATCAAAATTTCATGCCCAGAAATATTAGGGAAAGTTTGCATAATAATGCAAATGTGCTAATACTCAAGTTAGAAATTTCAAAGGACATCTGGTTATGAAAGTCATCCCAGCCTCAGTCTCTCTTTCTCTACAGCTTTTATAGCTGGATTGTACATTTTAGCCAAAGCTGTATTGTGTAAAAAGTTACTTCTAGCCTTGATAGACTTGTAACAGCATGAAATGAGCTAAGTTGCCAGCGAAGTTGAGGTAGTTTTTTTTGTCACACTAATGAGGGCACTTTAATATGTGGACCATGTGTTCTCTTCCACCTGAAAGTTCCTTCATGTTTGGCCATTGTTTCTCAAGCATCAGTAAAAGGACTCTTGAAAATTAGACCAACATGTTTATAATTTTCTTGGATTGTAGACAATGTAGATATTGAAGTAATACCTTTCATTTTACTTGTTGGTGCAGAGCTCGTCATGTAGAATTTTGGCACCTTTATGATACACAGTAGATGTATGAGGAATCTTTTGAGTTCATATTCAAGTGAAAAATGACTTCTAAGATGTATTTGTTTTCAAGGAAGTGCCTTGTTAGCATGCTTCTTTTGAAAATAAATTAGGCTCCTTGTGCAATAGTTCATATATCTATATGTCTGTGAGAAGCTTGCTATAATGTTTACTGAAATCCTTTTGCTCTAAGCTTGTTTTTCATCATCACTCATAAATCTGGTGAACTTGGTATGTATTGAATATATGCTAAGTCACATATCTATTTAAATTGAAAGCCATATTATTTGGAATAAAGAATGCGTCAAGTAACATTTTCTATGATAAATATCAAACTTATTACAGATTTATGTAATGGTTTATATTGTTCCCTAAGTGTGAACCTTGAGTTCCAGAATGGTGGAAGTTTGTACTCTCAGAACATAAAAATCTTAATATGAATGAGCTTCATGATCTGAAGTGTGAGAATGTAGGGGGTAATCAGTATAAAACTTGGTCATCACCAAAATTCGTAGTTTGATGGTTTGTGCATGAGGCATACATATTTGAAAATGCTGATCCCTCAGAGAGGGAAACGGTGAATAAAGTGAGATCTATGTACTATTAGAACTAAGTAGTTTTAGCAGGTTTGCTAATTTGTTCTAGCCAAAGAAATTCTCCCATACATTTCACCATCATCTCTGAATCTACATTCAGAGGAGGCACACTACAAGTCTTGGCTGTGATCAGTGTATCTAATTTATGCTGTTGACATTTTATACTTGATTGCAGGTGTTGCACTGAACTATACGTTCACAAAGATAGGAGGTGCATACATTCCAGAGATTCCAGTTGTTGGAATGAGGCTTATACCAGCAATATGTGGAAGCTTACTCATTCCCACTGTGTACTTGCTGCTGATTGAAATGGGACTCTCTTACTGGAGTGGATGTCTTGGGGCTTTCCTTCTTCTTCTTGGTCAGTGATTGAAACATGATTCTGTTGATGAATACTCCCCTTTGATTGAAAGATTGATGCAGCAATTGTGTATCTTGATGAAAGTGTGACTTAAAATTGCTGCCAGATACTTAGCCTTCCCTGTCAAAGACCACAACTCAAAAAGCCTAATTTTGAGACATTGACATTTTATTGCATGGTCATTCTGGAATGCAAGAACCTGTTTAATAACCCTTTCAGACCTGAATTAAGGCCACTATTGGTATAATATATTTTTATTTTTGAGCTTCTCTGTGATTGTAATTGAAATTTTCATGCTTTTTATATAGTTTTCATAATTTGTATAAATTTATCATATCATACCATTTATTATATATTAAACATTTATTTAAATAACTGAAGATTACAAAACTAATGGATGAAAGAAAGCCTCTGACAGAACTGAGCCATGCATAATTGTGCCCTTTGTAGGATAATATGGAGCGCAAAGTCACGAGAATCCTTAGAAATTCCCATAGACACAATGTAAATGCAATGTCCATTGGAATGGATGTCAGGTCTGAAAGGGTTAATGTCTCTGTGATTGCTGTTTGTGAGGTTTGAGTTGGGGAGTTCTTGCAGTAGACAGATTCAAGTATTGTCTTCAACAAGGCATGTAAAACTTGAAAATGCATTTTTACTGCGATGGTCTTGAACAGGGAAAGCAATTTATTGTTACTGTTGCCATTATTGTCCTCCTTTCTTTTCGCAGACAATGCAATGCTGTGCCAATCTAGATTCATCTTGATGGACTCTATGGTGCTCTTCTTTGCTGCTTTTGGTCTCCTTGCCATAATGAAATATCATAAATACCACAAGGATCCCCTGTCAACTCCTGCCCTTATCTGGCTCTGTTTGGGTGCTGCATTCCTTGCCTGTGCAATGTGGTGAGTGTCACAGGTGTGCCATGAGCATTGGGTGTATTTGGCCTAAGCCCACAATTGGTGAGCACTCATGTTAAAACTCACACAGCAATATGACATCTTGGATGTTCACTTGACATCCTGTATGGTAGGAAATGGGTCTGTTTCAGAAAGAAAGGCACCCAGGTATGAGATATCCATGCAAATACTGTAGTATCTAGTATTTCACACTTGTCCCTAGGTGATATCCAGGGGTTGTGCTAGGCTTCTTGCATAGGGGTCCCCAGGACCCTCAGGTCTGACATGGAAGGGTCCCCTGATAATTAAGGGGGTTACTTTCCAAGTGAAACACAAGGGAATCTTGAAGGGTTCCCCAAAAGAAAAAGTCCAGCAATCCATGTGTATTTGCCTACTTAACATAACCAAGCAGTATGATATTCAATCCAGCCGTCTTGGGCCTTCTGCCTATGTGTCCCAGGGGTCCCAGGACCTCCAGGATGTATGGGCTGGAGGCCAGGGCAAGAATCCTAGTGAAATCTGATATCTCTGAGACATCTCAGGGGTATACTTGTCCCGCAAGAAAGGGGCATCCTTGGGATGTCTTGATGCCTAAACATTTTGATATCCCTTAGATGTCCTCATAAGTAATGCTTGGGACTTACCACATGTCCCAAGGGGATATCTCTGAGATGTACTTGTGCTTTGTGGGAAGGTTCAGTGTCTTCTAAACAAAGCATTGGCAAGATGTGTGGTCTTTGCCAAGGCAGGAAGTAAATGCAGCATGTCCATTCCATTAGCTCTGTTCATATTTATTCTCACTGACTGCATCAAGGAGAAAATTGCACACAGAAAACTGGCATATTCTGAGTTTTCTGGACTAGTATGGAAATGAAAATTTAGATCTCATCATGTTGGCAAATGCATTTGGAATGCTGTATCATCCCTTGCTCCTTCATTAGGCTTCATTTTGGTCTACACCATGAATGTAATTTAATTGTGAGGTGCAAACCGGCTTCAGTCAGTTAATAAACATAACAACAAAATGTTGGATTTCCATATTCCATGCCCATTGTGATGTACTAGATGCTTCCCACTTACTGTTGTCCATCAAAATGGAAAATGAACCATGGAAAATATCTGAACCATCCTCTGTCTTCATACTTCCTCCTGGGAATGTGCCAGAAACCATGATGAAATGCAGAGTGAGTGACTTCTTGGACCAACCGCTTGAATGACTGAGTACTCACACTAGCAAGTGGGGGGAGCAGTACATGCTGTGATTGCTCTCACAAGCTGAATACACCCACTATGAGAATACTTTCATGTGCTTTATGTTGTCATTTTATGCAATTCCTTTCAGTGTGAAGTTTTCTGGTTTCTTCGCTTTGTGTGTGGGAGTGGTGGTGATTGGGTGTGACCTGTGGAAGTCACTTGCAGACCACTTAATTAGCAACAAGCAGCTCATACTTCATACAGCTTCTTGCATCATAGCCTTCACTGTAATTCCATTGACTATTTATGTTGGTGTCTTCTACATCCACCTCTTCTTCCTCACCAAGGCTGGACCTCATGACAGCATCATGACTTCACATTTCCAAGCAAGCCTTGAGGTGAGACCATCATAAGAAGCTGTCCTATTTCACCAGTTTGTATTACTCAAATTTACTTTAAGCCTAGAAAGACATTGGGCAAGGCCAATGACTCATTTGGTAGAGCTTATTCTGGGGCTCTCTTGATCATCATTGCAGATGCAAGAAAGAGCTTAATAAATGTTCATGATTTCACACAGCAGGACTTATTTATGGTTTACGATAGAGAAAGAACCTTGAATGTTAGAACAATTACACGAGTTACTCCACTATGCAATAATTTAAATCCTTTCTTCCTTGCTCTAACTTTGTATCACATAGAGATGCAAATCATAATATCTGGATTCCCTTTGAGTTTTTATGCATTCATAGTTGCAATAGTGAAAGAAAAGATGATGTGGCTAAACTATATATGCTTATCCCTGATTTCTATCACTTCAATATTCAGCATTTTTCAATGTTCAGTTTTGCTGATTGCCTCTCCACAGACTTAACTTGGGTAAATCTAGAACACTAAACCAGTTATAACTTTCTTGTGCTCGCTATCTACTTTTGTGTTTGGTTTAGGGAGGGCTGGCATCTATTATCCGAAATCAACCTCTGGAGGTTGTGCATGGATCTCAGATCACTCTGAGGCACTCTTATGGCCGTGCTTGCTGGCTTCATTCTCATGAGGATGTGTACCCAATCAAGTATGTTGATGGCAGAGGCTCCTCACACCAACAGCAGGTCACATGCTACTCTTTCAAAGATGTGAACAACTGGTGGATTGTGAAAAGACCAGAACGGTGAGTTTTGTGTAGTCTTGAATGCCCTTGTCTTTGCTCAAAACCACACCATAGATTTAAAATGTTATTTTCTTGAGCCTCTATTATGAACTGATTCCATCTGCTTGAATAGTACAGAAAATGTTGGCAGTATTGTTCAGAACAGCTGCTGTTTGATGACAAGTAATCTTTATGGTTGGCTAACACTTGTTTCTTATTTCTATTCCAGGAATGATCTGGTTGTCTCAGAACCCAAAGACAAGATCAAACATGGAGACATCATACAGCTAGTTCATGGACTCTCCAGTCGAGCTTTGAATTCCCATGATGTTGCTGCACCCATGTCACCAAAGCTACAGGTACAGAAACACTTCTATAGTGCCATTGTACAAAATTCAGAATGCATTTGATTGCTCTCCTCAGAACATCTTCCAATCTGCCTCAGGCATGCACAACCCCATCCAACATGATACATAAGCAGAGCATGCACCTCCCTTTTTTGCAATGGAGCATGCTATTAAGTGATACTGGTGCCCTGCTGTAGTTGCATTCATTTTTTATGTTTGGGATGACCTAGACCTTATGCCTCATCGGAAAACATGTTCACCATAAGCAGCTTAGGAATTTCACTTTAAGTCTATCATGTGCCATCTGTGCTTGTAAGCTTCAGCTTGCACATTGACTCCTTAACAGAAACACTTTTTCTGAAGGGAAGGAGAGCCATATTGGGGATGATTTCGCACTTTGCTCCTCTCTTTCCTGAGAAAGTGGGGATGGAAGGGTATCATAGTAGGCCATCTGGGGAAGCAAATAGCAATAGAAGATTTCATTGTCTCTTTGGAAACTATCAAACATGCCATAAATTTCAGAAAGGCCAGTGAAGTTCTGTCATTGATGTGATTACAGGAAGTGAGCTGCTACATTGACTACAACATCTCCATGCCTCCCCAAATCTTGTGGAAGGTGGACATTGTCAACAGAGACAAGTTTGGGGACATCTGGCATACTGTAGAATCAGAAGTACGTATTGAGAAAAATCCTTTCACCTAGACATAACCATGACTTTTCACCATTCCTTTATTTTGATTGATTTTTCCAGGTGCGTCTTATCCATGTGAATAGTAGCCAAGCTCTGAAACTGACAGGGAAGCAGTTACCTGAATGGGGCTATAATCAGTATGAAGTAGTAACAGATCGTGTTATCAATCAGGTTGACACCATCTGGAATGTAGAGGAGCATCGTTATACTAAAAGTTAGTCTCAGATGACTGTTCCAAAATGCCTTTGTTTTCCTGCAGTTGTTCAAATTCATTGTTCACAATGATGCCTGTTCCTCATCAGATCAAGCCCAGAAGGATAGAGAGAGAGAAATTGTACTGCATGAAATGATACCAACAGAACCGACTCAGTTGACATTTTGGGAAAAGTTCCTTGAGCTGCAGATCACCATGTTCTTGGCTGGACCTGAAAACCCACAGCAGCACATGTACATGAGTGATCCAATTGAATGGCCCTTCCTTACCAGGGGGATTGCCTACTGGGTCAGCAATAGTTCAAATGTGTGTTTGCATTCCATGAGTCTGTGATAGTAGCTAACTGATCTATTTTTGTCTCAACCATTGACAGTTCAGATATAAATTCTTCTACAGGCTCAGATTCATCTCCTGGGGAATGTTGTAGTCTGGTATAGTGGAACCGCTAGCATCATGCTGTATGGTGGACTGCTTGTTTTCTACCTTCTTAGACAGCGGAGAGCTTGCCATGACCTCAGTCAAGGTACGTAACCAAGTCCATGTGCCATTCCAAAAAAGAAAAGAATAGTCAAGAAGTGAGTGGGATGGACCCATTCACATCCTTTCTTTTTAGTTCTGTTGCATTTCCTGAAATAAATTTTGGTAATTGCAGCATGGAAATTCTAGGTAATCAAAGGGGAAGAAAAAGTATCCACTTCAGGAGTTTCTGGAAGTGTTCAGATGTTTTTTTTTTTCTTGGAATAAGATATTCAAATTTGATGTTTTCTGCACTTTGAGGCAAATTGAGGCATAGTGCCTGTTTCTGCATTGCAGATGCATGGATCCAGTTCTGCTTTGTGGGTGAGGTCTTCCTTGGAGGATTTCTTCTACATTTCATACCATACTTCCTTGTGGAGAGAACACTATTCTTACATCATTATTTCCCAGCCTTCTTTTTCAAGACCCTCCTCTGTGTAGCCCTCATTGAGCACCTATGGCACCTTCTTTGGTATGTGCTATTCTTCTCACTACCTGTTTTTTAAGTGCCAATAACAAATGGTTGTCCTTGCATATGTTCTGCAATTAACCATCTCCCTTATTGCTTTCACAGTGAGCAGAAAATCTTCCGTTTTGGCAAGCAAGTTTTTCTCCTACTGATTGGCATTTGGATGCTGTCCATCCTGTATGTGTTCAAGACATTTTCTGTGTTTTCCTATGGGATGACACCCCTATCTCCTGAAGACATTCAGAATCTCCGCTGGAAAGACTCCTGGGATTTCATTATACACAAGAAATGAAAAACCCCATTGAGGTTTTCAAAAACAGGAGGAATCTCCTCTTTTCAGATGTTTTGTCTTAACATAATTGAATTTTCCTTGGTTTCAGGGAATCATGGCTTCTTTCTTGCACATTTTGTGGATTTTCTTTATGGATAGTTGAAAACCATGTTCTACCATATTCTACTTTCACCCCATGTTCTGGAACTGGTGCTTCCCAGCAGTATTCATTACTGGGATTCCATGAAAAGACTGTGCTCCTAGCCAGTTGTGACTTCAGTACTGTCATTCAATGATGTGAACAATCTGTGACATACGATAATACTTGTGTCATTAACTGGCAAAGATCTGCTACATCTATTATTTTCTTGAATGTGTCATAGCTCAGTGGAACAAGTCTCACCTGTGGCAGGATTAGCTGGACATGATAATTGCTGCTTTCCTTTGCCTTTTGAGAGTGCAGCTATTTGTCTGTGATGCTCATGCTCCTCATTCTTTCATGGATCATGTTAATGCATGAAGTTGTGAAGTAACCTGCTTTTCAGAGAATACTTTGTATGTGAAGTCTCTTCCAATGACAGTACAACTGTGATTATGATCGCATATTCTTGTTGGAGGATAGATTCACAATCAACCATATATAGATACTCAATTTTTTATAATTCTTCTTTTTCGTTTTTGTTTTTTCAGATGCCAAGATAGACGCAGATGATGGTATATATTTTATTACACTGTTTTGGTGAGGATCTGATCATGTTTGATGATGATGAACATAAAGTCTTCCCATGTCCTGGTTTGTTAATCATATCTAGCCAAATTTCTACGCAGTACAAAGCTCAGAAATGAACCTCCATTTTCTTCATTTATGATTCAAAGAACACACATCACCTGAGGATGCCACACAATCGATGGGTTCCTGTCATCTATTGTCTGCTATGCTAACATGTGGAACATTCTCATCCATTTTCCATAATTGATCGTTGCAATGTTGCGTTGTGAAGTGGCAGATGTCTTTTCCATGAGTTCACCCCTGACCTTTTTAACACTTCATTGATTTTCCATGGTTATCAATAATGGTGCTATTAATTTCAGCAAGTGATTTCATTGGTTGGTGATTGACGTAATTGATTTATAATAGTTCAAAACCATATTTAGTGTTATGTCTCATGTTATATATGTTCCTAAATCTAGGCACACCTGGCGGTTGGACAATTTCATAATGTTCTATGTTTATGATCTCAACGGCATTAAAGGGTTATAGAAATCTTTAGAATTGTTCAACCCAGATCACACTCGATCCACTGCCCATGGTAATTATTGAGTCCTAGGCGCTGCTCGTGTCTTTTAGTTATTCCCTACCCAATGTCGTGCGCCATGTGTGGAATCTACAAGTAACTTAGGCATAATTCAAGAGAGACCTTTATATATTATTTGTTCCCCTATGTTTTGGGGAGGCGAGAAAACGTATACATGCACGGGCATCTGCATGACATCTCCACCAAGTCAGTCGGAGCCCAGTCCGCTTATCTCGAATGAACTGTATCACTCCTTTCCTTCCTTTCTCAATTTGAGTTTACTGCTGATGGAGTAGGCATATCATCACCAAGTAGGGAGGTATGTAATTCTTGTGTATAGAAGAAAAGTAAATATTTATCTCGGACGGCAGTGCTTGATGATTCCGCTTTAATGAAACCCATGATATACATGTGGGTTGACCTTTTTTTAAAATGGAGACTGAAGGATAATAATTGGCGTGGTTTGAGCGTATTGGGCACTTATCGATGGAACGAAGATGTCAACTCTCCTGGAAGACTGGGATTCTCCCGGTTTCACCTCCAGGCAACAACAAATAGTATAAAGAAAACAGTAAAACACAGTGTCAATGGAAAGTACGTCACCATAATAACTAGAGTACCAGCCCAGGTACATATATGAAATTCCACTGGCCCCTGTACCACTGGATTTATTATATACTAGTATATTTACCGCATCATAACCATCCAACCTTAAAAATAATAGTTGCCATTGGTTCGGCGTAGGCCTATATGAGGAGGCCTGGAAACTAGACATGTACTCGATGGACAGTATGAAGTGTAGGATGCCAGATACGGCATTTCACGCGTGCGCTTAGCAACCCTGTCTACGCGGCCGGGAGGAGCCGCTCTCCTCCATTGTCTACTATGGATCCGTCAACCGCCAGGGCTGGAAGGGAAGTGGATGTTTTCATGGAAGACGGGCACCCCGACCCAGACTTTGACTGAACTGATGATGCCTGAATTGCGGATTGATCACCTGAATCACTGTGGTTCAGGGCATCAATCCGCAAGTGTGAATCGCGGTGGCAGAAATGCGTCCACCTCAAAAGGGACTACGTGGAGGTTCATGATGATCCACAAGATGACTGAATGTGTTGTCGCGTCTGTAATTTCTGGTGCGTGTGTTCCTTTCACTGCCTGTATTTTGTTAATCATAAGAGAAAGCAACTTGTACTGTACTTCTGAGTGTGCATTGCGTATTTGTTACACATTGAAGGAAACTGGATTAGATTTTCGGGGCAAACACATCAAGAAAATTATAGCCAGAGTCTCGATACTTTTGGTACGCCCTTCGTATTACCGCCAGGGGGGCGGCTGCCCCCTCTTCCCCCCCCCCCCCCCGTAAAATACGCCACTGGACAAGGGTGTTGAGCTATTGAGGTTAACCTTGGCAAAAGGTGTCTAAACAGTGCACGGGTACCATTGATGACTAGCATTGTCACCCATTCATAAATTGTATTGATAGCACATATTTCAGACGCTTCGTAGATGCTGCAAACTGGTCTTAGTATGGACACTGTTTTGTCCATATTATAAACTTGTTGAGGTTTTTTTAATTAATAAAGCTTAATAGGAGCTAAAACGGCTCTTTTCCGTAAGTTAAAAGCAGCAGGCCACACTCTCAAAGTATCAATTGGCGCCTTGGCTTAAAGTATCTCTGGGTATTTAACCGCATGCACAAGTACTTCGTATTTCGAATATTTGTGCATATTTATATGCGTCCACGTTTTGTTGAATTAAAATGTGGCAACCCCATCAATGACTCGGTAATGAATATGCAAGACATTTTACAACATGATCAAGGGAGACAGCGAGGGAAAGGGATGAAAATGAGGTAGACCCTTCTACGCGGACGTCTTTCTCACCTCCTCGAGTGCCTGCAAGCGCGAGGATTTCATGCGGGAAGGATGGAGGAATTAAAATTAAAATCTAAATCTAAAATATACTTTCCATGCATTGGGGCGGTGACGGATTTCGCCCAGCTCAGCCTTCTCGCCTGTCCAGAGTAGGAAGACCTAGGAATGTTCTCCATCTCATTCAGAGTTTGGATCTCTTTCGGAATAACTCGCAGCGTTTCAACGTTTTTCCTCTTTTTCTTTCGTTCTTCCTTATTATCCATCCATCCATTATCATCTTAGTTATTATTTATTTTTTCCCTCTTGGGACTGGGCCCCCTCGATTCTACGGGGGCCCCCTGCGGCCCCAGGGGACGCTGGGGTACTCGCGCCGGCCCTGCCTATGGGAATGCCAGATAATTACATGACTCCCTTATAGCGTGGATGAGAAGTGATGAATTTCAATTTCTCCTAGGTTGGAAGCGAGAGTTGGCTAAATTATTGGATACGCATTTTTTCTCCACTGAGATAGGAGGCATAAGAGAAAGAATGCGAATGGAGCTGTGGCGGATCCAGGTGGGGGGGGGGGGGGGGGGGACCACTCCTCCTTACCTTATGGCCAGGTTCTCATTATTCTTTTTTTAATTTAAAAAGCGCCTAAATGATTTTTATTGGGATTTGTGAAATGGATATTCAGGTTTTTACCACAGAATAAAATGAAATAGGCGATAGGACGGAGGGTGGTGGTGGTGGGTGAGGGTGTGAGGGGGGGGGAGGGAGTTGGAGAACTAGGGAACCGCCCCCCTATGAAAAATTTCTGTATCCGCCACTGCTGCAGAGCATACCCGAGGCACGGTTCTTTGCGGGCGAATCTGGAAAGGTTAGAGCTAGAGCTTGAGCTTGATGCAAGTTGTGCATCGAATGTCAGGCTGGGTCTTGCCAAGAATGAACTACGACGGATGAGACAGAACTCATCCTTCGATTGTCGACGAAACGCTTTCGCGTCATTCGTAGTATCAATACGTTCCTGCCCAGTAGATGGTGGTCACCATCTACCTGAGCCTCAGTCCATAATAGTTTCCGTTGTGGGAGAAAGCTTTTTTTGCTGTCTGAACTGTTATCATCTATCAGCAGACAATATTACCTTGAAGGAGGCTCTGACTAGATTCCAGCTTTTCCCTGGGTGAACGGAATGCAGTCTTTTTTCGTCATGAGGTTGCGTTCGACTTTGATGGCGCAGCGGGGATTCAGCATCCTTGCTGAAAAACAATGTCTTGAGCAGTGACTGTCTAGATACCATCAAATTGGCTTAAATGAATGACACTTTGGCGCAGACTATACCTCCAGGTATAATTTGCACCAAAATATCATTCTGCCCCAAAGTGCCGTAAGACCTCCAGGTCTGACTTGAGTAACAGCTGGCAACCAACGACGGAACCCCATGCGTGAGGCGAAGTGAAAGATCTTTCGAGAATAGCATTGGATTTCATGGGATCCCTTTCAAACTTGGTTGGATCTCTTCCATCCTAATCTTTTTTCTACTTATTCCATCTCCCATAAGTCTTATTTAAAATTGTCGGATTTAGATTTCTTAAGAAGCAGTTATGGAGTAGGAGGAGCTTTTAAGCGATTGTTCCTAGTTTATAACTAATGAAAAAAGTGCTTGGATTGCCGATTCCGAAAATGTAGGATTCGCTTCGCTGTCCGTTTTCGTCATTGCTTAGCAAGTATTCGGTAATAAGGTTACGCCTCTCCCTCGATGAGGAAGATACGTGTACATTTTTAAGCAATACCGACAGCCAGTCACGCGAGCTTCACGTGTTCGTCAATTGGCCACCGATCAGATATCAGAAAGGAAAAGATCGAAACATCCGGCATGGCAGCACGAAAGTTGCTCGTATCAGTCACTATCCCTCGACAAATGACGCATCCTCATCGAAACTTCATCATCGTTATACGAAGCAAGAACTCTCGAGCAGAGTCCTCAATTGATTTGATGCGTTCCCCTCATTGAGCGTAGAGTGCTTGAGGAAAACCTCTCAGCTTGGATCCATACATCAGTGGAGCCGCAAGGAAGGGAGAAAATTCCCCCACGCCCCACACCTCTATCCGACCCATAGCGCCTCAACTAGTACCCTATTTTCCGGAGCCTCCGCTCGTGGAGGTGCGAATGAATCATGCATAAGATAGCATCGACCCAGTACATCGACAAGAGCTGACTAGTCCTCCACCTACAGCAGTTCATTCTCGTGCTGACCGGGTCGAGGTAGGAATGAAGGGCGACACATGTGCGAACGTTATCGAGCGCCAGTCTGACCGCACACTCACACCGCCAGCAGCTTCACACCCATACACACCTTTTCCGACCCCTGTCCTTGGCTCGTCGGCATCTACACCTTCCCCTCGACCGGTGAGTCCGACCGCTTTTTCGACGAGCCGTTTGGGACTCGATATTTTGCTTCTCTCGCGTGCCCCGCAAAATGCTTTGCGAGGGAAAGATGACACTGAAATATTCATGTCAGGGTGGAGAAGCGATGGGCGAATGAGATTAGGCCGTCGTCACCTAGTTCGTGTGTGTTTCCCCTCCGACTCGTATTCTGGAAAGGCCAGGCTCGCATAGCAGAACAACTGTGGACGGCGCGGAGTAAGATGGACAGCAGGGTCGACCGTCAGAGAATCGAACGCGAGGCGGCGGCGGAGCTCATCCGTCTCTCCTCGTCCGATTCCATCTACGGCACGATAGCCAACTTCGAAATCGACAAGAAAATCGGGAAGGGCCAGTTTTCCACCGTCTACCGTGCCCGCTGCAAAGTCGACGGGGCCGTCGTGGCCTTGAAGAAGGTTCAGATCTTCGAGATGGTCGACGCCAAATCCCGACTCGACTGCATGAAGGAAATTAAACTGTTGCAGGTGAGGCTCCTCCATCAGTCTGAATTCCATCAAACGTACATATCCGATTATTCACGGCGGATCGTGTCCTTTCCATAGCAATTGAACCACCCAAATGTCATCAAATATCACGCCTCGTTCATCGAGGACAACGAGCTGAACATCGTGCTGGAACTTGCAGACGCTGGGGATCTTTCTCGTCTCATAGCGCACTTCAAGATTCAAGAAAGGCTCATCCCAGAGCGAACGATCTGGAAATACTTCGTCCAGCTCTGCAGCGGAATTGAGCACATGCACTCCAAGCGCGTCATGCATCGAGGTAGGTCAAACCTCTGTGGAGGATGATTCCGGTTTGAAAGATAGGTGAATGAATTCAGAGTCGGTCCGTGGTTTTGCGAGAGTACCCCTTCGGCTGTCCCTCGAATTCCTTCCCAGCCTTTTCCCACTGAAATATGGTACTTAATCGCATGTATATGTGCACCCTGCAGACATCAAGCCTGCCAATGTGTTCGTGACCGGCCAAGGAGTGGTGAAATTGGGGGACCTTGGTCTCGGTCGATTCTTCAGTTCCAAGACGACTGCTGCTGAATCTCTGGTGGGCACTCCCTACTACATGAGCCCCGAGCGAATTCACGAAAAGCCCTACAACTTCAAAAGTGACATTTGGTCTCTGGGTTGCCTCCTCTACGAGGTACAGTAATTTATTATTTGGGGATGCCCTGTAACGTATGAAGCAAAGTTGATTAAATGTTTGTACGATTGTCCTTTCACATTAATGTTGCAGATGGCTGCCCTCCACTCGCCTTTCTACGGTGCCGACATGAATTTCATCTCGTTGATCAAGAAGATCGAGAAGTGCAATTACCCGCCTCTCCCCGCCGACCACTACTCCGAAGAGGTAATCCCATGATTCAACGGCATCCAGTCGCGACCGAGGATGTCCAGTTTGCTGATGCTCACGAATCATGACATTCCTCTTACAGCTGCGGAACTTGGTGGCATCCTGCATAAAGTGCGACTCAGAGGAGAGGGCCGACATCACCTTCGTCCACGAAGTGGCCAGAGACATGCACGCCAGGACCCACCCCCCAGGTAACGGAACGACCGATCTCTCCAGTGGATGCAGTGGGAGGTTGACATGACGCCAGCAGGAGGATGCGCCAATCGGTTCTATCGCGAGTTGACATGCAAGCGATCAATCAGGTTGCTCACCCGCGTTGACGTCACGCCAACTTCCCACGAATGTGCTCATCGGGAAACAAACAGGACGAAGCCCAGTAGGGTAGCTTGCCTCTTTTGGGCCATTGCTGACGCAGAGGCCTAACCGCGTGATGTATATTTGAGGAGAGATCCTGCTGACGTCATTGGATCCCAGGGATAGATTTTTTCTGTTAGCAGAAAAAATTAAGACCTTTGAAAGGTCTCAAAAGTCTGATAGTGAGAAAGCGGAGGGCTCTACTCGATGGTGCAGGAATAGTGCGTAGCATCGGCTCGCGTTGACATGGCTCATGTAAGCTTAAAGGTTTTGCAATTTTCACAACTAGGAAAGTGATCAGTTGTAAAGGAACTATCCCTCAGTTGCTTCCATCAATGGAATCGTTGAAATCCCCCGTGATGTATAGGAACTCAATAAGCCCCACGAATGTCAAGTTCTCAACTGTCAAACGGGGTAATGGAATAGTGGAGGGGTGTGTGCATCGATCTGCATTACGGAACATTGGCATTGTGCCACGAGTTATGACACATTGCGTCCTATCACGCTTACCTCTAATGGCTTCCAGTCCGATCAATACATCCATGTTTCCTGATTTTTTTATATTTATTATGACACCATTAAAAAACCAGCGGCGTTGAGAGCGGCGGGAGGGACGAACCCTTCCCCTTCTCCCCTTAATCGCCGGTCCTGACTCTTGGATGAGTCCTCTTGGAATATAAACTGAATCAAATGAGACAAAGAGAACTTTCCAACATTTCAAGAGAAAAATTCGCCGTGATCGTGGCAAGGAATTTCGAACAGTAAACCAGAAAGGAAAGCGCAAAATTCCACTCAAGAAGCTCGGAGAAGCTCAAGTTTATATAATATATTATTTATATAGTATGGGATATTATAGAATGGCTGTAGGGGGAGTAGGGGCAAAATGACGCATCTAAGAAAAAAAGTCGCAATATTAGCATGATGTTTACTGAGGATTCTTCAATCTCTACTTATGTTGCTGACAACACACACAGCCAAAACATGCATATCTTTCGATTTTTTTTTTCAGGAACAGTTGTAAAACTTTAATGAATAATCAAGCCACTAATCCATTTTGCTCCAACTTATTGGGGGGAAATGACACATAGATATAATAGACAAATCCCTTTGTTCCCTTCTCCAAGACAGCACATTCACAGAAACTCCATTTTCTGCCCACTGTACGCTGAATCTATGGTTCTTTTGATTCCTGTTTGAGGTAAAGTTGATTACCATAATCTCCCAAAACAAATTTAGGTAAGACACTTCATCTGGACTATTTCACACGAGAAAACCGATGACAGAGTCTGCATAAGAGGTTATAATTTCTTTTCTATGCCACCCGATCGCGACCTCTCAATTATAAATGATGGCAATTGTATCAATAAGTTCGCACACACGTCCCACCTGCGAGAGGAATTATTCGGGGCAAAATGACATGCTGTGGCGCTAATCCTGGTATGTCATTTTACCCCACAAACGGTCCCTGGACAAATTGGCCGGAGTCAAACAGCAATGCCGGAGTATACAAGCACAATTAGCCATTAATATGCATAAGGTAGGCTACTCTCTCCCCTGACTTGCTTTTGACTGCACTCCCTACTCTTTTCAGTGCATCAGGAAAGTACACACAGTATGTATAATAAATAGTCCAGGACCTGCCAAAACATGGAAAAGCCTCAGGAAAGGTGAATATTGTCAGAGGGTTCCGCTGTTGGCATACAAAAGGCTGCCCTGCGCATTCGAAACAGTATCGAATTCTATCGAAACAGTAAACAGATGCTAGAGCCACCTAGTTTGTAGAAACGCATTTGATATCATTTTTGCTTTGACTTCTAAGCCAGAGCTACGAGACCTCTCTTTTGGGGTTGCCATTTCTATTTTTTGGCCCTGTATCTATGGTTCTAACATTGACGCCCATTCGTATCCCGTACTCGACATCTTTTCAATAAGGAAACCCAAGAGATATAATGTTTTAACCAAGTGAATGGAAATTCAGTGCTATGGGTGTGCCAATGGATTAAAATCGGAAACCGATTTTTAATGACGTTTCTTAGCAGACTGTTCAGCGTGTGATTTGCTTCACCTCGCCAAAATCTGCACCGTATGGCTCTTTTTCTGCATGCATGACAAAATATTGATGTACTGCAAGTTTTGCTATGCGATGAATCGATGACGCTCGAAGATATATGTCATGAGCACAATCCGATTGGCTTCCATGTGCGCGATTTCAGAACTGAATTTTTATACATTTGAAAAATTTTGCGCCTTTTAGGTTTTATTATTTATCGTGACCCGACAAAATGCGAAAGTGCATCCCGTCCCGTCCGCCCGACTCCGACAGTATGGGTATGACATGAAAGAAAGCACGGGACTAAAGACGAGGATTTCTTCTCACCCGTCAGTCCACAGCCGCGCTCCGCAGGCAAACGCATCCATCGCGTGACGGTATCACCCATGCCTCGTGCGACAATCCCGGGGGGAGGGGGGGGTGGGGGGGTGGGGGGGGGGGTAACCCGGGCGCCTTCAGGATGTACCATGGGATTCTGACGTGAAGATCTCAGCAATCGCGTGGCAGAGCCATTGTTACTGCACCTTCTCGCTGAATGTCCCTTCGTCTCCGCCTAAAACTCATTCTCTCTAAAATCTCAAAGCCTAGAGGATTTGGATGCGGAGAAAGTGACGTCATGCGGCGACGGATGGAAATACTTAGGCTAATCCAAGCAAATAAAAATACTTTTAGGCAATGGCATCACTCATCTGCTTCCTCCACATAAATAATTACGAGGCCTCTGCAATGAAGCATCTTCGTTGATGAAGAGAAAAACCGTAAACAACGTCATTCTTTACAAGTTTTGGAAAAGCAATGGAAAAGAGACCGATCGGCGTCTATGAAGGGAGAAAGAAGCTTCTTCCGAGGAATTGCTGCAAGGAGTCATTCTGTTCATCCACCCGTTAAAATCCGTTAAAATATAGTAATACCCCGCTTAGTCCTCAGGATGCGTTCCTGGAAAAGAGAGCGCTAACTGAAGCGGCGCTAAAAAGGGGTCATTATATCATTGTATATATGGAGATGCGAATCGAGCTGTGAATATTCTACTAATAACTTTTGACTTGTATTTTGGATTTGTCTTCTTTTTTTGGCTTTCAGTAACAATTTTTCTCTCCAGGATCAAGAGCGCTATAACGAAACACGGGGTAGCGCTAAGCGGGGTATTACTGCATTAAAATCTCAATAAACTTTAGTAGTATTCTGGCTTACCCCTCTTCCAATTAGTATAGGTTAGGCATGAATTTCCCCCTGTTTTGGGATGGACGCACTCGTAATTACTTTTGGTTCATCCGTAGGTTCGGCCGTTTCCACGGTATCCACCATTTCTGCGAGCTCCATATCCGAGAAGAGCAACGTGGAGAATTTCCGCAACATGAAACTGGCCAAGTGACTGCTTCGGTTCCAAGGCTCTCTCTCTCTCAGAGAGAGAGTGAGAGTGAGAGAGAGAGAATGTGAAAGAGGAGCGTCATGAAGTGCGAGCATGATTTTTATGCTTTTCGAGCACGTCTGAATGAGTGGGTACGATAATAAATTTCCGCCTCCTCTCCCTTTCGTAGACTTTTTTCTGTCTCTCGGACTACGGTTGGTCCGCAGAATGGCGGAATGCCAACTCTGTCGTGTATGGCTCGACTGTGATCCGAGAAAAGAAAAAATCCTAAAAGGGAGAAGAACGAGGCATTTATTTCTGCACGGAGTTGACCGTGTCCGACAGATTCCTCGCACTTCGTCGGTCGGTTCCTACGGCCTCATGCATTGCATTTTCATCTAATTTCATTGTTGGATCCATTCGTGAGTTACTATCACCTGCTAAGAGGATTCCGCTCGAATGGTTTTGTGTGATTTCTCGTGACATATGTAACGTCTCTGTGGATGGCTATCTACAGCAGCCAACTGTAGACCTGCATAAAACCTTTGCCAGGCGATTGGTATTCTCTCGCTACTTCGATGTTCAACATATGTACAATAAAACACTACTGTGATGACGATATGGTGTGTCCAGGATCCTTCAACCGTACCATCGCAGGAAGACAAAAAAGTATTCCTCTGCCTGCCTTTAGAATATGCGAATAATGGCGCTTCACTGTACTCATCGTGGCTAGGGGAAAGTGGATGGGGAGCGCTCAAAAATTCGAGAGCCGACACTTTTTTAGTCAGTCAGTTATCGAGGCATCATCGGGGAGGAACTCAGGAGGCAAAGAAACAGGTAAGAATGAGAAGACGGGCACAAGAAGTCCAGGAAGACCTGACAGAGGCAGTCGAGACGGCAGCGACTGGGAGAGTCTCCGCTGCGTCCCCGTCTCCCTGTCGCAGCGCCGCCCTCATCCAGTCCGCGTACGATGCCACCCTCGCGTACACTCCGTGCATGCTGCGGATGGTCGGTGAATTGGGTGCGCCGTCTCCGTCAAACCCTTGTTTGTGGAGGATGGATGTGGTCGGGAGTGACTCACGGGATGCTGGAATCCGCGCTACAAAGCTCGCCGAAGGAAACGACGCCCACAGCCACTCTGATGGAGTTGTTGACGGTTACGCAGGTAAGTGGGCTCCCCGAATCTCCCTGCAGTCCCCGACAAATGGGAACGCATTTTTCAGGACTCTGATCGGTGAGGGCCGATGCGAATGATGGAAAAAACCGGTATACAATTCGGTTGTCAAAATATGGCAGAAATTTTTCAGTTCTGCTCGCCTTGCAAGCATCGACGGTCTTGTCCGGGCTGGTCGTACAGAGCATGGACGAAGGGATGTAAGCGCCACTCCAGTAGCGACAGCAGAGATCTTCCGTCGCCAGGGAAACGGAAGCTTCTTTCAGACGACGAGGCTTGGAGTCTCCGTTGCCGACGTTACCCCAGCCTGCCACTACACAGGACTCTGTCAACAACATCAACAAACCTGGAGCCATTTTACCTGTCTCTACAGATGTCTTCAGTACGTTCGTGGCTCTCACCTACGTAAATTACCGTTCCGGGAGGAGGCAGCGGTAATATTTTTATGTGGTTGTTAAGTTGGACCGGTTTGTTCAACCTGATGACAGCAACGTCGTTAATGGGAGCTGTCTGGGAGTGTACGTACGAGTGATGCTTCTTGAACTCCTTGATGTACCTCACTTGCTCCGTTCCTAAAGAAAATGTCCAAGTTACTATTTCTATCGACAAGAAGCACCAAAGTGGTGAACATCTGGCGGATGTCTGGTCACGATGCAATGCGTCCCCCAGCTCGGCACGTAGTTCAATTCTTCAGTTTTTTTTTTACACTCGCAAGAAGAAGCGTCTCCTACAACTATAGAAATTGTCCGAACAGTTATGCTGTGTTACTTCAGCTGTAAAAATTAGGGCCTAGAGCAGTGGTTCCCAATCTTTTTTTATTTGCGGCACACATATGGACACTTGAACTTTCCACGGCACACCCAGTCATTTACGAGGGTACTTACTTTCGATGGGAAACATGTGCTTGCTTCGCTGAACACAGTAGTTTTATACGAAGCGTGATAGAACAACTATCAGCTCGTTTTCCACTGAGAGATGGCGTTCCCTCTTGTTTTTAAGTTTTTTAAAGTTTTTTTTTGTCAACTGAAATCTCACGGCACACTTAAGCCTTACTGGTGGCACACCGTTTGGGAAACACTGGCCTAGAGATCTTGGCTGGCTGGACTCCTCAGTAGGGCTCAGGCAAGGTCCTAACCATAGTAACACATAAAATTGAATCAACATTGATTCAACGTTGGTTCAACGTTAGTTCAACGTCCGGATGCTGAATCAATGTTGTTTCAATGTTATGTGCTACTAGGAAATAGTCCTATTCATTGGTTAGTCAAACATTTGTCATTCACTGCGAAGGCTTCCAGGGTTCCCAAAACTGAACTAAAAAGGAGGACATAGTATTTTGCAAGCAGCACCTGGTTTTATAGTTCTAGAGTTTTCTCAGACAGTTCACAATAGAGTACACTAGAGTACTAGGCTGCCTATTCAGAAGTAGCTGCAGCCAGACTGCATTGAGACCATACATGTGTTGTCTCCTAACAAATGCCTTCTGCTCCTCAACCAGTCCACTCCAAAAATTAGAATATCAGAAGTGTGCGTCTTTCAACTTTTTTTTTACGGTACAGATCTACGGTACGGAGAACAGTACAGATGGTACTGTTCTCCCGTCTGTCCTCTCGGTTCTCGTGCTCTAATCTATTTTTTTTAAATTCAATTTTAACATACTTTTGTTCTGGCACTTGTCAAATTTTTTTCGTTTTGCCAGTTTTTTTCTTATGCCCTGTTTATAATTTTTTTTCGTTTACTTTTCCTCTCTCTCTTCCTTTCTTTCCTGTTGACTCGTTTAACACTTCGAAAACATGTTTAATCTCGTGCTTCAATCTTCGTAACCAGCACGTGACTTCTTGTTCGATTTTTCTTTCTCTCCCGGTTCCATCTTTGCCTCACGAAAAAGGCAAGCAGCAGCAGCTCATGACCTTGGTTCCGCGAGGCGAGCACGGGGGCACGTGGGACTTTCCCAGAACGCGAGAAATGGAAAACAACCAGGTGTTTTTCAAGGCTCTTTCAACATTTTATTCCGGCTTGAAGAAACGTATTCCATTCGACTCTGGATTCAATAATACCTGCCCTTGAGAACTTTTATGGAAGAGCTGAAAACCTTTCTTACTTGAAAAAACGGGCCTTCTCTTTTTTTTTCCTTCACGAATTTTGCGAGGCGACATGGAATGTATTGAATGCTACTCTCAAAGGGTCCCAGGGACTCTATGATGCAATTGGTCCAGTCATGACTCTCACGAGGTTTTGACTCAAATATGAGAATTTATTGCATCGCGCATAATTCTACAAATAACTTAAGACGCGCTACTGACAGGGTTTCGCATGGGTCACTGCCACATCTTCGTCTTCCATGATGCTTAACCCAGCGACACCTGCAGAACCGTAACTTCCTTGGTGCCGCTCGCCAATTGAAATTCTTCAGAAAAAAAATTTAGCATAATTATTTTGAATTATATTGAATTTGAAACGAGATTCCTTCCGAGCTTCAATATATCTGTACAGTTTTCTATAGAGATCTATAGATTCCGATATTAAATTATCGGACTGAACAGGATCCTCGAGAGAATTACATGAAGCATTCGCGACAACGCAAGGGATACGACGAACGATTGAGCAGAAGCTTTGTCGTGCCGAGATTACCTTCGTGGTATTTTCGGTCGACATCGCCGAAGATGATTTCATAACTGCTCCATTCCCTGCCATCTTCATAGGAGAAGACGAGGCAATGGGCCGCTGTAACCACCCATCGCCTGGCGATGAGGAAACCCATGCACTTGACATGCCCCCTCTGAACGATTCTGGCCAACCAAGGATGGCTCCCTTGGGGAGGGAAAGTCGTCAAGTTCAAGGATTCACGACGGCGAATGACGTGCACGTGATGGGAGAATGGTGCGCGCATGATACGAGACTGGCGCGAGGTACCTGGTGACGCCTCGGATCCGCCGACGACTCGAGCTCCCCTGGTGGTGTTCCTCTCCCCTTCCTCGTGTCTTTGAACATCGCGGTCTATTGTGGCGCTGGCCGTGGCCGTGGCAGGATCCCGTAAGTCCCCGCAAGAGTCTCTGGACTCCGAGATTGGGAGCCTTGCCGAGAAGTCTCGGACGCTGCCGAGGTGGCTGCTGATGGCAGCCTGCACGACCAGAAGAAGGAGGAAAGCTTTCCGTTCCATCTCCGCCATGCATAGTCACCCGTGATCGTGCAAGGCTGAAAAGCCTTCGTTTACTTGGGATGTGGAAACAGAATTACATCTTTGTATCGCCGGAAAGACAAGGAAACGCCTCCCAAATCGCTGGCCACTGGGGTAAGTTGTGCCTGCAATCGCTAGAAACCGAAAAAATCAGTTACGATTCACCTGAATTAATCCTACCTAATATCTTCACTTCTACTTCGCCACAAAACTAACGTGAAATGGCGTTTCTTTCATCTCTATAAAATCTCAGTTATATAGCGGTACATCATATGACAGAAGACTCAGAAAGTAAAGAATGCAGAAAGAGAATAGATTTGAAAAAAAAAGAAGAAATATATCCCCATTATGAAAGAACGCAACTGGAGCATCTTAGAGATGACTTTGGCATTCGCTTTTGTCTTACCTGCATGGAATCGAAATATCTTTGCCCAATCGTGTCAGTAGGGGATAACGTGCCGAAGATCGGAATATAAAAGCTAGCTATTGAAAGAAAGAAGGGAAAAGAGAAGAATAGGGAGCAGTCCCCGGCGAGGCAGAGCCTGAGTTTTCCGAACAATCATTTAAGGGAGTTTCAAAGCGGTTCGATTTTATTTATGACTTATATTGCTCGTGTGTTCCGGATGACTACAGGGCGTACGTTTAGATGAATAAATAACGCAGTACATTGCACGAACGACTTGACAAGAGTAACAGTTTGACGAGCTGTTCATTTGGATGACAGACTTCTGGGTCGCGTCTTCCCACCAGTGTAGGGAGAGAAGGGAAAAAAAATCCCGATTCCACAGTGTGAGGCTGCATGTGTTTCACCTTTCAGTGACATAGATACGTCGGAATAAGAATAATGCGATGAGTTCAGCGTCCAGAATCACTTCGTCGTCGTAAAAAAAATATATATATATATATATTTTTTTTTAAGATTTTGTTACGGAGAAATTTGTTCATAGAGGAGAACTCAAGTTTCTCAGAAGTTATAACGGGTACATATTTATGTTTTAGATTTTATCATATTGAGGGGTATTTCTCGTTCTTGATAGTGGAATCGAACAACAAGCATGAAAATGCTCGAAGCTTTTGAATTCAGAACACTGACAATTTGAATAAATTTGAAAAGAATTGAAGGGTGACATGCACCAGATCTGTTAACCTTAAACTAATCCGATCTCACAATGGTCCTCTACAAGAATCCGTTGGACGGAGATGATCTTATTCCCATACACGCTCATTATGAAACCAGATCAGTTTAAAGTTAAACGTATCTGGTGCATGTTTCCCGAAGTTCTCGTTGAGTCGAACGCGGCCGATTCGAAGTTTTGGTATCGTCATGTCAGTTCAATGAAGTTCTACCTGAAAGTCAGGCAAATTAATATCTTTCAAAATGCAGTGCCTCTCAAGGTCAAATGCCACATTTTCAGCATTTCTCCTTCAAGGTAACTTTACATCACTCGTATTAAGTGCAATCACAACACATCGCGTGGAAGTCATGCGGATAATTGCTTTGAAATTAAATAAATGTCTATTTTTTTAAAATGGAAATGAGTGAACATTTTCTGAGTGAAAATATCACGGTGTTTTATCGTCGCCTCAGAGCAACCTTGTCGCCCTGAGGCAACGATATGACACCATGATTTTTCTTGGGGCGCGTTAGAAGGGAAGCTGTTCTCATACTTCATGATAATCACCATAACCATCCCAAGCTTCTTGACTAGGTTCTGTTGCTGAAGTTCTGATGCATGTCTCAAGCGACTAGAGAGAAGGTGCAATCAGAATGAAATCGGAAGTCGATTTGTTACTTAAGATCAACATAATATGGGGGTTTCAAGTTTTTCATCTGGGTAGTGAGTCAGAAACCTGTTTACTCCCAGCTTCCTCCGTGATCCCCAGTTTCATTGGGTGATTGATGGCCTTTTTATGGAAATGGGATGCTTCTGTAAAGAGATTTATGCATGAGCTTGAAGCTCGGTCTGAGGAAGAAATCATCCTCAATGACTGCTAAGTAAAGGCAGAGGCTTCTGCAAAACCTTCCTAGTTGCTTTTCTGTTTTTCTGCTAGTTAGGTTCATGAATCTTGGTGGCAGGCAAATTTCGTTCTACGGTTTAAAATTTTTTTTTTTCGAGTTCGACACCTCGCCAGATACTCCGACTCTCGTGGCCCTTCCCATGCATGGGAGTCAAACAAGAGAAAAACACTGCGAGCCGACCCTGCTCAAGGAGAGCGAGATTGCCTGCTGTTGCTGCCGGCCTTGAGAGGCTGTGATGGGCCATGGCGCTCCTTTCATGCTCACACTGCACCACGTGCGAGCGCAGGCCCCGAATCTCCAGTACCTCCTCTGACATGCCCGAGTTCGAGAAGCAAGTCGAAATATGGGTTCGATCTGAACCGTTGCGATATCACATCTTCCCTGTTCAACCAGCTATTCTTCTTTCTCTCAAGGTCGGAAGAGTCCAACGAGTTGTGTAAGCGTAGTGTATTGCACGTTGAATCCCGGTCTGTAAGTTTGAAGTTACTGAGCAAATAGTTGGAACTTTCAATCTACGATAAAATCAGGCTCCCTAGCTCTACACAAAAACTAACTTTACTGTGCCTGCTCTAGAGCTGTATATGATAGTCGGAGCCAAGCTCAACACCTGTTATAGGCCTTGATCTAGTTGTACCATATAGCTTAATCTGAATGTCTGGTAAGATGTAGCTTAGGAAAGCCTAGCGTTAGTCTATGAAAGGTGGGCCTAATATTTTCCATCCCATTCCAGTACCTGAAGAAGATGGTGCCCTATATTCGAGGGAAGTCTGAACAGAATCATATGATGTCCTACAAGTTGTGGAAACATATTGCTTGTTACAAGTTGGGAATTCCTGAGGAATTAGCTTGGGCATATTTTGAAAGCTTCACTGTCCTGAATGCCCTCAAAGAGAGAGTGGATCTTTCAACATTTCATACACCTCATGGTTAGTGGGACTTTCAAGGAAGGTGACCTTTTGACATAGATCAAAATATGATTAGAATGTCTTTTGGATTGAAATGGTACCCCCTGGGTAGTGGGAAATGGAAAAAACTCAACTTCTAGAGGATTTGCTTCCACAGGTGATCCACAAAACCACCTACCTGGAATCAATGGAAGGGCTCCTATTGGGGGGGTACCAATTCAATCTGAAAATAGTGTATGTCTTCCCTATCATACTATCTCCTACAGTGCTTTTGTATTTTCTTCCCTCCCCCTGCCCATTTGCATGTGCTTCATACTTTTTTTAATGGCCTTTGCCCTTGAGTTGTGGAGTAGCATTTCCCTTGCTTAGGAAGGGATGCTGCTCCATGGGATTGACTCATCACTCTACTCCTTTGTTATTAATGCATTCAGTGGCATTTATGGCAAAAGCTGCATAAGCATGTTTATTTTTAATTTGAAAATATATGAAAAAACTATATTATGTCTGACATCAAAACCTGACAGTGAATGTGTGAATAGATGCCATGACCTCATGGAGGATAAGGTCCACTAAGGAGATCATTCCCCTTGACCCACTGGTGGGTCCTTTGGCAATCATTGTGTTATATAATGGATTGCTGTTACTTGGTGGCTCTTGAGTACCTTTGACAAAAGCACCAGGAAAAGGTAATGGGTGGATAAAAGTCAGTCTGAAAACACTGATTGTACCTCTTGAGGTCAGGAGAGTTGGAAATATTAGCTGTATTTAGGTTTCAAAAGGTTTTCCTGCTTATGCCATTGGGCTATATGTCTAATTCCTGAGCAGTTATTTTCTGGAAGAGCTTCTGCATGAAAGAAAAGATAAGTGGGTGGGTGGGTGCTTTTGACATTACCAGATCAGGTGGGATGTGGTAGATATAATAGCCATACTCCCATTTTAAAGAAAATGCAGTAAAAGTTAAAGAAGATTAAAGAAGTAGAGATTGAAGAAAAAAAGACCATATAGAAATATAAAAGCCCTTTGGAACAAAGTCCTAAAACATTGCAATGTGACAGTTGCAAATTTGGAGATTGACCTGTGTGGTTTTAAATTTTACTGTAGAAGTGACCTGTAGCCCAAGAACTACAGGCTTCTCATTTCTAAATCCTACCAGTCAAAAAGGTGCCAGGTGGAAACAAGCCTGATGAGAAATGAGACCAATGTTACTATAACTTGGAATTGAAAAATTTTCAAATGAAATGTCTCCTTTTGCGTTCTTGTGTAATAACCTAGATATAGTACTTGCCTTTGGAAGCTTTCTTTTAATTGAAAATAGTTGGATATTGCACAGTAATGTAAAATATTTTGAATTCCAAATCAAGAGAGATAAATATGTGTGGTGATAGTATACATTGTTTCTCTATTTTCAAAACCTATAGGGAGACACTACAAGGCAGAATCTCTATCTTCTGTGCTAATTCCTATCATCAGATAATCAGAAAAAGGATCATTGAGGCAAGTTGTATTTTTGGATAAGAAAGTTCATAATCAAGATTTGCTGCTCAGATTAGAGTGGAAATCCCCTAGTATCAGATGACTCATTTTGCTCTCCCTTTGACATTGTTCTTGGGCATAGTTCTTCAGACACTAATGTCTTTTTGCCTTGCTGCCCTGGACTGAAAGCATTGCTGTGAATAATTGTGACAGTGGGAATCTGCTAGTGTTAATTACATTACTGCATGATATGTACATACATCACTGTACATTTAATGCATGAGACTGCATGCAACATGCACCCTAGTTTTTGTTCCTTGCACAGATAAGCTGCAAACCTGTGAATCTGTACATTGATAGATTGGGTTTTCCTGTATACCATTATGTGGTTCTGGAAAAATTCCTTTGCTCCCTGTACCTGCTTGAGTTGGCATATTTCCTTCTTTTGATTTACTCATGACTTCATTCTGCAATAATGGCTTAGCCTATAATGTGATGAGCTTGATTGTGGCATGCACCAATTTTTATTTATTTTGGAAGGATCTAAATGTGGATTTCCTCATTCCCTTAAATCATGGGGGAATCAAATGGGTAGCTTCTACATCCAGAAGCCTAATCCTGTGACACATAGCCATTGCAAAAAAAATTATGTTTATCCATGTTCACTGCTGATGCATGTTATACATCTTCCTTTACCCCTTGAACACATGATGCACAGAGTGGAGAAACTATTCCACTGGTTCCTATGATTTCTGTGTTTGGTATTGTGCATTCACCATTGAATGTTTTTTTTCTGATTTTCCCTGCAGATATGTCTGTCATTGAGCATGTTGCTGTCAATGCATGGCAATTTGTTGTCTACCTCTATCAGCAGAGCTTCTTCACAGAGGTGAAGAACTTGTCTGTGGTGAACTTGGCTGTTGAAGTGTGGGTGTGGTGATTGACAAATTTCCTCTCAATCCCTGCTTTTTTTTCATTATTGCTAGTTTGAAGAACAGAAGCTTCTGCAATTTGCTCCATATTGCATCAGCAGCTTCAATTGAGCATTGATTATGCTCAGTTAAAGATTTTTTGCACATGCTGATGGTGCATTGATACTGAGTTTTGCCACTTCTGATAGATTGATTTCCTATTTGTCACCTTTCTGAATGAAGTGAAAGTCCAATCAGATGTAGCCAAAAACATAATCTTTTCAAAATGCTGTTGTAATGTGGCTTGATGGTTTGCTGCAGATGTCAAATTGAAATTATAATTTGCATTTGTAGTAATTGAAGTAATAATACTTCATTTATTAAAACAGATCCTGTTACTCCATTCAGCATCTCATTGAAATCCCAACACAAGGCCTAACAAATTCCTATTCTGTTGTAGTACATGTTACCAGCATCATTCAGGAAGTCACTCCTTGCTGGAAATGCTAAATCTTATCTTCACAATCAATAACCTTTACCTCGTACACCCTATGCTGGTTAGAGGCCTAATGATTTCCATTTGCATATTATATTTCTTAATATATTTTGCCATTGCACAGCAACTTATTTGTTTATCTCTTGGCTAAGTGCCATGCTTTGTTTTGGGTAATATTTCTGTTTTGCCAGCATTCCAGCAGTCTTGTACAAAAGGCATGGAAAAACCCATAATGGCAGAAAATAAAAATGATAGAACATAGAAAATAGAAAAACACATGCTGTATTTCTCCACAGAATCCCCATTCTAAACCCTGCACAATTTTGACACCAGTGACTCATGCATTAAGCCTGATGACAGTATTATTTGGTCTGTCACTCTTATCTGACTGGATGACTAGATGACCATGGCCTGGTGAACGAATTGATAACCTTGAAGAGCCTTCTCCAGCAATGAGAATAGAATGAAATCAGATGTATCAGGCCATTGCAAATGTATGACTTGTGTGAAGTCATGTATTGTTGCAATGAAGGAGGATGCCCCAGAACATGAAGCATGCCATGAGTATGCCACAATGTCTCATTCACCTTATTGACCTGATCTAGCTCTTCCTGATTTTCACTTTTTGCTGTAGAAGGCTCTCCATGGTCATAGATTCATTGGCTGTGTCGAGGTCATGCAGCTTTTCAACAGATGGGTACAATAGATCTTATATCTCCTCACTGGGTTTACTGTATTGGTGAACTGATGGGAAAGTGTTTGAAACTCAGAATGGGGATAATGAGAGGAAATAAAGCACATGTCTCATGTTCTGAATGGTGTCTTTGCTTTCATTATGGCTTTTCTCATGACTTTAGCTCCCTCACCTTATATATATTTCATTTACCATGCTTGCTCCCTCATGCCTATTTCCATTTGTTCTTTCCTATTGCCATTTGTTCTTTCATCAGAGGATGTGACTTTTCATGTTACAGTTATAATATTTTATTTTAGACTGAATGATCACAACCATATGGAGGCATGTTTGGCTTGGGAGACTTGGTCCTCAGACTGATTTGTATGCTGCAATTTTTTTATTATTAAAAAAATAATTAATAAATCATTTTTATAAGTTTCTGTTAATTACCAGTAATTTTTACTGTGAATTGAATATTTTTTGTTTGTGAAGCACCTCTGCTGAAAGCAAACTTTGACTATATTCTGAGAGGATTTTATGTCTGTGCTTTGCCTTGTTCAAGCACTTTGCCTCCAAGTTTCTGTTCCAACTGGAGAAGAACCTCTTTTGCTGTAAGATGTTTTATGCTTCTAAGTGTTTTATGCACTGTTAAGCTCGAAAGGGCAAAAAGGCTAAAGCTGTTTCAAATGAAGGTAAGAATGAAGGAAAATGTGATAATCTTTGTTGACATAAGAATATTGGAGACCCCAAAACTTCTTCACAGCATTTTCATGTGTCATTTGACATCTGACTTTTGAAACTTTAAGAAATGAGTGCAAGTTTATATTACCCATACATATGATTTTGTGAATGTCTCATTTGGTGAGATGTTGATGTCCTTTCATGAGTGATAGTGGTCATTCTGCATATATCTTCATTTATTAAAGACCAAACTCCCAAGTTGATTGCATGTGCCAACCAAACTTTCTACTACATCTTGTATTTTAGTGAGAAGTTGGTGTACATCAAAATGTGCCAAATCCTGTTAAAAAACCTTATTGCTTGGCTGTTATTTTGTAATATAATATATTTTACCATTTATTTTTTTGTGGTTTCTTTGTTTTTATATGTTGCTCTTCATGATGCATTAATTATTATAGGTGGCCCATGTCTCCCAATTCAAGTACATGCCTCACAAGCCTCAGGCCATCAAAATCTGACCACGGACATCAAATTGCTGAAGAATCATACCAACAATATGTTCTCGACCATCTAGACACCTTGCTTCAGTTGTTGTGTTTGAAGAATCCCACTGATTCTCTTGGACCAGTATCGCAAGTGCCACTTAATGTTATCCTTGCATTGGATTGGATCCTTGGATCACAAGATGAGGATAGGTGAGTCATGACATCTTTTTGTTTGCTGAAAAAGTGCTGTTCAGGTTTAGCTTGCTTTTCCAAGCATGCACTACCATGATGTTCCTACTCATCATATTCATATAAAGGATGGATTATAACATTTTCTTGGCTATATGCCTAGCTGAAAATAGCTTTGCTGGATTTGGCTTTTTAGGTTTTCCTTTAGAAGGTATGTTGTTTTGTTCCTTTTCAGGATCATGGTTCCTCTCCATGATCTACTATCTCAAACTCATCGGGCTTGTGAGACTGGCTACATTGCTTCTGCACAGGTCTTCAATTATAACAAGCTTGTGCAATATGTGTGTCAGCATCTCAGGCAGAATCCATATGGAGTTATTCAGTGTGCACAAAGAGGAGATTTACTTCCTTGGCTCCCTCTAAGAACTTCTTCAGCAAAGACCAATGCATCCCAGGCTCACCTCTTGACCAATCGAGGCTTTGCACCCCCCCAGTTAGTTCTCTTAGTTCTTTTCCTTTCCTTTCTTCACATACAGTCTGTTTGTTCTTTGTTTTTACTTTGTACACAGAGGCTACAATGTACACTGTGAGAAAAGCTCTTCATAAAAGCTCTTGCAGATCAAGAATCAGTGTTAAGGTGATGATATGAAATAGATTAATCTGAGACTGATATACCTGAAGTATGTATTTTTCAAGCCATTTTTTTCTTTTAAAGGTCATGAAATTTGTCATATATGCATTTTATATATTTTAGTTTTTAGGAATATGATGTAATCGTTCTATGACCACAGAATAAGGTGTAGGAGATCCTCCTTGATATGTCAGATGAGTGCCATTAGAGCACCATTGATTTAAATTGAGAAGGCACTGTTTTGTGTTACCCTATTGATCATGAGGAAAATGATACTCAGTATGTCTTTCTATTTAATAATAAATTGTGGTTTTTGGGTTCTGCATCTGGAAATAAAAACAAACAACTTCAAGGAAATGCTGAATGAAGCAACTAAAACTTAAGCTTGGACAAATTTCTGAGAGGAGAGACATATGACTGTACATTGGCCCTTTGGGAGCTGTAAACCATAAAATCAGCCAGGAAAACTTGATTGCTCTTTATATTTAGCCCTTACACATCTGTCTAGTGAATTACAGTTACTGCTACTGTAACTAGCCCAATTTTGTTCTTGTTATATGAAAAATATAAATAGCATGCTTTCTCCTTGGAAAGAGCAGAAAGGGATTAGAAATGAGACTATTTGATTTGAATCAATGCATGAAAATAAACCCTTTCTAGTACCTTAGGAACTGAAATTTCAGCCACAAAATTTATTTGACTCTTACTTCTTAGTGCCATGTGATTAGATTAGAAGAGCCCAAGTCTTGCTTGATTCTGTCTAAATTTACCCATGTAGGAAATTTGGATCCACATAAAACCTCTGAAACTTGACATCTTCAACTGTATTTTGAAGCAATCATGCAGTAATATTGAAACATTTAATTCATTATATCTTTTACTTTTGCAGTTTGAAGCTGGTGCTTCTTTCATCATTGAATGAGAAGACTATAGGAGTACAAAACAGTGTGCTGTCGTTTTCTGAGGTTGTCATCAGAAGATCGTCTTTTTCATACATCTACCTTCTCTCATCATTGAGGTAGAGGCTCTGCTGTCATTCATATGCACAAATCCTGTCAGTTTCAAGTAATAGTTCGGCTTCTGTTCATGCACCTAAGTATCAGTGTAAGCATCTTGTAATTGATATGCAAATATCTTGATAGTGGTGCAGTAGCTGCAGTGGCACTGCAATGAAAGTTACATCAGAGTTTTTTCAGCTTTGTCCTGTTATGTCTCTGTGTAATTTGTTGCTTTGCATTTGAAAATTGTAAGTTGGAAGTACTCTTTTGCAGATCCATCCTGATAGAGAAATGTCATAGCACAACATTGGTGCTTGGGCCCATTGCAACCTTCCTGAAGGTGGTTGGTTGCCAAAGAGTCCTTATCCATGCCATATGTCATAGGATTGTCATCAGGTGTGTGATTTTATATTGAATCATCTCCTTGCTCCAAATTGTTACTTTATTAACCCTTTGGCTGTTTGCCTGAGTACATACTCGGGCTTATGCAATGGTAGCATGGGTATGTTTTGGGCTCAGAACATTCACTGTTTCTAGGTTACTTCACAGTTATTGATGCATGTAATTGCTATCTTATAGTTATCATGAAATGAAATTATTTTACATAAACTATTGTTTTTAAACAAGCAGGGTCAATTTTTATATGAAAACGTATCGACCATCCCCCTGTGTTATAACAGTCAAAGGGTTAATCCTTTAGATATATCTAGATATATTATAATTGGTGTTCTAAATCTATTCATGCTATTAGAACACATAGCACAGAATGTTCATGAGTGAGGTGCTTGTTTTAGGGACTGTTCCCAATGTGTATTTCACCTGCTGACCCCCACTCACCCTGTTCTGGCTGGTAACAATACAAACATAAAATTGGCTCCCTTTGTCACTACATATCCTCAGATTGACCAGCTTATGCAAGAAGCTGGTGTCAATCCTCTTGTGAATCTATGGGACAGGCCTTTATGCATATGTGAGTACCCCATAATCCTTGAAGCTTCCTTTGGTAATCCTGCAATCCTATAATTCTTTTGATCTGTCTTGTATTGATGTTTTTGCCTCCTGAAAATTTTTTTACTATTTTTGCCATGGTGAAATTAATTCATTTCCATCAAGTTAGGCATGTTATTGAAAGTATAGTGACATTCACTAACTTGGAATAACACTCCAAGGTTAATCTTGTCTGTAGTTCTAAAAGAATGTGATATCCTGTGTGAGTCTCTATTGGTATTAATTCCTTCAACTCTCTCTAATCAGACTACATTTTTGAACTGTTGAGGCATTAGGAGGAGAAATGCCATTTTTCTGACACATAGTTTAGGCCCAGCCATAATCTGGGAAGAACACATAAGATAAGGAGGTACTACTCTAGTCATAATTTTATTCTTCCCCTCATTTAAGCAAGAGAGAGGGCAGGGCAGAGATTTTCTCATGAATTCTTTCACCTTGCATATTCTGAAAACAATCATAGTCTGAAATGAGCTCCTACCCTCTCACTCCATACACTACGGCAGCACTTGAAATATGAGGGTCACCCTGAAAGTTCATTGCTACTCTCAGATATATGGGCCTAGAGTTTTGATAATTGGATCACCTATCACAGTCCATGTAGACCAGCTGCCATTTATCCTGACTCTACTTCAATGTTGAAGGGTTGCCCTAGTTTTTTCTTCACAGTCTATAGTGTTTATTGCATGTCACAAAATTGTTCAGTTAATTTATGGACACCTGGTATATGTGCAAAATGAACTAAATATGAAATATTAAGCAAAATGAACTTGTTGATGCAGACCTGGGAAATCCTATTTGATTAATTTTTCACTTCATGCATTGCTTTCTGCTCCTACCTGTCATATTTTGTGCCATTTACTTCTGTTTAATTCTCACATCTTGTCCTATATAGTACACAATGCTTAAAGCTTATAGTCAGTCATTACAGGGACAGGTTTTTTAAAGTCTAATGTGACAGCACCGCTTGCAAGTTAAAGCTCTCGGACCAATGTGACAAAAACCGCAATGGTGGGCATATGTTAAAACTTAGCTATGGCATGTCCCATGATGTAAGTGGCTGCTGAGGAATGGATGCTGTTTAAAGCCATAGTTTTTTTTTTTATACCAGAGAAAGTGGCATGCAAAAATCTGAGCTCGGGTAAGTATTGTGCATGTCAGTGAAAACTGAATGCAGCATAAACAGGAGTTAGTGTTGAGCAACCTAAAGTAATATAATCTATCTTATATTTCTGAAGGACTTTATATCTCTTCTCTAATCCCATGAAATCAGTGAGAACATGCACAAAGATACAGTAGCATGAACATGTTTTTATATGTAATGGTGTAAACATATTTGTATAAGAATGTTTCTGTCAAGGCTCAAGGTCCCCTGATGATATTCTCATTATTGATGTTGCCCCTTGACAGTTGATGGTTCTGACACTCATTTGCCATGTTCAGACATTGCAATTTAGAAGCATGTCAATTTATGTACATTGTGATTTAACTTCAATAAAGTGCTCCTAAAGTATAATATCCTTGTCTCATTTTTCTCTCATAGCATCACATGGATCACTAGATATTTCTTCTCCATGTTGGCAAATCATTCATCCAAGTGACATTCGCATCTTCAAAGTTCCTTTTGTTATGGAGAGAACTTCATTGCAACCTCCCAATACTAATTTACCTGCTGCCTATCAAGTGGTAAGTTTATGTTAAGAAGATAACACCTATGATTGAGACTGTTTAGCAGATATTACTTTCAGTTTAATTCCTGATGTGACTTCTTAGTTTCTGTTGAATTTTGTTCCCATGCAGGAACTACTTCAACAAGAATCACTTGCCAAACATTGGGATGACAAGACATTGGCTGCTGCTGGCCTGGACGAACAGCAGCGAAAAGTCATGAGGTCATTCATTCAAAGAAGATTCCGTGTGAGCATGTCCTCATTTTTTTAACTCAGAAATTTAGCCTTGATGTGAAATTTTTCATTTCCTCTAATTTAAAATATTTTTATTCCTCAATGTGCTGCTGGGGAAAGATAATTTGATGGCTGCAATTATTACAAGTTTCAGCCTCAGCCTATATCCTGGTAGCCTTAATTTTTTCAAGTTAAAAGTCAGTTATGCAGCCAGTTAGACCCTTCCATGGATTAACATGGAATATGGGCCACTGTGTTTGTAACCACATTCACACTTGAGAATATAAAAAGTCCATAGTTTGAAATAGATTTTATTTGTTTTCTTTAATAAAAAAAATCTTTTATCATTTTTATTTTGTTGCCATTTTATTTCTAATGGAATTTCTAATAAAATGTCTAACTTTTTCTGTTTCACTGTCAGGGAATCCCCAACATTCAAATTTTCTCTCTTGGGTCCTATGTTGGGCATCCCCCAACATGAAGTTGTACTAGTCCATGCCAGAAGTATGCTTTGTTTCCTGCATAATTGTAATAAAGAGATGGAAAAAATTACTATGGTTTGTGGTGAGAGTGCCTAGAGCAGGGGTATTTAACCCTTTCATGGCACATGATCACTATAAGGATAATATCTTTTTGAGAGTGCTTGTATGTTACTAAATTTGAAAGAAAGGTTTAAATTGTTCTGTTTGATAACTCTTGAAGAAGGCTATTTGCAGATACATTGTTTGTTCAAGCAGGCTGTTATTCAGGGATATTAGATCAAAAGTAAGGTTGTGAAGAGAAATTATGAGGAAAAATCATAGTTATTCATCTTCTTACTTCAGCCATGAAAGGGTTAAATCAAACCTGGCTGGGAATAAAATTGTTATGAAATACAGACTGTAAAAGGTTAAAAAGGTGATTCAATTTGTCAGACCATGTAGGTAGGTATGCTTCCCCTTCAATATAACCTAGTTGCCTAAACAGTTTTCCAGTCAACCATGAAATCTCTAGTATAACCTTTTTCTGGCATGAAAATGAAATTTGAATTTCTTTGAAGGAATTATTTTCTTCTTAGTGAAGGAGCTAAACAATGTGACCCTTGCAGGATTTGTCAAAACTGTACTTACGCATTTCTACCAAAGAGGCAGAAACTCTCACACCTCAAAGTTTTACATTGTATGGATGTGTTCCTTCTGTGCTTTGATCTGGTATTACTTTTTTTGGCCTCCATGAACAAAAAATGTTACAGCAGCTCTTAACTTACTCTATGGCAAATTTATCCATCATACATTTTTTTCTGTAAATGGATATCCATGGATATATATTCTATATTACAATTGATATATTCTAATAACACTCAATTACAATGAAGCAAATTGAATGATAACTGAAAAATTGTTCACAGAACAGAATCACTCTACTTTACTGGGAAAAAAATCCCCATCAGTGGCATACCACTGGATTGAAAACTTCCCACTTATGAGGTTAATCAGGACAAATTTATGAAGTCAGGGTGCATGGGTGAATTTTGATGAATTTTGAATCTAGAAATTTATTTACTTCTTGAAGATTTGGCATTTATTAAGATGACAGGTAGCAGATATGTTTCTGTAAGAACTGAAAATACTCTGATAGTTTATACAGGGTGGGCCAAAAAAAAAAAACAAAGCTATCACTTTTGGTGAGTTGTCAATCTGATTGTAGGTTGCCAATTTGATGAAATTTGGTAGACACATAGAGTGATGCAATTAGTGTTTGTGTGCCAAGTTTCAAATAAAAATTCCAAAAACTGTGAGATTGGCATTTAATTTACATTTCATCACCAAAAAAAGTAAGTGTTCATTTTTTCTTTCAGCTTAAAATCTTTCACAACTGACAAAAACAAACAAGCAAACAAACAGAACAAAAACAAAGGCACAAATGCAAAACACAAAAAGCCCACAATTTGGTTTAGGGATGTTCATTTCAACTGAAAAAGTGCTCAGTGTGTCCTCCATTCTGTTGAGCACAAGCCCCTAGTCTGGGACACCACAGATCAATGGCTTGGTAAATAAACCTTCAAGGCAGTGCCTCCCAATCTTCCTTTGTAGCATCATGCAGGGATGGAAGTTCATGAATTTGGACCTCCCTTTCATCCCAGCCTCAAGTTCATATCAATATTTTTGTCAGCACATTTTGTCATTGGTCATCAGTAAATAATTGCAACTCTTATAATTTTAGAGCCAGAAAGCTGAAATTCGGTATATGAATTCCAATTGTGTCACCCTATACATCTACCAATTTTAATTAAAATTGGCAGCCTACAAAGAGATTGACAACTCATCAAAATTTACAGCTTTGACTTTTTTGGCTCACCCTGTAGAATCATCTAAGTATGCCAAATCAGATTCATGTGAAATTTAAGGAGATAGCAGATGGGGTCTAATAACAGTATGCAGTTTCAGTGCAAAAGGAGGGCATGGCCATGTCATTACCCCTTTCATGGTAAAAATTTTTCTTGAATGCAAATGACAAAATTCAATACATTTTATTTTTCCTCTTATGGAGACATTTGTTTTGAGAAATTCCAGACATTCTGCAAATTAAGAAAAATCTTCATCTGTGTGCCTGTATACAGTATGTGTATACCTATATAACTTACTGGTATGTAGGTAAATTCTCAGTATTATAAACTTTATATACAGGTATCTATATATTACTGAGAGCTGACCCATCATACAAATAGTCTCAAAGGATGTAAAAGAAAATATAAGAAATAATTTTTGCTTTCTTACCCAATTTTGTTCCAAAATTATCATGAAATATGTCACTTTTTGTAAGTGTTGCCTGAACAGGTCACATGCTTATACATCTGCTCCAAAATGGCTTCCTTACATGCCTCATGGGTGCCAGGTAAAATTTTCACAGAGTTATCTTGGTCACCAGTAGATGATACGAGTGTGATATTGTGGGAGGAAACCTTCCCAGGACAGTAGGAGGGTCATAACTTTACTGGGAAGAATACTTCCTACTGCCCACAAAAGGGCTAATAGTTGCAAGTAGCTTGCAGGCACCTTCCTGGTGGGGTACTCCCCTCCCCCACATCTCTAGGAGGTATCACCACCCAAGGGTATTAATGCCTTTTTTCCCCATAAAGTCATCTATGCCCAGTCAGAACAAGGAAAGTTATCAAAATATAAATTAGTAGTACACTAAAATTGATGCATTAAGCAAAGCAGTTATGCCTCAGCCTAGGATAATGCTCTTCATTCAGGTAGTGCAGAACACTCTCACCAAGACATTCAAAGGCATGATGACACCTATTTTTGAGAGCCTGCCTAGGCTATTGATGGTCATGCACATCTTTGTTATGTTTGAAACCATTCAGAAAACCATGTGCAAATTGTCAGATAGACTCAATGAAGCATGACCCAAGGAGTAGTTGGGCAGTCTACACCACTCATTTTAGAGTCTGCATGCTACTGATGGTTACTTAGAGAGGCTTAATATTTGTAGGGGGTATTAGTAAGAGGTCAGAATATCCTTGTATTTTAGGTCTGGTTGGCAACAACAGGGAAGGTTCAAGAACTTCATGGCTTATCCAAGCTTTTGAAATCAATGGCATGTGTTGGTGAGACAGACAGCACTAACCCACTGGATGAACCTGAACATCTCTCCATTTCCACCAACCTTTGAAACTCTTCAGTTAGAAAAATCTCTTGTAATATCTTTTGGTATTCTTGTGGTACATTACCCTTGTTCCAGTTACAATGAAACTCATATCCAAGTATCTGCCAATGCCTGTGCTTTTTCCCAATAAAGGGAGGAATATTGTTTTGGTATCTATGTATCATCTGTACAGGTATGCTTACTAAGGTTTGCATTTGCTAGATATTAAAGATTCCTTTCCAGTATTGGAGTTTTCAAATTAGATACATAATTCTTAATGCTCTTTCATACACCTATTTAACTCTCAAATCATTTTCATTTTCTCAAATGAGCCTTAAGTCCATTCATTTAGGCCTACAAGTCTTTTCATTTTTAGTAGCAATTCCTTGGCCTGAAATGAGCAGTGATAAGGGAAGATATATATTTACTCCTCTCTGGCCATAGTTTCAATTTATAATCAGTTCCATTATTCAATTAAAACTAGGAATGGACAGAAGTTCAATATACCATATAAAGCTGTGGACGTTGCTTTGTGCAGATACCAGTTGCCATTCATTCAACACCTTCCTCAACCTTTTGTTCTGTACACCCTCACCATCGCTGCCCACAGCTGCCTATATAATACCTTGCCCCTCTTGGCTCATGAGCCAAAATGCACCTTTGGAGGGGGCATGGGGTCTATGATTTGCAAAGAAACAGTCTCTGAGTTCCCCCCTCCCCAAGTTTCTTAACACATTACTGTGCTTGGACTTACCAGAAGTAAACAGAGTTTTCCATAAGAAAAGTTTTATAACCTTCCCAAACTCTCCTTCATTTGCTCCAGGAATTTTTGATTGAAGTAATTTCATATGTGATTTCATTATTTAAATGCTAAGAGAACAAACGAAGACTCCCAGTGCCCATCACTACTATTGTATTTGAACTTGAAGAGGAAGACTTTGAATAAATATTCTTCATGATAGAGGGCTCTTGAGCTACTGATTCTGTTTTTCTTATATTGGAATTCATACAGGTTAAGAGATGACTACAGTAGTCCTGGGAGAAAAATCAATTTGAACAGGATCTCTGAAAGGAAGATGTATCTAAATCTAGCAAGATTCTGTCTATCTCACTTCCAAAAGGAGGAAAAGAAGAGCTATCAAGTCACATAACTGTGCACTATTAAAGTCTATACTGCCTGAGGCAGATCAGCTAGAAATTTCCCCTACCTACAGTACCTATGCAGGAAACAGTGGCACCAAGGATGTGGATTGTTGCAGAAATGTCATGGCTCAACTGAAATTGCTTGCATCCTATAGGAGATCTGTTGATGGTGAAGAGATACAATTACCCTACATCTTTCACTTTAACTCCTGTTTGTTTGAATGGAGTAAGATCAATAGAAACATGCAGACACAGACAACTGATATAGAAAGATTTGCATGGAGACAGCTATTGCTTCAATTAATTGCCTTTTAGGTGCAAATATAATATTTGAGCAAAAGTGATCTCATGTTTTACCCACATGCACTTTTGAAAGTATTGGTATTTTTCGTCTTCTGTTGAATTAGAATGTCTTTTCGTCGAGTGGTTGTGACAGGATTGGGCTTAGTAACACCTCTAGGAAGTGGAACATGGCATGTGTGGGAGAATCTTGTTGCATCAAAATGTGGGATACGCCAGCTTCTATCACCAGAGTACCAATCCATTCCATGCAGGATAGCTGGTGTAGTCCCTGTAGGGGAGGGCAAAGGGATGCTGAACATTAATGAGGCTTTTTCTTCTGCTGAGCAACGTTCCATGTCACGCAGTTCCTTATTTGCTGTCAGTGCAGCCAAGGAAGCCCTCTGCATGGCCCAGTGGCATCCAAGTGGTGGAAAGGATGCCTTAAGCACTGGAGTTTCCATTGGCGTTGGCATGGTGGATCTGTCAACAATTGTGGAAGCTGGACTCATGCTGCAACAATTTGGTTACAAGAAGATTAGTCCTTATTTTGTTCCTGTCATATTACCCAACATGGCTTCAGGGAATGTTAGTCTTAAGTTTGGACTGAGAGGTCCAAATCACAGTGCTTCCACAGCATGTGCTGCTGGTGCTCATGGAATTGGTGATGCTGCTCGCATGATAATGCATGGAGATGCTGATGTGATGGTGTGTGGTGGTTCTGAGGCTTCTGTTAATTCACTGGCCTTGGCTGGGTTTTGTCGGGCCAAGGCATTGTGCACTGACTTCAATGACAAGCCAGAAAAGGCATCAATGCCTTTTGATGTCAAGCGTTGTGGCTTTGTCATGGGTGAGGGTGCTGGAGTTTTAATTCTTGAAGAACTGAACCATGCATTAGCTAGGAAGGCCAACATTTATGCAGAAATGAAAGGCTATGGGTTGTCAGGTGATGCTGTTCACATTACAGCACCTCGATCTGATGGGACTGGAGTTATGATGTGTATGGATGCTGCTATTAGAGATGCTGGAATCAAGAAGGAAGACATTATGTACATCAATGCTCATGCTACTTCTACCTTGTTGGGAGATGATGCTGAATGTCGAGCAATCAAGGCATACTTTGGGCCCCATGCCCAAAAACTGGCTATTTCTTCATCGAAGGGAGCCATTGGGCATCTCTTAGGTGCTGCTGGAGCTGTTGAAGCTGTGTTTACTGTCTTAACTTGCTATACCAAAGTTGTTCCTCCAACATTGAACCTTGAAGATGCATCTGATCATAAAGACTTGAATCTTGTGCCAAATATGCCTCAAAAGCTGGAACCTGTGAATGGTTCTAGATTCTTTGCCTTGTCTAATTCATTTGGTTTTGGAGGTACCAATGCTTCCTTATGTTTTTCTGATTTCTCAGGAGAGTAATTCCTCAGCCTGTCTTTTTTTCTGAATAAATGTTAATTGCCTCATCTTTAATTTGCTTGAACCTCAACTTCATGTTTTAATATTCCAATGTAGACTTCAGTAATTATTCCCATGTTGATAAAATTCAATCAATCCAAAACTCTCTCAAGGGCAGAATTTAGCCCAGCTTGCATTCTTTGCAAGTGAGTGTTTGGAAAGAAATTTAAGGCTATAGGCTTTCCCCAGAACTGTCAAGTCTCTCCAGGGTTTGAATGTTGGTATTTGTGCCTTCTGCTCCTCTTTTAGAGCCCTTTTCCCTATTGGTCTTTGCTGCTACAAGCAGTGTTGCTTCAAAATGACTGAAGAGCTCCATAGTATTGAATCTGCTTTGGAGGATAATCTCCCATCTGATGTTTGGCTCCAAGTGAAGAGGATTCTTTATGGAAAGGACATTCCGTAAGTTGTTCTTCGCTTGTTGCCCATTATTTTCATTTCCTAGGCATGGAAAAAATTGTCATCTGACTGACTTTGGTAAGTGTCTATTGGCAGGGTTCTATCTTTTCCACTGGAGGCATTGGAGTTAGCAAAGGATTCTGACTTTGAGCTGAAGGGATATGGATTTTCCGCCCTGCCAGAAGACACTCGTCCCCCAAGGATTGTGCGTGTTGGTCTCTTTCAAAACCAAATTGTTCTCCCGACAACCATGCCAGTCAGTACACAAAGGGATGCCATACATAGACGTGTTGAAGCTGGTGTGAAATTGGCACATCTTTGTGGAGTCAACATCATGTGCTTTCAGGAAGCTTGGAGTGAGAAATTGCATTCCTTCAGTTCATTATCTGATGGAATTTTTGTTTTTACTGGTTATGTAATTTTATACGATCTATGAAAGTAATTCCTGTATATGCATATCCATACATTGAATGTACTTATGTCCTGCTTGGCTTCATCCACAGCAATGCCATTTGCATTCTGTACCAGAGAGAAGCATCCTTGGTGTCAGTTTGGAGAAGCTGCTGAGGATGGGCCCACAACTCATTTCTGCCAGAAGGTAACAGGATTTTCATCACTTTTCACCATGTGCTTGGAACAGAAAATAGCATAATTATTCACCCTGAATATACTTGCAGCTAGCGGAGATGTACAATATGGTGATAGTGAGTCCTATTCTAGAACGAGATGAAACACATGGAGATGTCCTCTGGAATACTGCAGTTATCATCTCCAACACTGGCAAAGTCCTGGGGAAGACTAGAAAGAATCACATTCCAAGAGTGGGAGACTTCAATGAAGCCACTTACTACATGGAAAGCACCCTTGGGCATCCTGTTTTTCAGGTTTTATCTATTTTCTTGCCAGTGGGAACCATTGTAGTACATCTTACACATTTTTGTTGATGTTTTTTTATGTCTATTTCCAGACTCAATGGGGGAAAATAGCAGTCAACATATGCTATGGTCGACATCATCCTCAAAACTGGATGGTTTATGGCCTGAATGGAGCTGAGATAGTCTTCAATCCATCTGCTACTACAGGAGCACTGAGGTAAACTAAAGTGTGATGACCATAGAAAGAAAATAGTTCATTCTCTAGAATGACTGGGCTTTCAGTGCCAACCTTGCTTCATTGGCTTTCGATCCGATTCCTCCTGAAATGTAGTGAACCCTTGTGGGGTATAGAGGCAAGAAATGCTGCCATAGCCAACAGTTATTTCACTTGTGCAATAAATCGAGTTGGGAAGGAGCATTTTCCCAATGAATTCACTTCTGGAGATGGTCAGTCAAGCCATAAGGATTTTGGTCATTTTTATGGCTCCAGCTACGTTGCTGCTCCAGATGGAAGTCGGACTCCAGTGAGTCTTGTTCATCTTCAGATGGAATGTCCTGCATATCAGTGGGTTCATCGTATCCACTGCATGAGAAGAACACGAGGGTGCAGTGCTGACAGGAATGTTGCAGATTTGTGCTGACTATTGAAAGCCTATAAGGAAAAGCAGGAGATGGCTCAGAAAAATATTGCATGATGGTTATGGAAGTGTCGTAATTATCATAGTACAATAGGTGCTGCTTATTGTGATCATATTGGTGCAAGAGTATTTGATAACATTAAGAAGTTTATAATAGGCGGCGATCGATGAAAATTCAAAATTCTAGCAATTTGTTTCCTAGTCGTCTTTTTTGTATAATAGCCGCCCAAAGTCGCCTGGGTGCGGAAAACAGTTACTAGACCAACGATTTTAAGTTCCAGGCTGTTGGACAGATAGATGTTAACGCACAAAAAAAACATCGCTGTTTTGATGCAGCGGGCGGGATGGCCTCTTTCTATCTTCCCTTGATCGCTCGGTCGAAACTCTTGCAGGAAGTTTGAATGCTAAATCAAAGGAGATGAAGAGAGCACTCCGACGATATCGAATTAACCGTCATCGTGGTACGGAATTTGGAGCAATGAACGAGAAAAGAGGGCTATATGCTCAAGAAACTCGGGAGAGCGCGAGTTTTTTTTTTGTTGTTTCTGGAATAGGATGCAATACTAATGAAGGCCGTTTCCGGCTCTCTCGTTACAGCCCGGAGGAGTCGCCTCCCTCAGCCCCAGGGAGAGATTCTCCACCCTTTTCCTCCCCTCCATGCCATTCGATAATTGCTGAAATAGCGTAGTCGGACTTGGTCGTAATGACCGGCGACGGTGATAACATAAACGGGAGAAATGTATACTCAGAAGTATGGGATATGGTTTTGGTTTTCGAGATTTGATCTAATTGTCCGACTGATAATAAACAGTGATCACACTAAGTGGCGTCTACTATAATTTATATCGATAATGTTTGACTCGTTTATACTTCAAACGTATTTGAGCATTAAATGTGGATCTGCATGTTTCATGTGTGCGTTGCAAGTTGATTCATCTAGTGCTAGTGCCCGAATTCATCACACTTATAATAGCATGAACTATCTGGTGTTCCTTTAGGCATGATATAAATGCATTGTTTTCACTTCATGAATCCTTGATGCAGAGAAAAGTGGCTAACCAATTAGTATTTGCAGCATGATGAGTCAGGCAAGAAATGTGAATAGAGTGACTGAATTCTGAAACAAACGACTCGACATTTACTGACATGCTGCATACTCGTGTCATCCAGGGCCTGAGCAGAACACAAGATGGTCTCTTGGTCGTGGAGATGGACCTGAATTTGTGTCGCCAGGTGAAGGATCACTGGGGCTTCAGGGTGAGTACAAATGTCCAGCTGGGAACAGTAAGGAAAAGTTCTCATGGTCTTCCACCCGCATCTGGGTTGGACAAGAAAATACTCTCTTCTATGGGAGAACTGAAATGGCATTGTCTCTTCCAGATGACACAGAGGCTGGATGTGTATGCTAAGGCATTTGAAGCTGCATCTCGTCCAGACTTTCAGCCGCAAGTCATCGGAGAATGAGCAGGCATTTCTGCCTCCTTTGTCGTAGATTGTTGTAGGGCGTTCATGTCACTCTTCATTCCTGTTGTCTTAAAAGGGTAGGAATGATTTCCATTTCCTTCATGTTCATTTAAAATGAGTGCTTCTCCTTAAATGTATTGTAAATACACTCGTGCTACTATATTTTTATTTTCCAATTAGGCCTCTCTCGTATATCCTTTATGTAAGAAATAGAACTAAAGTTCCTTAGAGTATCATATCAAGGGGGTTGAATTACCCTTAGTCTTTCAACGGGGTAGCTTCGCTAAGAACAGAAAGGCTTCTTAACCTACTGGAGTTACTAATGCGTTTGAAATATGTGTGCATAGTACCCTGCGTTGGACGCGAGTCCCGACATGTGTTTTGAGGGAAGACGCCTCTGCGTATAGGTGCGTTCAGGGCGTTGGAACTGGAGTGGAACATTTGATTTCTTCCAGAACAGGGCGATATGATTGTGGGTAAAGAACGACGTAACAGAACGGAACATTATAAGCATATGATTCGTTCCTTTTTTTTCTGCTTTTGCTGGAGATGTAGGTGTTGTACTCTTAATAAAAAAAAGACGTTCTCTTTCCTTCGTTGTGCAAGGTTTTGGATTAGGGGCGTGAAGAGGCATTTCTACACGTACTGAAATTCCAAGTCGAGGTCCTGCGCGCATTTAAGATAGGATTACCTCTCCAAAAGTACAAGATGACCAATAAAAGTCGTGAAATGTGTATCTCTGCATCTTAAGTCTTGATTAATGTTTAGCTCACTGTACCATGGGGAGGATTATGTGTCTAACATAAGGAACTTATATATCTAAGGCACATCACACATATTTGAATTAGATTGACTGCAAAGAGTGGACGCCGTCATTGAGGAAAATGGTGGACATTTCGAACATTTATTGCGCTAGCACCTATTTCAACCAACACTTGTCTTCGGATTGAATTCGAACCCCCCACTCCGTAGGGAAGATTGGAGAAAGTACTACCTCCATAGGATCCACGAAACTGCCCATCTTTTTTATGTCACTGCCCGCAATCGGTAGAAGCGCTTCCATGGGGAAGGGGGGGAGGGGAAAGGAATTAATTCTGAAAAGAGTGCATGTAATTCCAAATGAGCTGTAAGGGTGATGACGTTAGATCCAAAACCCTCCCATCAAATTGTGAACTCCTCTTGCCAAAGCTCAAGGTCATAAGATCTATAGATATATTCTTCTGAGAGGCTAAACATATTTTTTGGTCACCCTGTACAAGTTTTTACTAGGAGCGCGTCGGTCTAGTTACTTGCTTCTTTTTCGTTGAAAGCATGCGATCTCTATGTGGAGTTAGTGACGGAAGGTGCAGGGTTCACATCTTCAACATACGCGTTCCAAACTTTTACTCGTCACCCTTTGTTCCTCTTTCTCTTTGCCGCCTCTTTTCTTACTTTCGTCTTACGGAATGGGGATTCCATCCAGCGTTCGACATAATCGGACATCCCGTTCGATAAGGCTCGAGCCGGCGTTTTGTCCGGACTGTGACTGAGACACATACATGGTTTTGAGGTTGGAATATTTGATTTCATGTTTTCTCAGGACCAGCATTCGGGCTATAGTCCAACGAAATTTTGCGTTTCCAGAGTATAACAATTTGTTGTCCGTTCAAAATGTGGCGACCGTCTTTCTCGTGCTCGTGTCTCATACCCGTGTTATAATTGTGTTAAAAATTGGATTGTAGCTGAGAATTGCCATTCTTGGCCATTCCCATTGCCGAGTATTACTATTCTGGCTATTGGGTTCATTCCGTGTGAATTCAGCCAATAAAATGGCAATTCGAACCGGCCCTCCTCAGAATTTTTTTTCCATACTCCAGTTGAGTTTGACCCGAAACCACTAAATTTCAAGTTTTAGCCTAATCCAACTAAAAGTTCAAATGTTATGGACCCTGGAGATCTTGCAAGACATTATCTCTTGATTCAGGAAAACACATGAGGTGCTGGCTTCAATTATTGTCCGATTTCAATTAACGACTAATCTAATCAGAATAACAAACACTAACTTTATTCTCGTACAAAGCACTCTATTCCTTCTGAATATTATCAAAATGTGATATCTTTGACCTTGATGACAGCCTCGAGTTTTAAAAATATGTATGAATAAATCTAATAAATAAGCTTTAATAATCACCTGAATAAATTCAGCAAGTTTCAGCGATACAATGCTAGTTGCTTCACAATTTCATGATTGTGAATGGAACTCGCATCAGTTTTCGTCAGTGTCATTCGCTGTCAGAGCAATTGATAAGTTTATTTTTTCTTTTCTTTCTTTCTGGCGCATACTACGAAACTCCAGGTCCTCATAGTTAATGGCACCTGCTTTGATAAAAACTCTGTGATATTTTCCTCCCACTTTAATGCTTCTTGAAAGGGTCGCAGCATGTTCATTATATCGCCAAAAGCGAAGGCCCACCCATACAAATGATGACGGTGTAACGTCACTGTTGGGCTCAGTAGCAACGTGATCACCTGGCAGCAGGTATATACAGCATGCCCACTGTCTGTCGCATTATTTAACAGCACGACAGAAGCTCATTGCATTCTAAAGGTACACGATAGCGGTCGTGTAGCGGCTGTCGGAAAGATCCGGTTACGCTTCTGCTACTTTTAGCCCTGCCCCACAATGCGGTACGTGCTGTCGTAACACAACGGACGCAATTAAGGCTCATGGTAACATTTCCCGGCCGGGATGGATTCAGCCTCGTTCATGGCGAGGGGATCCCAGGATCAAACTGATAGGTAGGGTATTGGCGATGTACCGAATATTCGTCTACGAGCCTTGACTCTGCCGAGATGATACACATGTTGATAAGCAGTGTGGCGTGTCAGAAATACCATTATGTTTGGTGCATGCATATAAATGAAGCCGTGTCCTAAACTAAACTGTTCTTCACTCAAATCATACGTAGCCTCGAATCACATTTTGCAATTCAAAATATTTTGACTCTAATAAATGCCATCGTGTTTGTCACGGTAGTGGTAACATTTACCATTGAATAAAATATTTCATAGAATGGAGTGCTGTCCTAATTTATCAACCGGCAATTTAAAGCTCATCATTAAGAAGCATCGATGCTGATGATCCGATTCCCCCTTTAAAATACCATTTTTATTATTTGCTTTTTATTTCTTCGGAATTGGAATTTAAAAAAAAAACTCGAGTTTTCAATTGGCTGCGAGCATAGGCCTTTTCTGGAAATTTATTTTAGCTTCAATTACCTGATCCTTCATAAGTAATCCTGTTGCTGGTCAATAACTTGAGCTGAAGAATTAATAAACTTGTTTCTTTCGGCTTTCGACAAAATAAAAATTGAAAACGTTGAATTTTATCTCCCTTCGCCTTCTTCGGTTGAGGAATATTTCATTCCATTGTGAACTTCCATTCTCTTGCTCCTGCCGACGGGAAATAGGGCATTTATCATTGAGAATATCGCCTTGCCCCCACCCCCCCCATCATATCGAAGGTGTCTACTGTCTCTCGAGGCGAGAGGATTTGTCTTGACGAGTGGCCTCATAAAATGTCTTGAGTCGTTGATCTTCAATTCTTCTAAATTTTATCTCGAGAATGACGAATGCCGTATCTTTCCAGTCTACCGTGGTTTCCCGGTGTCAGGTGGCGCGGAAAGTACGCGTCACACCTGGCATGATATACGAGAACACGAGTCCCCGTTCGTTTTCTCTCTCCGTGCCCAGGGAAATTTAATCTGCAACTCGCTGATGTCGTGCTTCTCCCGTTCTCTATATCCATCTTTCCTGATGCAGGCGCATCGTCGCGGTGGAGCCTGCCGTTTCCCCTTCGTGTGCACCGGGGGAAATGCATCGGAAAATTACCAATTTTGGTCTCCCTACTATCGTATGACAAATTCGCGGGGTGATTGCATAACGACTCGGAGGAATCGCGGGGCGGAAAATCAACAGAAAAAATCGGTGGGTAAAAAAAAAACGGAAAGCAAAGCCAAAGATCCGGTTCCATCTGAAACGGCATCCATATAATAAGGCAGTTTGCAAATGTCATTTCCCAAACGGCATTTTTTCAAGATTTCAATTTGAAAGCTCTCACAACCCGTGAATTCTAGTGTAAGAGCTTCCTTAAATTCTAAGTGACTGGTGGCAATTATAAGTCTTACTGGGTTTTAAATATGTTATGCCTGTAATAAAAATCTCGGGGGTTATTTGTTTCTATTTGAAACTCCACGGTGAACCGCGGCTTTCTTCTCGGGAGCTTCTGTGCACTCTGATGAAGGAAGGACGCCATGGAAGATAATTGACAATTTTTCAGATACTTAGCCAGCAAGGCTTTTTTTTCTAAATTTTCTTGAAATATTTATTTTAGGTCATGCTTGATAATTTTGACTTGATTTCAATGCCATGTAAAACGCCGTAAGTTGGGGATTTGACCCTCTTCACACTACAGTCTTCCACGTAACACGTTTCCATTTGACTTTTGCAGACTTACAGTTCTCAAAACAGTTTTTAAACGTCTAACCAGCATTTGCTGACGTGAGCCTTTCTTGTCTACGGAATTTCCATTGAAGGAAAAGGATTTGCGTACTACGCGATTAAAAAATTAACCATGACATTATCCAACAGTGAGTCGTAGCCTTGGGGGCAGCATTTCCGTGCTCAGCTGTTCACGCACCAAATTTAGATTTTAAAATTAGGTTTACTCTCTCTAAGTTCTTGCTGGTATTCTTACGGAGAAAATGGGTTCAGACGAAAGTCTCGTGGATTCCCAAGTGTTGAATCACCCTCCTGACAATGTACTATTAGCCACCATCATTCTTCCGTAAATGTCTCCGACGGTCCAATTGCTCAAAAGCAGATTCACGGCAATCGAAGTTTCCCCAACCTACAGCATGGTACATTTGATGGAAAGCTGCGTGACCCTGAGACATCGAGAGTGAGGAGACATTGAAAAATGGAGGGATTCCACTGCAAATGATAGACCCTTCCTCATGAGA